CAGATGGTCCACCAGAACAGAAGATTTTCCCGGGCATCGTTCATGAGAGGGCTCGAAAGGGAAACATGCAATAGAATCACACATGAGCGGGTTATGGTGACACTATCACAGGCTAGGGAGAGAACTCAAGATATTGGAGCAAAATTTCAATAGAAACTGGCTCCTCACTCTCTTGATCGAGTTAAAAATCAAAATAATTACCGTCGGGCACAATAGTGTCCTCGTAGTAGAATATCATAAGAAATGCTGCACGTGCACAATTCCAAGCATTGTGAAAAACCCAAGAACGCCAGACCCAATAGCCAGTGTTGCGTGAATTCAATATGCACCCGTTTATATCAAACATGCGCGCTTCTCAATCATAACATACAAATTAGATTTCCCAAGTATTTCAAATGGCCCAGCTACCTCTCCGTTCTGGCAGTCCCCAGCCGTCAAGGTTGGTTTCTTCTTCAGCCATGCCAGGCTCTTGCCTCGCCCATTCCTGGATATACAGACGGAGAGCTTTCCATCGTGCACAGGCATCTGCGAGGTTATCCGTCCCCGGGGCTACAACGTAGCCTCTAGCATCCGTTTGCAAGTCGTCCCGACGAAGATCCTCAACGGAGGTGCCCGAAATTCGGCTGAGTTCGTAATCATAATAACGGGCAAGACACGGGTAACCCAGAGACAAGTAATTATAAATTTGAGTCACAAACCCATCATGGAACTCGGTATCGATGGCTTTCTGGAGATTAGGGCTCGCCGGCTTGAGGGAACTATGGTTTCCAGGCGAGGCTGCCAGACGATCCAGATGTGTATGTGAAGGAGATGGACTGAGTCCCATGCTAATGCCAGCGTCATCGACACGAGGCATGGGGGTAACAATCCCAGGTAGGAGACCGTGGACTTCCCGCTCTTGGCCCTCGTCCTTGTAACAAGTGCCCATCCAAAGACCACCACCACCCTTTCCGCTGTCTCGAGGAGGCGCTGCGTACCACATGTCCCCACATCCAGTACAAAGATCATGCACGCCGCGAGAGGCCACATCGGTTCTAGAGTGCTCACATATTGTTCCCTCGGGTGAGGCGCTTCGTGGAATGAGGATATCATTGCCAAGCATGGGTGGGCTCTTGTTATTCTTATTTTGCTCTGATGAACGCTTAGGTTGTCCAGATGGACCCATAGCCCGTATCCTCATTTCAGCCTCCTCCTTATGGTGGCGCATGTACTCAAGTTCCCAGGACAAATCTGCGGAAGACTGTCGTCGAGACTTGATGTGATGATACTTCATCGACACATGATAATCGTCCGAATCACCATCACCTTCATCGATGGCAAAATGATCAACAGGCTCGTACACTTGTTCGTTGGGAAAGGCAGCCAATGCTTGCTCCTTCAACTGGATTCGTGCAGATCGAGCGGCAATAGAGAGTAAGAATTCCGAGATTTCTTTGTTGCCGATTTCACGAGGTAGGTTTGTGTGTAAAGCTCGTGTCGCGTTATTGGAAGGCCTAGGAGGCGAAGTGCACACTGAATGCGATCTGGAGGTATCAGATTCTTCGCTGCTGTCAGAGGGGATCGATGGAAGATCTGGAACTCGAAACGAGTGTCTGCGGGCTTGTTGTCGATGCAGGATATTGGAATACGAAAATTGAGACTCGGATGGCAGATAAGTGTGGACATGGGGGTTTGGATCTAGCCATGATGTCGTGCCTGGACAAACGATTGTATTGGGTGCTGAAGGCCCTACGGCATTGTGCCGTTGGGGAAGCTGGACAGATTCCCCTTTTCGAACCGAGCGGGTGGCGGTTTCTATCAGGTCTGGTTTGAATCTTCTTGGAGCCGTTGATGCAGAATTTCTGTCGTGTACCTCGGAAGTCGAATGAGACCGTCTATTACTAGTTTTGCTTGTTTCAATTGGTTCAGGTCGAAATCTTCTGATTGGTCGATGTTCACTTGGTTCTTTTGAATGTATTCCGGGCTTTGATAGCGCGGGTTGATTTGCTCCGCTCAAAGCTGGTTGTTGGATGTTTGAGCTTCGCGATAGGGTTTCGATTGGCTGGACCAGGAATCTCCGAGGGACCCCGGGTGATATTTGACTCTGTAAAAGTGCAGACCCTAGTGGTTGACACTCGTGAGGAGTGGTCGGATCTTGAAGCTTGTCTGTAGATTGACACACCTCCCTTCCATCCTCCGTGGGCCTGTTGGGTTTCCCATGTGCTTCTGGGGGATGGCCCATTGTCTAATCCTCGAAATCTATGATAACTTGAACCATGCTATTGGATATGGAAGATTGTTGGTAGAGAATTAACATCGGGGGAGGATTTAAGAGACTTGAGTTCTTATCGGTGTGTTTGTTTATGAGAGAGACATGCCATGCGGGGTCGAAAAAGCGGTCTCAACAACAGACAACAGACAACAGTCTTACCCTACAAACATATACAACAGTTGGAATTCTTCCTTCTTCAACTATCCTCTCTACAATACAGTACAATACAATCCAATTCAATTTCAATTCAGACTCAATTCAGACTTAATTCAGATTCACTTCAAATTCATGTTGTAGGAAACGATGCATCAATTAGTCATAAAAGGAAACACCTGGGCACATTTCAGTGTGGTATTTACCATACCAAAGTGAAGCTTACTATATTACACATATACATAGGTCTCCATACAAAATAAAGTGGGCCAGTAAGTTCCCGTACCTTTCTGATGACATCAGTTCTGTTACAATATTACAATATTACAATACACGATAAGTGGGAAAAGTCCCGATAAGAGATCCAGTTATTTCTCCTTCTCGACTTCCTTTTTTCTAACATATCTCGTCTAGTTCAACAATGGATTCTAAAGACAAGCGGAAGTTCGATGCGAATACAGATGATCCTCAGCCCGGATCGGTCTCGAAGCAGCGGAAGGTAATTGGACCTACTCTCCCTCCGCCGCAGACCGACACAGCAAACAGTGAAACTAGCAAAGAAGAAGAAGATGATAGCGATGACGACGACGACGATGATGATGATGATTTCGGTCCAAGCCTTCCTCCGTCTGGTCCACTGAAAGATCACGTGCAACAAGGGCTTGTGACTCCTGATATACCTCAATCAGTGGAAAAAGAAAGCCAGCGAGATCAATGGATGTTGCAACCTCCTTCCCATTCCGACTTGTCTTCCAAAAGCGACCCTACACAACTACGAAGTCGCAAGTTCAATACAGGCAAATCAGCCACGGTATCTAAGAAAACGGATTCCTCGTGGATTGAGACTCCAGAGGAGCGAATGAGGCGATTACAGGATGCAGTTATGGGCGTTGCTGCTTCAACAGATCAGCCCAGGGAGCACGAAGGCGCTTCAAAAGCGAAGTTGATGGAAGATCAAATCAAGAGATACAAGGTAATTTTTGGCATATACTTTCCTCGGAAAGGCACTTCATACTTCATATTCTCCGTGTTCTTTGTTTTGTTTCTAACATAAGTGTTCTTGTTGTAGGACAAGACTGGGAAGAGCACTCGCCTAGAGAACCCAAATCAGGCGGAGAAAGAAGATGATGATCCAAGTGCGCGGGCGTTCGATCGAGAGAAGGATATGGCAGTTGCTTCGAAGATATCTAACGCCCAGCGCCGAGAGATGGTAAAGAAGGCTGCGGATTACAACACGCGTTTTACAAAGGGCAACTTCTTATAGCTAGTTATTCCTATGTTTCTTGTTTATACCTTGAATGATCCGTTGACTGTAATCGGGTTTTGTCTCTTGTCCTCTTGTCCACGGGCAATAAAGGTTATAGTATAAACTTCGGGGTATGCCCACCGCTAGCCGCAAGTATCAGCTACCTCAGTACCTCAGAATTATTATACTATCCCTATAGTATTTTGAACACCTATCATCTGATTTATGGTTGAATACATGATATTATCGGTGTAGCTTTTACAAATAGAACCGCAAACATACTGTCTGTCACAAACAAGGGGCAGTACAAGGTTCTTCTTCGTAGTTAGGAGATCACTAAGGAGCAACATAGGAAATAAATCTTCTTGTGTCGGCCGAGGGATAGGAGATATAGGATAGGTGTAGATGCGTGTATAGAATCAGATTGTTAGCGTTGTTTTTTACTGCGCGTTTTGGGAAGCCTGTGGGTTATGAATATATATTAGGAAGCACAAGAGAGCTGTCTCTGGCGTGTCGTTCACAATGTGAATACAGCTCTGTGCTGCATTAGACTAAATAAATATATATTCTGATCGCGGTTCGAAATCCGGTTTAGGTTTCGTGAAGACCCCACTATGCAGGGTCTTAGATGGAGTGATCAGAGGGACAAGAGTGATACAATACTACTGCGAAGGCAATACAACTAGCACTGGTATATATTCAGACAGAACTCTGAGCTTCTAAACTTGCGCCGAGTACTAGGATTAGTATATAATTGCTTAGGAAAAGACCTGTATATAATAAACTTTTGATTTAGACTAGGGTAATGGTAGATCAATGAAGATATATATCTGGCTATATATTCAGCCTAAGCCCTATTATAGGACGAAATGATCCTCTTAGCTGGAATTCTCAATTACAAGAGACTATAGCACTTAGTAGCTAACGAACTAACCAAAGTATAGTTAACTATGCACTTACAGCATAGCTTTCTATACTTAGTATCGGCCAATCACCTCTTAACATACATACGACTAGAGTATCCACCCACTATAACTATCCTATAACATAACTAGATGTAGATTATATTCTAATATCTATATAAAAACACCATGGAATTGGCATGAGCCCATATCATTTCCCTCTATTACAATTAATATACTATATATGTATGCTGTCAGGGCAAGTCTAAGTTCCCGCCATGAAGTGGACGGCTGAGACTACGTGGGTCCACATACGGACACCCTTGTATATCATTTCCTAAACCTGTGTGTTCAGCTCCCCAGCCCTCAGTGGGGTTTACGTAGCTGAATTGTCCCTCAACTTGAGATTTTCCCCCTCTTTGCTTTTGCTTGTACCTCACCTCACAAGATGTTCGACCGACTCAAGGATAGGATTCGCCGCCACAGGCACAAGAATGGACAACAGGTGAGCTATATAAACACACTAGACCGCATTGATCCAGGTTTTAAATTGCGAGAGATGCCATAGGAGCATGGAAACCTTCTTTTATTTTTGACAAGGCTGATCCATTCAATTTCCGAAGGTCAAACCCACACCAGAGAAGCCAGCGCAAGGGCACACCACAAAGCCCGAACCTGTGCCAGCTCCTGCTGCACCAGCTACCAAGTTGCCGTCTGTGGAAAGCACCCAGTTACCGGCCGTGGAAAAGCCAGCCGAGACACCAGATGCCCCAAAGGATTTGTGGGTGGAGGCCCTGAATTCTCTCCCTGAATCCAAACAGGAAACGCTCAAGAAGATGGGATTCAACCAGTCCAATGCTCAATCTGGATCTGTTGAGTCCAGCATTGAGGATCTGGTCGGCGTAGTCAACCAAAGACAAGAAGAGTGCGAGAAGAAATTTTTGAAGGTCAATGTTGGCGGCGAAGAGATTGTCCTACGGAACTATACCAACAATATTATCGACTGGTTGGGCAAGGCTGGGGATATCGCAGTGCAATTTGCTCCGCCCCAAGCAGCTATACCTTGGTCGGTCATCAAATCTGTCATGCAGGTAACTCTCCCACTATTATTCCTTGCTTTTGTTTTTGGTTCAGATCGTCATTCGCGACAAAGTTTCTCCACTCTTTTTTGAACTTTTTCTAACCCATCGTATCAGATTCCGGTCATCGAAGGCGAGCAAATGGCTGCTTTGCTTGCGACCACTGAAAAAGTCGTCCGCGTGATCAGTCGTGGTCAAGTGTACGAGTCAGTGTACCTCGGGAACAAACCCGCTACGGATAGCCTCTCAAAGAACCTTCAATCTGCACTGACCACAATCTATACTACATCGTTGGATGTACTTGCTGAATCGGCAGATCTGTTCTCCAAGGGCACAGCCACACGCACGCTTAAGGCAATCCTCAACCCGGGCAAGGTCTCTGGCAGTATCTGTGCTATAAGTGAGCAAGAAGATGATCTTCTGCGCGATGTCTCAGCGTGCGAAGTGAGACGCAGTGCGAACGCAGACGACAGCATGATTGAAATGCTGAATGCATTGAACGCCCCAATGAAGCGGGTAGATGAGAACATCCAACATCTCCTTCAAAACATGGATGAAGAACAGCATATTAAGATGTTGGAATGGATCTCCTCTATTCCATTCGGCAAAAATCATAACAACGTCAAAGAGAAGAGGACGCCCGGCACGGGTAAATGGTTGTTACAGAGTGAGGATTTCGCCACATGGGAGCAAAACGACTCGTCTATCTTCTGGCTCCAGGGCTCTCCCGGCACCGGAAAGACCTATCTCACATCAGCCGTCATCGACCGAATCCAGGACCGGTTGAGCGACACACCTAAGAATGAAGGCTTTGCATTTTTCTACTGTGATAAGAACGAACCGCGACGTACGCAGGCACTATCGATCCTTCAAAGTATTGTGCGTCAGCTTTCAACTACTGCGAAGAGTCCTGAATCCGCACAGAAGAAGCTTTGTGAATTATACAATAAGTGTCGCAATGCAGGATCAACCTTCAACCTAGAGCAGTGCATGGACCAGATCCAGGCCTCGATGGATATATACGAGAAAACAACAATCGTGATTGATGCCATGGACGAGTGTAATCCAGATACCCGTGACGAGCTCATCGATGCCTTGAATTCCTTCGTCTCTCAATCCAACAAAGGGCATATTAAAGTTTTCATTTCGAGCCGACCGGACCACGATATTCAGGTCCAATTGCAAAATGCACCCAATATCGACATCAACGCAAGTGATAACAAAGGCGATGTTCAGAAATATCTCGACGCTGAGTTAGAAAGGCTTGCGAAGAAGACTCCTTCCATCGGACGCCTGAAAGCCAAGATTCTGGATACTCTACTTGAGCGCTGTCAAGGAATGTTCCAATGGGCGGCTCTACAAGTGCACCAAATCAAGAAGTGTAAGACTGAGTCCAGTGTATGGAAACGACTTGAAAATCTTCCGGAAGATATTCAAAAGGCATATGACGAGGCATGGAGTCAAATCGATGACCTGGAGGAACCTGATAAGATCTTGACACACCGCGCTATGCTCTGGGTTATGGCTGCCGAGCGACCGCTCTCCACGTCCCAACTTATCTGCGCTGTTCGCGTGAATACGAAGAGGGAGGTACCTACATTAGCCGACGAGATTGATGAGCAAAGCTTGCTGTCACTCTGTAACAGCCTCCTGACAATTGACTCTGAGCAAAAGGTGTGGCGATTCGCACATCTATCGGTCCGCGAATATCTCGAAGCCAAGATGCAATGGACCCTAGGACGGGTTAATCTCCACGCTGCTAGTGCCTCTCTCTCATGGCTCATCACCATGTACGACAAAGATGATAGTGACGAAATTGATTTGTCAGGGTGGAAGGGAAAACCGAAGCCAGGCGATATATTCCACCTCATGCACCCATTCCATCTATACATGAGACATCATTGGGCAAAACACGCTCAAAAGGCGCAGGACGACGACAAAGCTACGTTGTCCTCCCTTTTGAAAACCTTCCTCGGATCTCCCGAGGAAAGCAGCAAGCAGTACCGGAAATGGTATGAAGTGATTAAGGACGATTTGCAGAGAATCGTTGACGTCGTCGATCTTCAAGGCACGGATGTATTCCACTTCTACCTGGAGGCAGGTGGCTTTACCAAAGAAGAGTTCGACACATGCGACTTCAATCAGGCACAGTATCCGGAGTATGGCGAGTTTGAAAGCGAGTTAGGACCATCCGATGCTGCCATTTATGTGATGTGTCATCTTTCATTTTCTGCGATACTATCAGACTGGTGGGAAAATGCAGATTTCGATGTTTCGCGCGTGAACGAAAGAGGCCATAATCTCCTCACGATCGCTGCTCGGGTTGGCTGTACCCCAATTTGTAAAACACTCGTCGAAAAGGGTGCATATTTGAACCAGCAGGTTGAGGGTCGAGATTATGGCAGTGCTCTTCACGCAGCAGCTCACAGGGGGCACACCGAAACCGTGAAATATCTGGTAGAAGCAGGTGCAGAAGTGAACATGACACTAGAAAACGGTGAAAACGGGACGGCCCTCATCGCAGCGCTTGCTGCTGAGAAAGTCAGTACTGCTAAATTCCTAATCCAAAAGGCGGGCGCAGATGTGAACAAGACCCACACCCTTGAAGAGGAAGAAGATGATGAAGATCTTGATCCGGTTATCATTCTGACCCCAATTGCATTAGCAGCCAAAATCAAGGGCACCGACCTTCTTAAGATCCTGGTGGATGCTGGAGCCAACGTTAATGTGCCAGAACAATCTGGAAACCCTACATCTGCAGCCATCAAATCCCACAATTTGGAGGGTGCCAAGTACCTGATTCAAAAGGCAAAGGCTGATGTGAACTTGCCAATCTTGGAGGGTAGTTTCTGCACTCTCCTGGAACGGGCATCGAGCGACAGCCGAAATTTGGAAATTGTCAAATTGTTAGTTGAAGCAGGCGCCGAAGTGAATCCGTCGGAATGCGGAGACTATGGCACTCCTCTTGCAGCAGCAACTCGCGGAATTAACAGCCCCAGAAATGGAAGCTCGAGTGAGATTGTGAATTACCTTGTCAATGCAGGGGCAGATATTCATAAAGGGGATTGAAAGCAGCCATGTTTGTCTGGCAGTACTTGCTCATGACATCGAGGTTCTCAAATACTGGATTGAAGTAGGCGGAGAGCTGAATGTGCAGAACGAATTTGAGCAATCGATCGAACTTGGATTCTTTGAGGGTGTCAAGTACCTGGAGACTATGGTACCGCCAGCTTCGGGTTCGCGACTACCCGATTCACGTGTATTTGTTTTTCTGCCACAGGAATAAGGCAGAAACTAGGCACTCAGGCATCATTGACCCCTGAGCACTACCTAACTATACACCCGCTGAGGAGGTTGAGTCTGCAGGAGCGGGCGAAGCTGTGAGGGAATTGGCATCTGAGAAAGATGTATATACTTCTCTTTGCAAATTGATTTTGTGTGGAAAGGTGCGTGGAAATAGGAGACAAGCTCAAGCTCTTTCTATAGGATCTCTCTGAATTTCATTATATATACATGTGGTCCCTTGAGCTCAACAGTACTATATACGATAAACGTTCATCGTCTACTCCCGAAGCGACAAAAACTCACTTGTCCCAGCAACCTTCTCCGCCAACCCCTGAATAGAAACATCCCCTAACAAATCCGCCGACGTAATATTAACCCCGACATCTCTCTTAAACCACGCTTTCAAATCAACCGTCACCAACGAATCAACCCCGTACGAAGCCAACGTCCTCGCCGGATCAATCTCCTTCGCCGAGATTGCCATCACACGCGCTAACTTCATAACAATCGCCCTCGTAACAACCTCTACCGCTGCTGGTGTGGAGCGCGCAGATCTAAGCGCCTGTGTTACCGGAACCTCAACCTCCTCTTTCTCAGCACCAGAGGAATTGGCTATTGCACGGAGCGGCGAGAACAGCGGATAGGCCATGAAGCCCGGCAATGGGATTGACTGACGATGGAAGTCTTTCGCAGAGCGAATTCCCGCGACGGTATGGCATGTGTCTGGGCTTTGGGCAGCGCACCAACGTGGATCCATGTGGTATTCCAGGATGGAGAGGAGGAGGGATTCGGGGATAGCGCCGTAGGAGAGGGCGATTGGGAGGCGGTCTTGGTTTTCGGCGACCCAGCCGACGGAGAGGACGCTGCCGAGACTGATCGAGGTGGCGGGGTATCCTTTCTGGACGAGGGAGGCGGCGAAAGCGTCTAGGAAGGCGTTGGCAGCTGAGTAGTTGGCTTGGCCGCGGTTGCCTATTATGCCGGCTGATGAGGACAGGAAGATCAAGAAGTCGAGTGGGGAACTGGAGAGCGCAGAGGCGAGGTTAATTGTGCCTTGCACCTTGGGGGTGATGGCGGAGAGGAACTGTGTGTGAGTCATGTTGCTGAGCATGGAGTCCTGTGGTACTTGTTAATCGGACTCCTGAAAATGAACGTTGTTCTGAGTTGAGAGACGTACCTCAAGGACCATGGAGCATTGCATGCATCCCTTGATCGGAGGCATGGTTGTCTGGCAGCTGCTGATCGCCTTAACCACAGCTTCTTTGTTGGTTATATCGCAACATAGATCAGACACGCCACAGCCAGAAGCCAGAAGCTCCGTGTATAGTTGCTTGGCGGGATCACTGCTGGCGCCTGATCGTGAGACGAAAATGAAGTTCTTCGCGCCACGAGTTACCATCCATCGAGCGACGCTCCGGCCTATACCACCGAAGCCGCCCACAAGGACATATGACGCGTTCGGGTCAAAGGTGTGTCCTCCTAGTGGGTTGATAACGACCTAGATATGTTAGCAAATAGTTTTATGATAGGGACGTGAAAGCGATAACATACAGGTATCAAATCCGTCGGTCGTGGCTCAAGAACCCAAGGCCCGGGGATCCCTTGCCGGATCTCTGAAAGGACATTCGAAAGACCGGAAAATCCGAACTTAGTTGGCGAAAGAGGCCGGACCTTCTGCTGCGCCAGAAGTGTTGCTAAACTTTGGAGTGTGTCCTGGATCGCCTTCGGATTTTGAAGGGCCATAGAACGGATATCAACAATAGAGTAGGTCCTGTTCGATGTTGAAGCGGATACAGGACCGAGAATACCGTGCCCGTGCAGATCTATCAGGTGTCCAAAAGAGGAGAGACAATTCAGGTCTTTGCTTTCAATTCCACGTGGGCTGAGGTTGAGAATGACATCGACTCTGTCACTGTTTGCGACGGCACAATGTTCCGTCTTCCACGATTCTGTGCCAAACACCTGGGTAGAAGGAATTCCCATATCGAGTATACGTTGTCTCTGGGAGTCGTCTGAAACTGTGCAATAGATAGTGGCTTCAAGAGATTGAGCAATTTGCACCGCCGCTAGCCCAATACCCCCAGACGCTTGATGAATGAGGACTTTGTCTTCTTTCTGTATCCTGGCAACATTGGCGAGACAGTGATATGCAGTGGAGAATGTGACTGGGAGCGCAGCGGCTTCGGCGAAGCTGGTGCCGGCTGGTACTTTCACGACAGCAGCAGAATGAACGCGAAAGAATGTTTGGAAGGCTCCGCTCGAGGTGCGCAACGCCATGGCAGCATCGCCAATCTGGAGACCTTGTACGGCGGCGCCAAGACCGACAACGATGCCTGCGCCCTGCCAGCCAAGGCTCTCACCTGGAATGGAGCGGCTGAATTTGTCAACATCTTCCTCATCGATACCTACAGCGCGGACTTCAATTTGCACCTCATGTGGATGAAGAGGCCGTTTATAGTCTTCATCCTCAATGAAGTGGAAACCGTTCGGTTGATGAGGGCCAACCGAGGTGAGCGTGATCGGGTGTGTGACATGTCCGAGCTCAACTAGTTTGGACCGTGACCTAGACCCGGAATCGATACACTCATTGATCCCTGGGGCCGGGAACAAACGGTTGGTGAGCAGAATCCCGTCTTGTAGACGGTATTCTGCGTTGCGCGGCACAAGGGCCTCTGATGTGAAAGCGTGGTCGCATACCCGAGTAATATTGGAGAGGACTCCTTGCATATCGCCAGGCCGTTGCTTGATTTCGAGCATGAGGAAGTTGATGCAGTCATGATCCCGTTCCCAGCGAGCTGTGCGAACAAGCCCGGTGGCCATGGCAGACTTGGGTGTTTCATCAACATCACGGGAAACCCAGAGGAGGTTGGTGAAGGAGCCAAGGATGTACTGGACTTTCTCAAACTCTGCGCTTGAGAGCTTAGAGAGGTCTAAGCCCTGGTAGCCGAGTAAGATAATTCCAATCGTGTCGGTGTGATGAATCGAAACATCGATCAGGTCAACTAGAATGATAGTGCGTGCTTCCGATGTCATCCCGTCCGCGATCTTGCAAGCTAGGTCATATTGCCCAGGATAGTTGGATGAGTAGATTAGGCTGAAGAGACATTTCGTGGGAAGGCCTGATGGTACGTTTGCTGCAACGAAGGCAGAAATTTCGTTGACCTGGTCGTCTGTGTCTTTGATTAGTAGCCGAGGTTGAAGACCTGCATTATGTAGTTCCGCAAGCCATCCATCCTCGTTGATCAAAGGATTCAACTGCCGGTAGGGCTCAACACTGCGCCACCATCCTGGGAGCAAGCCGAATCCAAGGGGCGAGCACAATAGTTCGGGTTTGATATTTTCGATCAAAATGAGGTCACCACCACTGTCGACATTAGATTTCGTATATTGAGCAACAGATGGCAGACTTACTCTTTGAGTAGCTTCTTGACATTGTTCAAACATACGGCGAGGTCGGCAGTTGCATGAAGGACCTATGTGTAGTTAGTATCTAGCAGTGGTAAAGTTTGGGGAGGTGCACTCGTACATGTGTGGCAATGACTAGATCATAAGATCCAAGTTCAAACCCCTGGGCCGCCGGATCCTTTTCAATGTTCAGTACATGTGGACGGAGAATGCCCGCCCAGTCCGGGAACCGTTGGATCGCATTCTCAAAGAAGGCTGCTGATATGTCTGTGAAATGGTACGTAGAGACAGACGAGACAAGGCCTCCTCCATCCAGTCGAGCTGTTGGCATTAAGCTGTCCAGAATTACCTTCGTGGCACTGCCAGTACCAGCGCCGACTTCCAGGACCTTGAGATCCGTACGACTATGAGCAAGGCAATGCACGTAGCCAGCGACCGTAGAGGCGATGTTACCGGGAAGACCTTCCTCGTACGTTCGATCCATGAGGTCATCTTCCCCAAACATCACGTCCAAGCAATCGAGCTTTTGCTCTAAGATGGGAATCATCTGCAGGCCAACGCGTACGAGAAGTTCACCTCGTGCGCTTTTGCTAGCTACTCGATCGAACAGGTCCTTGCGTCGAGATGGACTCTCGCGAATGCCTTCAAGCAGCGCTCTGTCAACATAAGGAACTGATGATTCCGCGATGAGTTCACATTCCCGCTGCATCCAGTCCATGAAAGCTTTGTGATGGTCTGGAAGAGATGGCAATCCTTCTCGCTCAACGTAGTCCATGGTGTCAAGCAGAAAGACCGCCGAAGCGAGTTGGAATCCCTCATGATCGTCGAAATTCGGAAGACGCTGATGTACCTCAACGGGAGCTGCATCCCGTAGAGCTTGTACCGACGCAACAAGGTGAACATCTGGCTTCCATTTCACAACATAAAACGACTCAGCTTCCGACGATTCGGTGTCACTCGGAGGAAGTTGCACCAAATCCAAGCCTTTGATTGATATTTCCTGGTTTCCATCTTCCGCAGTGATTAACACGTCTGACTTCCAAGTTGTGGAAGATGTCCTGTTCGTTGCAGCTAAGGCCTGGAACTTAGGGTCTGCTTGGTAGGATGGAAATGATATAAAAACCTCTTCAATGTAGTTCGTTACCATGGGACTACTTGTGGCTTCGCAAAGATATAAAAGTACGTGCAAGATGCTTTCAAACGTGCACGGGTGAATAATATATCGATCATGAGCTGTCTTTGGGATATCTGGCGTCGCGATAGTTGCTGTGCAGGCTTTATGGTCGGCGGAAAGTTTCATATCTTGGATGTTCCTCAAGAATTCTCCAAAATCCATACCCGCCGCGCCAAAGCGTTGATACATTTGGTCGATGTCGACGCTTTTCTCGCAAGTTAATAGAGATTCCTTCTTCACGGGACAGGGGGATGCTTTCTGTTCACTCGTCTCTATACGAACTGAGCCAACGCAGTGCTCGATCCAAGCATTGTCAGCAGCATCATGCGAGATGATTCTGAAGGTGCACCAGTCATCTCTGCCATTGGCCGAAGCGTTCATTGGGTAGATTGAAGAGATGATTTCGACCCCTTCTGGGGTGTCCGAAACAGGCAGAGGAGCCAACATAGACACATTGCCTAACCTGACGCCGGTGATCGACTCTGACTCCCCAGCCCGCTGAACGGCGGCTTCCATCGCCATCAAAAGATAGGCGACGCCGGGAAAATGAATATTTCCTTTCATCTGGGTGGTGTTAGCTACATCGAAGATTTGGTAATGTCGACTCACTCTGTTCATGCGCAGCCATGTGATATCGTCCGGTCTCAATATGTTCCTCCATCGCTGCTCGAATGTATTTGTGTCTTCAACTGGCATTCCGAGAAGCTCGTGACGTTTGTAGGCCGGGAATTTAATGTGTTCTATTCTTCGTGTCTGGCCACGGACGGATCTTGAGTGGTCAAATTCGTATGGCGGGAGATCATTAAGGATTTTGGCAACTTTCTTGGTTCCCGATCGGCGATCATTAAGGGCAACACAGTTGATCTCATGGCCATAACAAGCCAGCATGCCAAAGGTGTGCAGAATTGTTGTTCCGTCGGTCTTATATCGCTTGAGAAGACTTCCGTAATGGAATGGCTGCAGCTCAGGATGATTTGCAAGCGTCTCGTTTATGGCGCTGCGAAGGGTCGAGTGCGGCCCGATTTCAATAAGTGCATCTTCTTGGGAGCCGGACGTGTTCGGATTTCTCATTGATGCGAGGAGCGCAGTGGAGAAACGGACAGGCGAAACCAAATTGTCGACCCAGTATGAAGGATTCTCAACCTCACCGGCAAGTGCAGGTCGACCGGTAACTGAGGATATCATGGTGACACCCGCTTCCTGGTTGATTTTCTCACCGAAATCCAGATCTCCCAGAAGCTCAAGATATTCTGGAGCGACTTCGCGCATGAAGACGGAATGATATGCTACCTTGACGGGAAGCAAGCGATTTAGCACACCCGCGTCGTCTAATTCTCCTTTGACACGAAGGACTCCCTCATGTGTGCCTGTCAGGGTCAAGTTCTTGGGACTGTTGTAACATCCGATCTGAACCGCAGATGATAGACCTTTATTTACGCGGGCTACCAGTCGTTCCAGTTCTTCTGCAGGCATAGCCGCAGCAAGCATGCAGCCATCTTCGTGTGTCTGCTTTGCACAAACCTGACCTCGACAGTAGGCAACCTTCCATCCTGTCTGGCGTGAGATCTTCCCTGCGCAGTAAGCCGCTGCAATTTCTCCAGAAGAATGACCCACCACCGTTGATGGCGTGATCTTCCAACTATGCAGCAGGTCCACCAACGCAATCTGCACGGCAACACAGGATGACTGCGCAAAGGTAGGCTCATTGAGGTCACCGTGTTGTGAGGTTATCCGGTCTGCAGATTTGTTAGTTGATGTCTCGTTAATATGATACTTGGATTAACAGAAAGTCATACCGTAAAGATCCCACTGGCATCCAATGTTCCTCAGAAACAACGCAGCTTCATGGATACGTCTTTGAAATAGCGGATACACCATCAGGTCTTGAGCCATACCAGCCCAATTAGCGCCCTGGCCCGTGAAAACGAACCGGATTGTTTTTGGTGCTGCTGACCGACGAAGTGGACGGACATTCTGAAGCGACTTTTGTAGGTTCTCGACAGTGTCAGCGACATGGTAGCTGCGCCAGTCAAATCGTGTACGCTTCTCGTTTATCGTGTGACACAGATCATTAATGTAACCTTCTTCCATATCTGAGTCTCCTTGGAAATTTAGCGATCCGAGATGGGATATCATAGACGCGGCATTCCGGTCCAAACCAGCTTCATCAAATGCTGACAGAATGAAAACTCGGTTCTCTGGAATCCAACTAGAGTGAGAAACGCCATTTGCACCATTCACACCATTCACATGGCCATTGGAGACAGGCTTGATGCCATTGATTGCATGGACATGCACTTGTCTTGAGGTCGTCGATGAAGGGCCTATCACCTGCAATGTTCCCGTCAAATGGGAGCCAAGAAACTCATTTAAAAACCCCTCAACATCGTCGAGTACAACATGTGCATTCGTACCGCCGAACCCAAATGAGTTAATAGACGCGCGGCGAACATTGTCTCTAGGCCACGGCGTAGCCTGTCGTGCAAACTTTAGATCATCTCGCTGCACGATTCGAGGGTTCAATGTCTTCAGGCCAGCGACAGGCGGAACGGTTTTCGATTCCACCGCCAGAGTAGCAGAAATGAGACCCGCCAATCCAGCTCCTCCTTCCAGATGACCGACGACTGATTTAACAGACCCGACATAAAGCGGCGTGTCGCGAGGTTGGTCAGCCAGGGCTGACACAATAGCCTGTACCTCCAAGGGGTCGCCAACCTGGGTTCCGGTTCCGTGGGCCTCGACATACCCTGTTTGCGAGGGGTCAAGATCAGCAGATTTGTAAACATTGCGAATAAGTTGCGCTTGCGCAGCCACGCTAGGAACAGTGATCCCTGGCGTTCTTCCATCTTGGTTGGAACCGGAGGCTCGGATCACGGCTCGAACGCGGTTCCCGTCGCGTAGAGCGGCGTATAGAGGCTTGATGATCACCGTCCCGAGACCCTCGCCACGCCCGTATCCATTTGCTCTTGCGTCAAAACTCCAACTTCGTCCATCGGGAGAGAGAACACCGAGGTTCGAAAGATAGAGGGTTGCGGCGGGATGTTCGATGAGGTTGACGCCGCTGACAATGGACTGTGTTGTTTTCAGTCCCGTGGGTTCACGTGAGCAACAAGGGTTTGGGGGGGGAGGGGGATGTTTACCATTGGAGATCTCCCCGTCCTTACATCCATGCACGCTTGATGAAATGCGACGAGACTACTTGAGCACGCGGTATCGATCGTCTGGCTCGTGCCTCGGAAATCATAAAACCAACTGATTCTATTCGCAAGAATGGATGGACTGGTTCCAGTTCCTTTACCCTTGAGAGACATCAACAAATCGGCGTTGGTCAATGCGAGATGATCGTTGTTTGAACATCCAACAAAAACAGAGGCTAGTGATGACACGGCCTCCTTTAATGGGATACCAGCTTTGTCCGGTTAGCAAGATCCGTCACAAGGGAAACTTCATATATGGACATGAGAGATATACCATTTTCAAGTGCATGATACACATTTTCCAACAGCATCTTCTGCTGCGGATCCATAGCCAAGACATCTAACTCGGACAACTGGAAGAATGGTGCATCGAATACATTCACATCCTTGTCAAGAAAGTATCCACCTTTCGTGTACGTGCTGCCGGCTGCTTCGGCGTCCGGATGGTAGTAAAATGAAGTGTCCATGCGAGATGAAGGCATGGAGCCCTGCATGGAACGAGCGGCCAAGACTCGCTCGTGTAGGTCGGATGGAGAGTCAATGGAGCCAGCATATTTGCATGCCATGCCAACAATGGCGAGCGGCTCTTGATGAGGATTCTTATACAACGTCATTGTCAAAAGTTGAGTACTATGGGTTTGTCTGCGAAAGATGGATAGGACGGGCTTCGTTTAGCCCATGGGGCCACAGCGTAATAAAGAAAATTGTCAGAACAGGGGTTCGTCCAGGATGAAAGCTGACATGCGTGTAGATTAACAATACACGTCATTCAATCTGTCTACACGTCAATTGTAGTTGCATGGCGGTTATATTTTATATTAATTCACCATACACTGTGGCGACTATAACTCCCCAGTCATAGTTAGTCTGAGAATATTTCCCTGATTCGCTTACCCTCGAAGCCCGGACAAGCCAGCCCTCCTCGAGTCTTATCCACTACGAAGCCCTTCCAATCATTCGATATGGATCTCAAATCCCGTGCTCAACTGTTTCTGAACACAATCGTGAACAAGCGGGAAACATCCTCCATTGCCTCCATCCTCCATCCAGACATCGAGTTACGACACGATGACCTCCCTCCAATGTCAAAGCCAGAGTTTATCGACTTCTGGCCCCAGCTGCTCGCGCAAAGTCCGGATTTCACGGTGGAAATCCTACGAGTGATCACTGAAGGCTTACACGTGTGGGTCTATTCTCGGGTCAAGGGACGACTTGGTGGAGGACTACTGGATGATGTTCATATTTTGGATTTTGACGAGAATGGATTGTTGATTAGAAGCAAGGGAATGCAGAGGGAAATCCAAGTACATCCCGAGGACGAGAAGAAAGTTGAAGGAAAGTTGGGCTAGATTAGTGCTCTTGTTGTTCGTATTGTCTATGATCGTCAATCTATCTCCAAAGTCTCATGCTTGACTGGATGTATAAGGGCATTTTGAAACCCACAAAATGCATCAATTCAAAAAGTGAGCTTATACATAAACTTGCCTTCAAACTCCCTTACTGGCCAACTCCCCCAAAGAGCACGCAATCACGTCCGTCGCGGTAAAAGTAAATCCAATCTTCTGTGCCCTTGAAACTAAAGACAAGGCTGTCAACGAGTCCCCTCCAATGCTAGTAAATTGTTCGTCCATGGTGACGGTATTTCTGTCGATCTCGTGGCCTTGACTTTCAAGTACCTCGCAGATGAGGCCATGTAGCATAATCTCCTCTTCGGTCATTGGCTTATCACCAATACGTGTGGAGCTATTTGAGGCCTGTCCATTTCGACGCTTGCCATCGATGATGTAAGTGTTGAATTGCTCCACAGGAATATCGTCCACGAGAAGGCGCATTCGACGCCGATCTGTCTTTGTTGAAGCAGAAAGTGGTATTCTGGACACTGGGATCCAAGCCGTTGGGATCATGAAGGCAGGTAAGCGAGTGCTGAGTTTATGCTTAACCTTCTCCACTTCAGAGCACACCTCATCTTTCATGGATATAGCAAAGCAACTCTCTTGCGCATTAGTCTTCAAGTTGTCAGCGAAGAAAAGAGCAAGAATCTTCCGGGTCCCATGCTGGACGACCTCGGCTGCGATGTCCCAGGACGAATTCATGGCTTCACGAGTATGGTACTCCACTTCGCTAAGCTCCATACGCTGACCACGGATTTTGACTTGCGTGTCCTTGCGAGAAATATAGAGCAGTGTGCCGTCAAGCTCTGGAGCGTACTGAACCAAATCGCCTGTTTTGTACAGACAACTTCTTGGAGAACCAGACTCTCGATATCTGTGTATCCAATCAGGCCACTCGACAAACGCTGTTTCAGTCTGCTCCGGGTCCCCATGATAGCCCCTTCCCACACTAGGGCCTTCAATTAGAAGTTCTCCCACCGCACCTATAGGCGCTAGGCGGGTATTGTCATCTTTATCCACAATCCAACCAGTGCAGCCAGTTGGAAATCCGATGTTCCGAGGATCCGAATTCAGATTCAACGAAGTCTGCAAGGTTGCCAATACTGAGCACTCCGCCGGCCCATATGCTTGCATGAGCTTAAGGTGTTGGGCCCATTCTTCGATTTCTGTGGGTCCAATAGCCTCACCCATCAAACAAAGGTGTTTCAGTGAAGGAAAGTCCCCGGGATTCATTGTCCGAACAACACTAGGTGTCTGCCATGTCCAATTGGCGTTTCTGGACGCGACTGCCTCTGGTAACGAGTTGTCACGTTCTTTATCTGAAATAATGCAGATGCATCCACCAGCCATGAGCGTTGTCAAATGTTCAATAATGCTGGCATCAAATGCGTATGAGGAGAACTGCAGAACCCGGGATGTCGATTTTATCGATGCAGCTGCAATATGCGCTTTGGCCCCAGAGGCATATGCGTAATGTTCAATCACAACACCCTTGGGCTTTCCCGTTGACCCTGAAGTGAACACTGCGTAGAGGGCATTGGCTGGATTGATGGTCGGTAATATGATTGAAGGTGCTGAGTTAGAGTTTAGCGTGTCGTCCACCACTAGGCTGCCAGGGACAAGGATTGTTGCTCTCTCGGATAGGTCTCTTGAGGCGAGAATAACTTGTGCGCTTGCTTGGTTGCAAATCGCTTCCAGCCTGTCGTTGGGGAATGATGCGTCTAATAGAAGAAAAGCACCACCGGCCTTCAGGACTGCGAGTATAGCGACCACTGTCCATTTTGACTTCTCGAAAAGCAAGGGGACGAATACTTCTGGGCCTACTCCTCGGTGATGGAGCTGAATGGCGAGTGCTGTCGAAAGAACTTTAAGAGTGCCATAACTAAACGATCCGTCCCAAGAGCACACAGCCTCTGCATCAGGTGATGCTATACATCGGTCCCGGATAGCGTCATGAATGCACAAATCAACCGGTTCAGTCAATCGTGAGCTCCATGATTCTAGCAATAGCTCGTCATTGCCACTAAGAGCGCTGATGTCTCCAAGTCGGCAGTCGGGCACATCATGTATTTGTCGCATCACATAGTCCAGCTGGCAAAGTAAGGCCTCAACGTATCTCTCTCCAATGATTCTCGGGTCGAAGAACGCGTCGACATGAATTTGATCTCTTCCGAGCACTTCACATGATAATGTAAGGGCGTAGCTGAAAAGCTCCGGCAATTGATCATCAGCCATGTCCCCAAGAAGACTCATCCCCCGCCTGAATGTGGAGCATGAACGATCAAAATATTTTCGAACTTGCAAGCACTTTTTGTGTCTGCGGACAGTTTGGCGATATTCTGTAGACCGCGTTGCTCATGGGGGAGAATTGACGCGCTTTCACGCTGCACGCTATCTAGAGCATCGGTGACCGAGGTCTCCAGGTTTATTCTCACTCTGAATGGCACAGTCGCTAAAGTCGGACCAACTAAGCTCTCTATACCTTCAACGGGAGCGCTTCTGCCTGTCGAGACAGCCCCGAACACCACATCGGTATTATCTGTGTGCTGGGCAAGAACTAGAGCCCAACAAAGACGCAACTTTGTGGTCGCCGTGAAATTGCTTCTCGAGTGCCCGAGCTTGATGACTTTATTCTTTCCCACACTTGGCTTGGGAAGGTAATTCGCGTCTTTCACGCGAGGGAAGGCCACGTGCTGGGCGTCTCCAAGATAATTTTCCCAGAAAGCGTCACTCGACTCAGTTGGACGGGAGTGCACATATCCAACGAACTCTTTAAACGCCTGTCGCTGCACCTGTCGTCCTTGATAAATTGTATCAACCATCTCGAGCAGAAGTACAGATGACCAGCGATCAAAGATGGAATGATGAAGAGAAATCAGGATGCGTGTTTGTCGGGAGTCCACCTGAAGGAGAGCGAATCGCGCCAATGGGCATCCTAATTGCATAGGATATTTGTGATTCCAGTCTCGCCACTCCGACTCGCTGGTTACAGGGCGCCAGTCTATTTTCTCTTTCACGACAACTTGATGGAATCCCGCCCGACCAAGCTGAACAATTCGTGTGCGCAGTATGGGAAGGGAATCGAGCACAGTCTCCCATGCAGTTAGAAGATGGGACAGATCTGCCATTAAAGGTACATCGCAGGCCATTTGCAGAACATAAGCACCAGTTCTTTGTGCGGATAGTGCCATAAGCCCCTCTTGCAATGCTGTGCAAGGATACAAGTCTTCGATCGCATCGATATTAACCCCACACTCCCTTGCGGCGTCTGGGGCGAGGTCATCGACCTCAAAGGTCAAAAATTCCTTCTCGGTCGATTCATGCTCTCCGCGGTCATCGATATAAGTTGCCAGATCTCTCAATTTTGGGTATCGAAACATATCCATGACAGTGAATACAAGCCCGTGCTTCTTAGCCAGCGGAACCAGCCGAATTGCCATGACTGAATCCCCTCCTAGGTGAAAGAAGCTGTCGTCGGGGCCGATATTTTGGATCGCTAGGCCTGTCAGTTCCGACCACAACTGCTGCATAATGTATTCAGTCCTTGAGAGTGAGGATTCCACATTTTGAATTCTGTGCGCTGAAAGCTGCACTAGCTCAGCTCTTGTCCGGCCCGCTGCCTCCTCGCACAACAATCGACGATCTGTCTTGTTGGTACGCGTGAGTGGGATTCGAGATAACGGTACGAAGGCAGTTGGAATCATGTAGCTGGGAAGAGCGGTCTCCAGGGCCTGCAAAGCATTGGCAACACACTGACGGATAGCATCATCCCCCTGGGTCACGGGGCTTTCGGAGCCCTGGTTCATGCCCGTGTCTGAGGAGGCTAATAGAAATGCCGCGAGCATATCAACACCGTCTTTCGTATGCACCACTTCGACAACTGCTTCGGATATTCCCAATGCGCTTCGAACGTGATGTTCAATGTCGATGAGATTAATCCGGTTCCCGCGGATTTTCGCATGGGCCTGCTTCCGGCCTACAAACCTGATAGATCCATCCGAGGTATACCTGACCAGGTCGTTCGTTCGGTAAAGCCTCGTTGATTGGCCTGGTCGGAATCGCTTCATCCAACTCGGTGGCTGGATGAATTGCGCTGCAGAACGTTCCGGGTCGTCCATATATTCCTTCGCTAAAAATGGCCCCTCGATTAGCAGCTCGCCGACCGCACCGACAGGGACCAGCTTCTCGATGTCATCGCGATGGCATATCCAAGCTGCGGGGATAATAGGCTTCCCGAGAACTCGGGAATCGCTTTCTGCAGTCAGGTGTGGGTTCAGCAAACACCAGCCACACGTTTCGGTTGTGCCGTATGACACATTGATCTGGCACTTTCCGGCCCAGCGCACAACCACGTCCCGGGAAAGAGATTCGCCACCCACAGTGACACACCGGAGATCAGGGAGTTTATCAGGGTCCAGTCCGACAAGGGATGTCGAAGTGAGCCAGCAAAAGGAGGCGGCCGAGTCTTTCAATGCTCCAGTCAGATCGTTCAAACGTTGCCCATCGGACGGCATACACAATGTCCCTCCTTTGGCCATGGTGCCGAAGATATCGCATATGCTGACCGTGAATGTAAAAGAGGTGAATTGGAATGTTCTTGTTTTCGCTGTAAACTCGCTGGCCTCTGCGTATGCGGTGATGCTCATGTACAAGGCTGCATGTTCCAGGACGACCCCTTTGGGGTTACCTGTACTTCCAGACGTCCACATGAGGAAGGCTGGCGATCGTGGATTGACGGCAACCCAGGTCAAATTCAGGTCATCCTTTGCGGAAGATAGAGAATCGGCAGAGACAACCACGACATCAATCCCCTTCATCTGAAACAGTGACGCGTATGTAGCCGTCACCACAACGGTTCTGGCACCACACGATTGAATCATGCTTTCTAATCTATCGCGTGGATGAGATGCCTCGAGAGGGGAACAAGCAGACCCGGCTTTCAAAATTCCCATCATAGCGACAACGGCCCAGGCGGACTTCTCTGCACACATTGGTACGTATGTATTCACGGAATTGAGTGCCCTGAGACGTTTGGCTATAATCGAAGCATAGAGGTCGAGCTCTTTGTATGTTAATCGAGCATCCCAAGCATCGACAGCAACTTGGTCCGGTGTGTCGAGTGTTTGCTTCTCAATGATACTGTATAGATAGTGCTCCTCGACATTACGCGGACTAGTGTTGAACTTTGATATCTGATTGAAGTTGTGCTCGCTGAGGACATCCATCTCGCTTATGGGAATAGTTGGTCCTTGTAATCCGTCTGTGATCTTCTCGAGGGTGGTGGCGATGTTAAGTGCATGTGTATCGGAAACAATATGCGAGCGATACACCAGAGAGGCTGTAAATTCGTCCGAGCATTGTATTACCAACGCTGATTGCAGTTCCTAGGTATATTAGCTTTGATTTCAGTTTCTCCCACACATTCTTGCTCACAGCTGGAATTTCGACATCTCTTTCTGTAAAGATACAGACACCGGAAGTGATTTCACCTGTCTCCTCACTATCTTGGTACTGGAAACGAATATCTTGCCACGGTTTATCGGGGTTAATCGCCGTCCTAAGGGTTGATCTTTTGCGATTGCGAATCAGCTCGAATTCGGTGGCTTCCGCCTCATACACAAATAACAAAATAGCCCAGGCGATGTAAAGCAGCTTTGCCGAATCCTCATCATCGCTTTTGAGATCGGAGTACTTGACACCTTTGAGCGGAATAGATGCCATTTCGTCCTTGGCAGTGCGCCCATCTGTTAGACCGGGAAACTGATAGCTGGTTCGGGACTCCATTGATTGCTTTGGCGGAAGACGGTCGTGTTCTTTAGCCGGTCGAGTATAAAGTCACCAAAGAGCGAAAAAAAAAAAAAAAAAAAAAAAGAAATATATACATTCAAGTCATATAATACAAGATCTTCAAAGTCAGTCACCCTCAAACATCAAACATACCCGTGGACATTATCGAAGGATTTTCTTTTCCCAATGGCTGTACACCTCATTTTCCCTGTAAGGAATGCAGTTACACGTCATAAAATGACCCCGCCACGTACCTTGACTGCATGCACTAGAGACACCGGAAGATAAAACAAGCTACTTAACGTCGTCCCCTGTTTATCAGGAGTGGAGAGCGTTCGTCAAATGTCTTAGGTTGGGTTCGAGTACTTTGCCACGATCAGAGATGGCCCTTTTCCTTTCCCTTCACGTCTGGAGGAGTTGCCTACCCCCAAAACAGGGAAAAAGGTATGTGTGATTTTATCTTCTGATTGGATAGTGGCGTTGTCAGGAATGGTACAGCACGAGATGCGAGAACAAGAAAGAAAAACACCTAAAACCAAACGACAAATATGTCACTTGAATATTCCGGCTTTCATGAGAGACCTTGGTACTAGGCCTTACTAAAGATTGGGAGGTGGTAGTATCAGATATTTTCTTTGTTGACTTCTTGGCCCCCGAATAAGTAGCTCATGGCCAGGAATATATATATCCACCAAAATGCCAATGGATTTCCCTCACTAGACCGAACTTCCAAGCTACATATGCTAATCCTGCTACTACGAATCCTAGTTACTGGATACGGTCAATCGTTACTCTCACGCCCTTACTACCCGACCTGGGATGTGGCAGCATCATGTCGCTGTGTAGTCGGACGTCGTCCACCGTAGTCTCATGCAACTTCATATCGAATGTGCGGAACACCGTAGCGACAGCCATATAAAGCTCCGCAAATGCCAAACTATTCCGAGTCATATTAGCATATCGGCGAATCTTGGACCACTGGATGAAGTAGATCATAAACGCACTTCATTCCGATACATTGGCGGGCACCCTTGCTGAAGGAAACCAGGTATTTGTTCAACCTTTTCCTCTCTTCAAGGTTTGTCCATCTCTCCGGGATGAACTCGTGCGAGTTAGGGAAGATAGACTCATCGTGATGGATAAGGGCCGCGGACATTCCGATCGATGTCTAGGTCTGTTAGCTCCCGATGAAAGTCTTTCTGAGGGTACACGTACATTGGGTGGAATGACAACGTCATTATACTGCAGTGGATCGGTTGGGCATATTCTCTGCAGACGGTGGGAAAGGCCATATGATAGTCTGATTCATGCGGTCAGTACAAGCTTTAATTCGTGGGTCCAAAGGGAGACTAACCGGAGTGCTTCGTAAATGACTCCAGTCTGACGAGATCAGCTTCATGATTCGATACTAGGACAGGAAAGAAAGCTGACCAGGTAGGGGAGTTGTTCAAGCGTCTGTAAGTCCATTTCCTTCTTCTCCGGAAAGGTTTCTTCCAACTCCGCACGTAATTTTTGAAGAACCTCCTTATCATTGAGGACGTGGAAGGTGCAGACCGTCATCGTATGCGCCGTGGTCTCTGTTCCCGCTGCCACGATAGTAATATACTCATGAAGAACTCTAGTCTCCGTGATATCAGGGGTGTTCGGGGCTTTGGCGACCATTTCCTGGAACAGCGCGGGCTCCTGAGAAAGTCTGTTCTTTTCAAATTCTTCTTTTGATTCTTTTTCGTTCACCCACATGGCCTTTACCTCTTCCGCACATTTCATCCGGAATGCGATGACAGGAAGCAATTTCGGATAAATTCGCTGAATCCACTTCATCCCCATACTCACCAGAAGCGGGAAGAAGCCAGGTAGATGCCGGGCGAGCATTCCAATTTCGACAAGGTTGCGGACTGTCTCGCTCCATATGGGCATCATATGAGGATCATCGAGATAGTTGAACGCGCGAAAGCTGGTATAAGATGTGATCACGTCGGCGGTGAAGCAGTTGAAAGCGACGTCCACTTTGAGTGGCTTTCCTGAGTGCGCAACCTCATTGAATCGAGTAGTGAGCTTCTGCAGTTTATCATGAATGAGCGACTGCACACGCTGCACACGGGCTTTGGTAAAGTACGGAGCGATCAGGGCCCGACGGGGTCTGTGCAAACGATGATCCAGCGTGGCGAAGGCAGACTCGGCGACATCGAACGACTCGATGAACCATGAGTCCTTGTTGCGCGACCCATTAATTGAATAAAGAGTTTCGTAATAGTCGGGGTCATTGATGTGCACTTCCCCAGGGCTGATGCGGATTATGGGGCCTAAGACATTTAGCACACTGTGCTATGATGTGGATCGATGGGCTCCAAGTGAGTCGAGATCACATACCGTATTTCTTGTGCAGCTCAGCAATCTTGAAGGTATACCTACCGTGTAGGATAACATCGTAATAGAACTCGTACAGACGTGTGCATGCGGCCAGTTTAGGCCCTGGAATATGTGAAAGCGGAGAAAAGAAAAGCCGGTAGGTCGCGGTAGTGACCACATAAATGACGGGTGGTACCAACAACGACCAAAGAAGAAAGCGTAATTTGGAGGCGGATATATCCGAGTCCATGTTTGACTGCTGGTTTCTGTTATTAAGAAGGGGCCAACGCAAAGTGCTGGGTGTGGTGGCGACGCAGTTTTCAGGCCGGAGCTTTTATCTACAACAATATGGTCCGGTCCTATGGAGTGCATTAGCACCCAGGCAGGACAGGGATCCTTCCATGACGTGTAAAGATTGCCACTGACGCGTTTCAATAATTCAAGACTCGATCAATAACCTATCACATGAGTGCTTAGCTCATGCATACGGTCTATAATATAGGTAAATTGGCTCCAATAAAGCCTTAGCCTTGAGCTAATGTCAATAAACTCGGTCCAACTACTTGTCATGGCAAATTGAATGAGCTTACTTCGTACATTTCAATCGTTTTCTATTGAGTGGCTTGCGTACAAGAGAATCCCGGTTCCCACTGGTTCCTTGTCGGAGCATTGGTATTGAGATCCTGGCTGCTGATAGAAACATTGCCCGGTAACATGAAATGGATCCAAGAGCCTTAGCGCATGCATATGCCTTTTTTGATGTCCCGCCTCGATCTGTTCGCTCCTTCAAAGCGATCTGCTGCGCTAATGCACTGGATATAAGGCGGGCGGAATACTAAATAATACCGTCTTTTCTATGAATCTCAACGCCACTTTACCTTTGCTGCATATTGAATGCACGCTCTAATGCAGCAATATGGTTAGTATACATATTTCCGGGAAGGGTTAAGCTCTAGACTGTGACTGAGTGAGGGGAGCTGAAGAGAGGAAACATTGATATACAAACGCCTCTGTAATCTCAACAAACCACGAATTGCTACCTTTGTTGGCTATCAATTGCTTTCCTATTTACGAAGCCTACTTCACAATGGACGATATTCGCTTGTCCGCAGACCTGCCGGTGGACTGGACTGATATGCTGTCGCAATTGAATGCCAGCGGAGATGTTTCGGGCGCTCAGCCTAGCTCGATGGCCCCGAGAGGAGGATTCGAATCGTAAGATCCTAGGCTATCTTTCATTATGACCTAGCACTAATTATCCATAGAAATGGTGTCTCTGTGACACCTATAGCGCGAAACAATGATCACTACCCATATCAGCCCTCCATGCTAGAGTTGAACAACCTTGATCGAATTCTTGCGTTACCATCTTCGAGCGCCAATAATGGCACTCCAGGTCCTCATACGCCTTTTTCCGAACCTCATGATCTATTCACTCTCCTCCCAAACACAACGCCTTCTACGGCAAATCAAGAAGAGACCGATGCAGCGGCGCAGCCAATTTCCGGCCGGAGCGGATTCTCCTTCCGGCGAGACGAGACCCACGTTTGAAAAAAGCGCCGAGGTGAAACGACTGCGGCAGAAATATCACGAAAAGTACAAAGAGCGCAATCGTTTGGCTGCAGGAAAGTCGCGACAGAAACAGGTCGATTTAATCGCTCTCCTCGAAGCGGAGCGGCGAGATGAAGAGCGCCGAAGACGGGTTCTTGAGGATGAAATTCAGAAAATAAAGAAAGATCTATTTGCTATCAAGCAAGAGCTTCATCATATTCGGGTGTTCAATTGTATGGGCATGATGTCGCAGGGCGCTCGTCTTCAAACTCTGGGCCTTCTGGCACAAGATATCTTTCGGTAACAGAAATCGCAATACATGTTCAGTCGAGGGAATATGCACTTGGACTTTCGGAAACATTATCGCCACCTATCTGTCATTGGGAAGGTAATTGAAACTACCAAGGTTCGCAGAACTTCAAGCTAAGCAAAGGCCGAGCTCGAGGATCGGAGCAACTGGGTGGGATGGTAGCCCTCTCAGAGTCGAAAACACGGACTTGATCATCATTTCTTTTTTTTTTTTTTTTGGTTTTTTTTCCGGCCGATTATCTTGCATAATACGCTCGGCGATCGCCGGAGTAGGTATAATTTAAACAAACCTCTCCTACCGCAAACCATGCTACTACAATAGAAAGTCCTTGGCTGCATGATGCATAGGCCTAGGTGATCATCATCACGGATGACCCCAAATTGCATAGTTCAATCTGTGCTGTACTCCGTAGTTAAATTTCATTAATTTCCGCGTCATCTACTGGCTGGCTGGCCCATGCGCCAGGCATTGGCAAGGGGTGCGCTGCACCCCTGACGATTCCTGGATCCCAGGGTCTCGAATCGCCAAGGATCAAATCCTTTCCCGAGACCAAGCCCAACAGGTACCCTGCTCGTAAGGCGGTTAAATTGGCATTCCCCTCTTTTCACATTCGCCACCGACGATGGTGTCGCTGGCTGAGGCATTCTCATCGCGAACAATTTCCTCCTCCAGGTAATAAATCAACGCCAACAGCATCTTCTCATGTTAAAGATCGTCTTCACGTGGTAATTATTTCTCGAACTGGCTACGCTTCGGTATACGTATATATTCCTGCAGGCAGATCCTTGTAGGTTGCATTGCGTTGAGCTGCTTCATGTGCGGCACTGCGCTATCCTGCGTGCTAAAGTAGCCTGAAAGGACGATCAACAAAAGCAATCTCTTGCTGTTCTCAATTTTCGCATAGCGGTTTATTAAATCGTTGGGGTGGATTTCCTGCGAAGCGGAAGCTAGTGACTCTGGCTTCAGTGCCAAAATACAGATAGGGTTTTCTCAGGCACGTGATCCATCTGTTCACATAATATTCTTCCACGAGATCGAGCTCGGACTCTATTTGAGAATTTAAGGTTACTGCCGAAGATACTGATGTCTCCCGAGGTCTCGGCGAAAGTTAAGAGTTTGGGTGCGTGGCCATATCCTGGATTGTTGTGCCCATCCACTTCCTGGAAGAATAGTGACTAGCAGTCTCATTCCCAGCATCAAAAATGGGTTAGGTCAGTAAGCACACTCTTAAGGGAGATGTTTTCTTATTCGGGATTTTTGATAGATAGACCCTGATATTTGTCAACGTCATGCAAAGTTTCCAATGGAAGAACTACGGAGTACTAGGCCAATTAAGTCCGCGTCCTTTAAGGGTCCAGGGGGTTATTATTAGTTCCACTTATAGAGTAGCAATAGCATAAGTACAAAAGCAAAGACGGGAGACGGATATGTACAGTACTTTTGTCCCTTGTCGTCAGCTGATGATTAGCGCCATTTTATCGGGTGGCGAGTAAGAGGGGGAATTGTACTGCCCACCATTTTCAGAACAAGAGGCTGTTGGAGGCCTAAATCAATTATTGCCGTCTGTCTTTGAAGCGAAATCTGGTTTATAATCTCTTTCAGATGAAATTAAAAACGCGTTGGGTACCAAGTGTAGATACGTCGTTTATCTAACGTGCTTTCTCCTGGGGACTTGGCATGCAGCATCCAAATTCAATCGCCATTCAAATACAGTGACTTACACGTCATCCTTCACGTTGCCACCGTCCTTTTCCTCCCAATAGTCCATGTAACTCTGCATGTCTCATCCTGTGTATTCTGTTGAGAGGGGGATAGGCGGGCATCCCCTTTAGCGCCGTTGGACCACATATGATGTAGTTGTTGATACGGAGTACTACGAAGTAGCTAATATTGGTCATGTCAATAAATTAATCTTCAGCTATGGCGACTAATTCTCTTGCAATTATACCATAGCGTGTTTATCGATGATGAGGAATTAGGGCATCTAGGAAATGACAATTTACACCAACAGCCTTAGGTGACCTTCTTGTCATTTGGCCTTCTGTGGAATTCAAGGATGAGCTCTTCCATTTCGAGTTCCCAGCTAAGGTGACTAAACGTTGGTGTTTACACGTCATTTTCGAGATTCTATTCGCAATGAAAGGGCAATAGAAGTTCAAAAAGATAACTTGGGTGAAGCACATTCCCTGGCATGAACTATATTTAAATTATGATATCCGACTCTAAACATATAGCTTCAATTTGATCACTTCGGATAATATTCCAGACAACAGACATGTCAATTCCAACTAAAGCGACGGCGCTCGTAATCGGCGGTGGTCCGGGAGGCTCCTACGCGGCATCAGCCCTGGCGCGGGAAGGAGTCGACACGGTGCTGCTAGAAGCGGATGTGTTTCCTAGGTTAGACAGTCTGGTCCTATGAAAGATGGTGATGTGTCGGTGACATTTCTAGATATCATATCGGTGAGAGTCTCGTCGCCTCAATCCGACCGCTTTTGAAGTTCATCGACTTGGATGACACCTTCGTGAACTATGGCTTCGTGAGAAAGGTATTTGCTTATTTGTCTGCGGTCTCCATGACGAACATGTACTGAGTGATTACAGAACGGAGCAGCATTCAAACTGAATAACCAGAAAGAAGCTTGTAAGCAGACCATAGATATGATAAACATCGACTAACCATCCTAGACACGGACTTCATTCTCGAACCTGGCGCTGGAACCTACGCGTGGAACGTCATCCGATCAGAGTGCGATGAGCTGATGTTCAAACATGCCGCGAAGTCTGGAGCGAAGACATTCGACGGCGTCAAAGTCACGTCGATCGAGTTCATTCCAGATGAAAGCAACGTCGAAAGCCCCGGTCGACCGGTGTCCGCTAGCTGGAAAACCAAGGACGGTCGCACTGGGATTATTGATTTCCAATACCTCGTCGATGCAAGTGGTCGAGCCGGTATCACCAGCACCAAGTATCTGAAAAACCGAACTTTCAACAATTACCTTAAGAACGTCGCTAGCTGGGGCTATTGGCGCGGTGCGACACCATATGGCGTGGGAACTCCGGTAGAGGGCCAGCCTTACTTTGAGGCCCTTCAGGGTTCGTTTATTTCCGTGACTGTCATCCCGATTCGGACTTCAGTCATACTAACAGCAAGTTTCTTATAGATGGCAGCGGCTGGGTGTGGTTTATCCCTCTGCACAATGGCACGACTTCCGTCGGTGTGGTCATGAACCAGGAGATGGCTACAAAGAAGAAAAAGCTATCATCCGTGACCTCCAGTCAAGCTTTTTATCTAGAGTCGCTCGAAGGAGCGCGCGGGATCTCTCGTCTCCTCGAACCTTCCACGCTCGAAGGCGACATCAAACAGGCGTCGGATTGGTCCTATAATGCCTCTTCATACGGCAGCTCCCACCTGCGCATAGTCGGGGATGCCGGTGCATTCATCGATCCGTACTTCTCATCGGGAGTTCATCTGGCTCTTTCGAGCGGATTGTCTGCCGCAACATCCATTTGCGCGTCTCTGCGCGGCGATTGCGAAGAAGAAGCTGCGTGGAAGTGGCATTCCCAGGGCGTGGCTAATAGGTACGGTCGCTTTTTGCTGGTAGTGCTCGGGGCGACGAAGCAGATTCGGGCGAGAGATACCCCGGTCATGAACAAGGATGGTGACGAGGGGTTCGACGATGCGTTTACCGTAATCAGACCCGGTATGATTCAAACCTACAAAAGAGCTTTGTTCCTTTTAATCTGGAAGTCGCGGCTAATAAAACGTCGGCTGCAGTTATTCAAGGAATCGCCGATGTCCCTGGTAGAACCACCCATAGAGAGATCCTTGATGCCGTTGCCTTCAGCACGAACGTCGTAGGGCCCAATATTAAAGGCACGGAGCAGGCCTGGGTCGAGAAAGACCATGGTGCTTTGTCCTGCGACGAAGAGGAGGTTGGCAGGGTCATGAATAATCTGGCCAAGGCGTACAAAGCACAGGATGTCTATGAAGGGCTCACAGCAAGACTTGAGAGAGGAGCGCTGGGATTGCAGGTTGCTAATTAGTCGAATAGGTGCTGAATGTACTGACTGGGTTGAATCGATTTGATCTATTCCACCTGTATTGTATAAGTCCGTTTAAATAATGTTGTAGAAGAGAAAAATATCAAAAAATATACGGGAGAAAACTTGACAAGTGGAGAATGAACTGAATTTATTTTGAGAGTAAAAAAGGGGTTCGATTCTCTTTCGATCGATCAAAAAAAAAAAAAATAAGGATGGGGTGCGAAGGTCCAGGGTACGGCAGCCGATTTGGGCCAATTTTGACAACGGGGTTTCTGCCATGCAGAAAATTAATAATTGCCACTAATGGAACCATACAATACTAGAAAATTACATAGTACAATTTCTATCAACTTTAGTTATTCGGCTTGCTTGGTCTATCCTAAACGGCCTCGTGGGACTAGGAGGGTATTAAAGTAGTAAATAAAGCTTTTTATCTATATATAAATGGTAGTATATTTATATTTTTAGACGGTTTTGTTAAGGCCCCTATAGAGTTGTAGGCTAAAAAGTAGGGAGGGAGAGAGTTAAGTGGAAGGCGAGGGGTTGATGCCTAAGGCATAAATATAGCGGCCTAAGGCATTAAGTTAGGAGATTGTTAAAATAACCCCCCTAACTGAAAACCGGTTACCGCCTTCCCGATCGAGTATAATACTAGATTCTAAGGTTAGTTGTCAAAGTACAGGGTTGTATATATAGATTTATATAGTATAATACTATAGAAGATGGAAGATTATATGACTTCGAGTATAGGATATACCTTATATAATCAAGCTTAGTTAGTACCGTATAGAAACAGCGGATTTTTATTAGATAGAAAATATAGTTCTCTATATCTACTATAGTGCCTATACTATTTAATACGTTAGATTTCTGTTATTAGTGCCGAATTATACCTACCCTCTTTATACCGCCTTCCCGATTTAGTACGATACTAGATTCTAAGGTTAGTGCCTAATTCTGCCTATAGCTCTCTATACCGCCTTTACGGTTTTATAAAGACGGTAGGTACCTACAATTTATAGATAAACTACTAATAAAATTAAGTCATATATATCTAAGTGTGACGATTTGCAGGGTTTTCTGCCAGTTGACTCCGCCTGCAGAGTTTTCTGCTGACTGACTCCGCCTTTGGACGAGTCAGTTGGTTCTGCCGTGTGTTTCCGCCTTGCAGAGATTTCTGCTGATTGTTTCCGCCCTCGACCTAGGACCCACCCTACAATGTCTTTTGGTCCTATTGATAGATTCTTTTCTTCTCTTTTCTTTTTCCTCCCTATACTTAATGTTCTCGTTAAATGCACTCTTTTTGTTTTAAAGAACTAGCTAGTAATATAATATTAAGTACTATTTCAATTTTTAATAAGTAGAAGACCGTATAGATCCCTATTATAGTAGATCTCGGTTAAAAGCTTACCTACTCTCCGTTCCTTAGTATCGTATAGCTAAGACCGATCCTCCGAACCGAACCGAATCCTATCTAACTAGTTATAATAATCGAGACCCGCTAGAACCCGACGAACTATAGTAAGTAGCCGCTCGCTACTATACTAGAAGAAGAAGAGATCGACCGGGTAGTCGATATATCCGAACCTCGAACCCTATACGCTAAAATACTAAGACTAGTTAATACTAGTAAGATAAATAATAATAATAATACTAGAGAGGGATCGTCCTCTATACGCGAATAACTTCGGAAGACTCCTTTAAAGAAGAGATTCTAGGAACTTACTCGTTAATATTAACGACTAGAGTAAGAGAATTAGGATTTAAGAAAGGAGGTTATAATACTCCTTAGTAAGATTAATAATCTAATAACTAAGCGTAATAAGATAATTACTTATCGTAATATTATAACCTATAAATAGGAAGACTTAGTATTCCGTCTTCTTATTACTTAGAATCCTAATATAGCTAATACTAACGTACTAATTATAGAGGCTAATATTATTTAAAAGATAATTAAGATATCTAATATACTAATACTTAATAATAAGAAAGAAGTAAGATTCGAAATATAGGAGATAGTAATCTAATAAAAACTTAAAGCTAATATAGACTATTACTCTCTCCCTATCTATTAGAGACTCTATATATAAAGTCGATATAAAGATAAGACTTAGTTATATATTACTCCTCGAATAAACGCCGACGCTAGTATTCCTTATAAAGATATAAAGGATATTATTACTTACTTAAAGACTATTTTTATAAACCCGAATCGATATACTAAAGTATATACTATATATTACTAACTAAAGATAAAGCCTAAAGATAACTTTACCGATTTCTTTATAGAGTTTATATAGCTTATAGAAGAAGCTACTATTATAATTAAGAATCGGAAATGAGATCTATATTCTAAACTCCTATACCTATTTTAAATCTAAGTTATATAGGCTATTAACTAAGAAATAATCTCGTTCGATATATTCGTATAGAGTTACTAGAGTATATTATATAAAATTAATTTATAGTAGGAAGCTAAGTCGACTAATCTCTATTCTTATATAAATCTATCTTTAGGAAGCGGTATAGGTACTACTATAATTAGTTCGAATTCTACTCCCTATATAAAGTAAGAAGATAGTATTAACTTTATTAGTCTCTCCGCGTTTAAATAGGAGACCTTAATAAAAAAAGGTTATTATTTTAATTATAAGGAACGAGGATATATAATCTATAATTATCCGAAGAAGAAGTTAAATTAGCCTATTACTATAGTTATTATAACCGTTATTATTCTTTAGATTTAAGAGATTATAGAGCTCGAAGTAAGCGATAAAAAGAACCTAGAAAAAGCCTTTATCTAGAATAAGTCTCCCTCCTAAGTAGAAAGAAAGTTTTACTATTTATACTAGACTTATAGAAATTAGTTAGTAGTCTTAAAGATAGCTTAGTTTTTAATATATAACTAATATATAATAGCTATTCTTTTTCTATTTTAGTACTAGATAATACTAGAGTAGATAGATATATCTTTATTAATACGATAATAATTATACTACTTAATAAGTAATTTAGGATTAAGGTAGAGAGGCTTAGCTATAAATATCTAGTATATAGATTTAATAATAAGCTAGCTAAATTAATATAATATATCGCTATTCTTATAATTTATATAGATAGTCGAGTATAGCGATAAGTCCTAATATTAATTATAGATCTTAGACGATATAATATAATCTTTAAATAGATATAGTTTATTAAATATAATATTCTTCTAGATTACCGATAGTATCGAATAATTTAGCTAAATTAAAGAAGCCTTTCTAATAAAGTAGTAAGTAAGATTACTATTCCTTTTCTAATTAAAATCTTAAAGAAGCTATTAAAGATAGATCCTACCTATTAAACTAATATAGAATAACGCGATCGTCTTTTTAGATAATAAGATTAGTAGGATTAATAACTCTAATATATCTAAGAACGTTAATATAGATATTAATAGATTAAAGAGAAATAAAAGATAATTCGAAATTTAAAAGATAAAATAAAAGTTCTAAAGCCCCGGATATTAATAAAAGAAGAGTAGACCCCGATTAGTATCGATATCTATATAATTAAAAGCGCTAGATTTAATCGACTTTATATAAGAAATAAGATTAATAAAAAAACTAAAATCTTTATAATCTCTTTTTATAAAATCGACTATATTATTAATATTAAAAGTACTTAAATATAGGATCCTAAAATAGATAAGATACTTTAGACTCTACTAAAAGAATATTACGATCTCGCGGAAGTTTTTTTAAAGAAAAAATTGGATAAATTACTATCTTATAGACCTAGAGTTAATTATAATATTATACTTAAAGCCGAAGTATAATCTAGATATTATCCTCTCTATAAACTATCTCTTTATAAACTAAAAGAAGTAAGAGAGTATATTATAAAGAATCTTAAAAAAAGATTTATCGTTCTAAGCTTAGTACTATATACTTCTCTAATCTTAATAGCGAAGAAATCTAAAGATAATCTTTATTTCTATATCGACTTCCGAAGATTAAATACTATTATAAAAAAGATTATTATCTATTACTATTAATCGATAAAGTCTTATAATAAATTAGTAAAGCGAAGTTCTTTATAAAGCTTAATATCTAATAAGATTTTTACCGAATTTATTTAATACTAAGAATAGAAGAGCTTACGACTTTCTATATATAATATAGATTATTTAAATATAAAGTTATACTATTTAGATTAATAAATAGACCTATTATATTCTAATAGTATATAAATAATATATTATAAGAATATCTAGATAAATATACTATAGTTTTTATAGATAATATCTTAATCTATAGTAAGACCTTTAAAAAGTATTAGTAATAAGTAAGAGAGGTACTTTAATATCTATAAAAAGTAGGTCTCTAGATAATACTACCGAAGTACGAATTCTCTATATAAAAGATAAAGTTCTTTAGTTTTATTATAAGTACGGACGGTATTATAGTTAATCTAGGAAAGATTAGTATTATTTAATTATAGTAAGCTCCGATAACTATAAAAGGAGTTTAGTTATTCTTAAGATTTTATAATCTCTACTAATATTTTATTTAAGGATATAGTACTATCTTAAAATCTTTATATCGACTTACTTAGTAAGACGTTTTTTACGAATAGACTAAATAATACGAAGCCGTTTTCTTATTATTAAAAAAGAAGTTAATAATTATACTAGTTCTTTATTATTATAACCTAATTCGACGAATAAGAGTCGAGACTAATACTTCTAATAAGATACTTAGAGTAGTTCTTTTTTAATATTATAAAAATAATAATTTTTAGTATTTAGTAGCTTTCTTCTTAAAGAGTATATAATCTATAGAGTTAAATTATAAGATATAAGATAAAGAACTTTTAGTAATTATTTATATACTATAAGAATAGTAATCTAAACTTAAAGATTTAGTATAGAAGGATTATTTTAAGATCTTAATAGATTATTAGTCTTTTAAGTATTTTATAATAATAAGATAGATAAATTAACGATAAACGAGATAGAGCGAGTTCCTATCTTAGTTCTATTTTATAATTAAATATTATTTAAGAAAGAAGAATATTATAGTTAACGTCTTATCGCGAAAAGATTTACTTTATACTAATAATAGTAGATAAATAATACTTCTACTAAAGAGTTATCTAGAAAAAAGTATCTATTTAGTCGGTTTAAATCTAATTAATATAAAATATATAATAAATATTATTAAATAGATAAAGTAAGCTAATTAAGAAAGTACTAAGCTAGAGGATTTCTAATAGATAGCTAAGAAAGATAGTAACTAGAAGTAGATAATCGAAGAAGATTTACTTTTATTTAAAGGATAACTTAAGATTCTAGACGAAGGAGATTTATATATAAGACTTCTTAATAATATATATTAATAACTATTAACTATATATCCTAAAATCGAAAAACTAAAGAAGCTTATCTCGCTAAGATATTATTAGCTAGGATAGGCTAATAATATAAAGCGATATATAGAAAACTATTTAATTTATAAATATATAAAGGCCTAGCGAGATTATATATCTAGATTACTATATTCTTTATCTATTCCTAAAAGACCCTAGTAGTATATTTTAATAGATTTCCGCTTATTTCTAAAAGATCGTTATAATTATAATACTATTTTTATAGTTATTAATCGACTAAGTAAGAGACTAATTTCTATTTTTTATTATAAAGATACTAATACTAAGTAGATAGCCTAATTATTTATTAATAATATAATTCGGACTATAAGTATTCTAAAGACTATTATATCTAACTAAGGCGGATAATTTATTTTAGAATTCTAGACTAAGTTCTATTAGATATTTAAAATTAAGAGGAAGTTATTAACTACCTACTATCTTTAGACTAATAAATAAAATAAGATTGCTAATTAATATATAGCCTAGAGATTATAATTATATATTAAATAGAATTAAGATAACTAATTAGAGATTCTACTAATAATAGATTTCGTAGTATTAATCTTTTTATAGGATACTATAAAATAGTTATTATTCTTTATCGAAAGAGGTTATAAACCGGCTATATCCTTTAACTAGAAGGACTAAAGTAATCTAATAAATAACGAACGGGATATAATTAATATATTATTATAATTTTAAAATATCTAGATAAAAATAAGAGATTAGATTATAAAATCCTAGTAGTAGATAATTTAATAGGCGAATAAGTACTAGAGAGAAAAGAATTTCGACGTCGGTAATTAGATTTTTATTATAATAAAAGATTAGTAGCTAGACCGCCTAAATCGGAAGCTTTCTTATCTAGCTAGTAGACCCTATAAGATTATCGAGAAGATCGGAAATATCTATAAGCTCGATCTTCCGGAATCTATTAAAGTTTATCCGGTATTTAATCCTAGTAAGCTTCGAAGAGCGTTATTATTAGAACTATTATACGGATAGTATCTAGACCTACTACCGCTAATTAAGATCTCTAAGGAAGATAAATAGGAAGTAGATAAGATTATCGATTTACGCCTTTATTACTAGAAGTTATAATACCGAGTTTAATAGCTCGGCTATAATCTCGACCTATAGTAGTATCCTATAGGGAACTTTAAGTATATACCTTAGAAGATTTAGTACTTCTATAATAATTACCCTCTAAAGCCTAGACCCCTAATACGCCTATAAGCCTAGTTAGATACGGCTAAAGACGAAGTCTTCCTTAAAGATTATAGGGATAACGATAAGCCGGCATTTAGGGGCTAAATACATTCTTAGTCGGGGGTTATATAACGATTTATAGGGTTTTCTACCAGTTGACTCCGCCTATAGAGTTTTCTGCTAACTAACTCCGCCTTTGGACGAGTCAGTTGGTTCTACCGTATGTTTCCGCCTTGCAGAGATTTCTACTGATTGTTTCCGCCCTCGACCCAGGACCCACCCCACAATGTCTTTTGGTCCTGTTGATAGATTCTTTTCTTCTCTTTTCTTTTTCCTCCCTGTACTTAATGTTCTCGTTGAATGCACTCTTTTTGTTTTAAAGAACTGGCTGGTAACACTAAGAAGCATAATTATTAGTATATAGAGTATCATAGCAGTAATTAGGTAGAAATATACAATTTTTCTGATCAAAACATAGTATTTTTCACTATGTAAACTAGAATTAAATCAAAAATAGAAAGAAATCTAGGTTCAGAATAGGCGGAATGTATTATCTTGTACGGTACAAAAGGCGGAAACTCTAGCGGTGAATCTTATATATGTATTAATAAGCGTTGTCAAAAATGGTCCAAATCGGCTGCCGTAGTCCAGGGGTCGGAAACTAATATTAGTAATATTGATGCCTCAACATGCCTGAATGTTTGCCGACAGAAAATATGAATACCTGAATTACCATAACAGAGCGCTTAAGTAAGTAAAGTACTTCTGAAGTTCCAAGGTTGAAATCCAACATGGGGATGGATGGCGATTTGTACGGGTCGTATTTGTACGGTCGGGATCGATAAGGACAGATAGTGACATACGGTTAGGGGGAATCGATGAGATTGGCGATATGTATGGTCCGGAATATGGTATAAGAGGCTTCAACGCCTAGAAACGGAAGATTTCAAAGATTTGTGTGGTGGGAATAGCTTCAATATTACCCGGGAGGCTTCCATTTGAGAGCTTTATTTACAATACACTGTAAGAGCGGTGCCAAAAAGCGGTGTCTAATTAGGCATATTAAGCCATCTTCAGGCAGTATTATTAGTAATAATTAGTTTCCGACCCCTGGCCGGGATACACCTTCGCAGCGGGTCCTCCCCGGCGCCACTCCCGCAACTCCACAACATACCTAAGTACATACCTCCATCTCCACACAGTCTACAGCTCTTTCCGTTATAGTTCTTTCCGCGATTTCCAAACCACATCCCCTAGTCCAAGCGGATAATGGGGAGCCATTCGGAGCCTGACTCCCCCGTAAACTCTAGCCCGCCATTTTCTCTAGGAATGAGCAGCACTTCTGCGGCAGAATTCGTCGACCAGTCAGACTTCGAATATCATGTCCTGAAAGCAATTCGCAGCGCGTCTGAATCTGAAGTGTTGGTTTTCACTGATATCAACCCACTGTGGGGAGAGGGGATAGTCGACTTGATCAATAAAACGGATGACGGATGTTCTACCAGGTAAGCTACCTCAACCCATATGTGCTCTCTTGTCAAATTTCATTTAACACCGATTCTCTTAGAAAACTTATGATTCGTTAACCGCAGTTTTACGAATCAAAGTCATGCCGACCGAAGTACACGACAGTTGCCAAGACTGGTGGCGTTTGTCAGAGATCAACTTACGGAGGATTGGTGACTTGACCGAGGAGGAACAAGCGCAGCTTGATGTCCGCGTTGGAACGAGTAAGATACCGTATATAGGCTTCTCTTAGTTTACTTCTTATATACTAAATTCCTACAGCACTTCCGTTCGTTGGAGGTCCGTATCGGTCGTCACGCAAGGAACCTGATCTATTCGTCCGCTCGATTTACGACCGTCTCCCGTCCTTCGTTATTGAAACAGGCTGCAGTGTATAACTCTCTCATTGGTTCATATTGCCAGGCAATAATTTAGATTCACTCTCACTTCACTCTCACTTCACTCTCACTTCACTCTCACTTCACTCTCACTTCACTCTCACTTCACAAGTACTATGTTGAATCTATAGTTAACTAACTAGTTATACAAATGAATACTATAACTATTAATTATTTAAAACCCGCCTCTTTATACTCCTAACTCTTAAGTCTTAACTTTTCATTTCTCTGAATCTGAATTGAATCATTTCTTACTATCTTACTATCTTAATCTGAATTGAATCTGAATTGAATCTGAATTGAGTTGTATCATACAGTATTGCAGAGTGCAGATAAAGTCCACATCGATTGACTCATTGGTTGGCTGCGCGCTGTTGCGGGGAGTTTCCACATAATCAACAATCACAGGGAGGCGATGTCGCCTAGTTGGCGTAAGGGGATTAACATCCGGGACGGTAGTAGAAGTCGCAGGATCCGTGGGAGAAGTCACAGGATCCTTGGGAGCAGTCCCGGTCGAACCAGGAGGACTGGCAGCAGATGGGCTTGTTGTAGAGCGATGTAGTCGTTCGGGTGATAAAGGGCTGCCGCTTTTCATGGAGGAACCCGTAATGTCGATTCTCTGTTGGTGACTGACAGGTCTGATTCCTGTAGGAGTGGAATGACGTTTAGTCGTAGACTTCTGCCGGGCAGGAGGAGGATCAATACCGCTAATTACGGACGAAGATGGTGCTATGTTTTCATTCTGTGTTGATGTAGAATGAATAGACGGAGTGGCAGGACGTTCTCGTGCAGGCGTATGGGTATTGTCACTGGGACCGGGGGCACTGGGACCGGGGGCACTCCGTTTTCCAATGGGGCAACATCTGCCAATAACACGGGCGACGCGGAGACTCGAGCCTTTTGTAGACATACTCATAGTTAATAATCAAACTTTTCAAGCACTTCCTATATTTTTATTGGCTGTAGTCGCTCGGGGCTTACTAGTTTGGACGGTGGAGCCAGTTTGGCTAGCGGAGCGGGCCTACTCTGACTCCACTATATACTGCTGGCTCACAACTCGCTGTGGACTTTCGATAACATGCAACAGCCGCCCCTATTCACGGTCACGCCTCCAATTGTATCTAGTTAGTATCACACATAGGGCGTAACAAAGCACAATCAGACTACACCTACAGATCTCTATCCTAGAGATACAAGAGAATTAGGATGCAACACAGCACCACGCAGAACACCAAACACAACCCCCAGACGAGAGCAACTCGCCAGTCGAGTGGGGCTTTGGGAGTTAGAAATTTCATGTTGTATTTGAAGGGCTTTAAGAGAGGCAAGAATGTACACAGAGAGAGGAAGAGGGGAGGAAGAGGAGGGAGGAGGAAAACAGGAGGGAAACAGGAGATAGTAAACAAGCTAGCTATGGGAGAGCAGGAGCCACCCGTTAGGATATATTCTATATTTATCTCGGGAAGGAACACTCATCCGTCCAAATCATAGATAATTAGGTTGAAGCTCTTCACAGCAATATATAAACTCAGTTTACTCCAAATTAACAGATCCTTCAAATAATAGTCAGCCTTCATAGATGTTAAGTCTATAAGTAGGTAGCGGTTGGGTATATATTTAGAATACCTAGTTAATTTTTTGCCTAATATATAGTATATACTTATTACTAGGCCGGGTAGATAAGCTAAGTGCCAATCCTATTCCTAATATCTTGAAGCTCTTTGTTTTGGTGCGGGGTCTCCGCACCACACTACTTCTACATGATGCTCAACTCGGGGGAATAGAATTGGCGCCCCTATCTCACGGGGTTTGGATCCTTAGGGAACAAGACGACATTCTTTACGAGTATGCTCATTATACCCCGTGATGAAAACTATAGCCCTACTGATCCGCAATACCCCTAATTAAGAAACGATCCATCTCCAAACTACAGTCGACTCCCCCAAGGCATATTCGATGCTCTTCAGTATCTGTCTACTTTCTTCAGTACACACCTTGCCGAATCCAGCAAGCGTGATTACGAAGTCGTTGTTAATCATCTAAGGAAAGCGGCAAAGCTGATTGCGCATGCTGGTACTCGTGTAGAGATAGGCATGGTTATGTTCTTCCCATATGTCATCCCCGAGAATATCATCGCAGATATCTAGGCCGCCAACCCCTACGCCCTGCTACTTTTGTCATATTTCGCTCTGCTTTTAAAGCTCATGGAAAACCAGTTCTGGTACATACGTGGCTGGCCTACACGAATATGGGCGGCTGCCGACGAGCAGGCGAAGAACTACCTCAAAGTGAAAAAGATGCTACAATGGCCGAAAGAACAGGCATTGGAGTTGTACAGGCACTAGAAGCCAAATTTTCTAATATCCCAGATCCAGAGGTCGGGGAATAAGGCGCCGCGGCGCCGTTCCGTATTCGTCACTCCCATTCAGCCTCAGAGGGCTGACTGAGACAATTTATACACATGTGTTCTGGTACTTCCCGGAGCGGTCGCCTAGCAACTTGGCGTCGATCCGACGTTCGAATTGATAGTGACCTTCGCCAGTACATCGCAGGCTCTCCTTCGCAAGGGAAATTTATATACACCTAGAAATTACAGGACACTTATCGTCCAATTGTATGCACCGGAAACGTTCTTCGATCGTAGCACAGTATACAACATTGATGAGTATCTCGTGACACACCAAGGATGGCATCGCCGAGTCGTGCTCTAGGATATGAGTATATTTTAACAGCAGCAACATAATCATACATATAATCATTGACTTGTACTCCCCAAGATGGAATCAGCCTGCCTTTGGTATTCCAATGCGAGCAATTTCAAGATTTCCGCCATCCTGGGAGTAACCCCCCAAACCCAAACCTAAAGCGAGATTCTTAGATAATGTAAATATCAGATGGGAATTATCAACATACATCGCCAAGTAAGGTCGCCCACGCGCGGGCCAGAAGGGCAGCCAGTGAATAACCTTCGATAATTTGTTCCTGCTCGTATTGCACCTTGGCCAGTAGAGATCTTAGGTCGTCGAGAAGTTGTAATTCTTCGCCTGATGGCTGTTGCCCGGATACATCTACCTCCATGCTATAGACCCACTTGGTCAGTAGAAGGGCTGAGGAGACAGATGAATTAGCCAGTTGGCCCAGTAGATCTTGGAACGAACGTATGGGTAAGGAGAGACGGGAAGACTCACCACTGTCCCATCCAGCCACCGCGTGCTCAATACTCCAGGAGAAAGCAGCAGTTTTGCTGACAAGCGTAGCACCTATGGTAACTGGGCCCTTGAACCCTTCGTAGGCCTTGCTGGCAGCCTTGGTCACGAATTCGTTCCGTTCCAGCGGTGTATTTACATATGCCTTTATTGCCCGTGATAGCACATCGTGATCATCCACGAGTAGCGCTAAGCGATTGAATGAATGCGATGGCGGTAAAAGCCGCGAGTAGCCAGCACGAAGTACTGCACTGCAGTTGAAAACAAGGGTATGCTCTTGGTCATCCCAAGCTACCTTGTAATCATCTGATCGACCGGCCTGCAAGGCAGCTTCAGTCCGTTCTAGTGTTGAGATTGCTGCTCGGAGCAAAGTGGTTCGTAGGTTTTCATGTGGCCAAATGCCCAGAGAGAAACGGCTGACGGTTTGGGCAAGCTGATTCAGATGCCAAAGGTAAATGTTTATGGCGTGCATGACGACTAGTGCTGTGAAGCCGCTTATAGAGTAAGGCTCATTGTTTGGAGGAGTTTCCGGGGCCCGAATCATGCACTCTAGAATACTCTGAATGGTATGTTGTGGGCTGTTTGGGTGGGATCGCTGCAGTTCTTCCCATTCTTCGGCTGTTTTAGCTGCCCATAACTCGTTGCTATCGGGGGCCTCGATCATGAGATCCCGGTCAATCACGAAGCCGGGCGTAATATTGAATGTGATCATAAGCGAATCACTTAGGATAAACATGGCACAGAGTGCTCTTTTTGTTTGTTCGAAATCGATCCAATCGGACCAGGTCATTGTTTTGCGGTTGGTAGCAAGGTTTTGCAAGTCAATCCTCCTCCATTGATATTCCTATTCAGGGGTAAGTAACTCACTAAAATAAATGTAAATGCGAAAGACGAGCAGGAATGAACCGACCAGCATCATGAAGCCCATTTTGCTGAACATCTCTGTCGCAAGATTCCGCCGATTGCTGAATACAGCAAAGACGGTTAGGAGGATCTTGGATTGCAAGACCCACAACTCAGAGCGATACGTGCCATTGGGTTTCGAGATGGCTGCAGATGAAATATACAAGATAGTCAGTTAACCGTTATCCAGGAGGCAAACTCATGCCCAATTCTAAGGCTTACTATTGTCTCTGACAACCTGAAAAGGTCATACGCACGACGCCGCCTTAGACGGTACAGTGCACCAATGCTCGCCATTGCAAGTATTAAGGGAGACGGCGTATCGAGAGGGGAGAAGGATGGCAAATGAATAAAAGGCAGATGTATGTGAAAGCATTCCACATAACTTCTGATAAACTGCTGCAGTTCACTGAGTTCAAAAAGGTTACGATCGGGACCAGGATTTCCAAGCTGCACGGAGGCATCTCCGTGGATCTTTTCGAAGTCTGTTTCGTTGATTAAATATCGTGGAGACTGGACAGATTTCTCCTGTCGAATGATGGGGAGACTTCGTGTCAGGTTACTAGGATCCCTAGACCACGTATCGGAAGGCGATGTCCCTAGTTCCGCTTGAAAGTCCAAAGAGCTTAGGCCGTCGAAAAAGCCAGCTCCTAGTGTCGTATCACATGCAGCTTCTACTGAATGTTTTGCTGATGAATTAACGTTTGCGATTGTCGGATTAACATCTCGTGGTGAAGTGGGCGTGTGTGGTATCTCGCGCTCTCCATTTGTGGTTGACACAATTCCGTTCATGTTGTCTATTCCGGTATATCGGGTCGCGTCTGGAGTGGCTCCAAGTAGTAAATGCATAAATAAAGGGTCAGATCCCATTGGAGTATCAAGGCCACCGAAGCTGGATAGTGATGGAAATTGAAGCCCGTATTGGGAAAAGGAAGGGCCCGAAGGAAGTGGAAGCCCATTTGTATGATACATTAATGGAGGAGCCTGAAGGTTTGGTTCCACCACCCCCGGCATAGAAGAGACATCGCTGTCCTGAGTGTCTTGTGGAATGGGATCTTTCTCCAGAGGCTGCGGTCGGCTCGGCGATGTATAATGCTGTGCGGGAGCTTCGCGATCGGAGTCTTCCATATTGGGAGGGTCGCAGGGGTCGGAGTTCTCGGAGGCATTTGAAGAAGGAGAATTCTCCGGCATGTCATGGCCGGCATTGTTGACATACTGTTCTGTATGAATTGTACGCTCGTGGCGACGGAGGAGGTCCCTGAGACTTCATAAGGATCACTCCGTAGAATAGGAAGCAAGCAGGAAAGCAAACAGGAAATATGAAATTGAAGGAGGATATCTTACTTCCGGCCATACCGCTTCCCACACGTCCGACAAGGAAAAGGCCGCTCCTGAGTGTGCATCAACTCGTGGCGCGCACAGTGTTCACTGCGTTTGAAGGACTTATTGCAGCTCGCGCATGTGAATCTTCTAGGCTCCCTGTCATTATCGCTAATCCTAGGTTGCTTGGTGGGTGCCATGGTTGAGTTAGCCAACAAAGGCCCACGACGCTCTCTCTCTGCGTGATAATGAGTTCGGACTATCCCGGCCCCCGGGGTTATGACAGTTGGTAAACTACAGCTTCCAATAAGTAGGCACGTGAATTAGTGGAACTGAATTGAATATTGGACATTCAAAGAGAAAACGTGTGGGGAAATAAAGTTTGCGGTCCCTCGCGTAAATGCGGGGAATGCGGGGAAGCGGCGAATGCAGAAATTCGGGGAATTAAACGGGAGGAGGCTCACGAATAAGAAAGACTGAGGCCAAATGGTATTTATATAGTTACTTGTTCTATATTTGATACTCGCATACTTTAAATTCAGCAATGATTGAAAGTGGTACAATGGCAAGGCTAGTATACCGCGTTCGCAGCAGCCTCACAATCCTTTCGGATCAAGGCAGCGTGTGCCTGGCTTCTGATGGTCACTTTAGCCGAGAATGGTGGGGAGTTTTTGGTTAGTTGAGGAATACGCATTGTATCAATTGGCTCCCCGGGTACCTCATGAAAGTCGAAACAGTAGAGAAGGCGAGCAATGGCTATCCAAACATTGGTCTCGCCGACCTTCCAACCGACACATACTCGCCGACCTGCAAGTCAGTTAGTATATTTTCAAAGCGACATCAGCAGAACATACCAGGTCCAAAAGCCCAATGACCTTTCAGAGCACTTTCCAAATCATCATTCAGGAACCGATCGGGCCAGAATCGTTCCGGCTCCTCATATTCATCTGGGTTCAAGGCAATTGCCCATGCGTTCCAGGTAAAGACTGTCCCTTTGGGGAAACGATAACCCTCGTATTCGTCATCCCTGGTTAGTGTAGTCGGAGCACCAATCTCAGCAATGTTGGGCCTCCAGCGGAATCCTTCCTTCACGACTGCCGTAATGTATGGAAGTAGGGATCGGTCTTCCCACTGCGGCAGTTGCTCAGCATTCGCACCACAAACGGAATCGAGTTGACTTCGCGCTTTCACCACCCAGTCAGGATAACAGATAGCCCCGGCAATGATTTGACCAATAGTGACACGCGAAGTGTCGCTTCCCGCTTCCATCAGTGATCCAAACACAAAGAGCTTCTGGGTATCGTCTATCTGTCGTATTTCTTTACTCTCGAGGAAGTCTGCTCCGAAGCATCTTCTTTGGGTGCCGTCCTTGATCCTCTGTTCGAGCCGGTCGAGCTCGCGCTTGTAAACCCTATGGAGTGCTCTGATGTCAGCCATTTAATCAACGCAGTAACTTGGAACCTGAGACACCTCAGAATGAAACGCTTTTTACCTTTTCGTCTTTTCGAAAATTTCCTCTCCTCTTGGCCTCCACCATTGGAGTAATCTTGGCAGTTTGGCAAACACTGGAAAAGCATCGACGATGTTGACGCCAGGTTGTTGGTTCTCTAGGAAAACCTCAATTGTTTCGAATAGCTCCACAACCTCAGGGTCATCTAGAAGCGACCGACGTCCGAAGACCACACTCATAATGACCGAGTTGGCATACCGTCCATTCGCAGACCACCATCTGTCCGGAGCATGTAGGTAGTCCCAGCAAAGTTGCTTCGATTCGAGATCTTGGAAAGGTCGGAAAATGTCTTGGTTTTTACCGTTTAGAATTTGGTGCATGATCTTCCGTAGAAGCCGCCAGCGATCATTGTAAGGCATGAGGACGATTCGAGAGTTCCCTGACATGATACCTTGTGTCATAGGAAAAGGGGGCCTGGAGCTATAGATCGCCGCGCGACGCTCCATGAGATCGGTGACCACGCGGGATGAGTTGAGAAAGACCCAGGTGCTGCCTCCAAATTTGCAAGTAAACCTTTTGAGGTTCAGTTTGTTAGCAAGGTAATTTGTTGGGCGGAATCATAGTCATACATCTCCCCGTATTTCTCTGCTAGCTTTTTGCCCCATGGTCCTTGTTGTATAGCTGGAATTTGAAAGGTATTTCCAAAGATCGGCACTCCCGGTACATGTGGTGGCAATTTGTATTTTTTATGCCATCGGAAGGTCGTGTAGGCATACTGGACGAGGAGCAGGGCAATGACACCGACAACGCCAGTGGTAAGAACTAGGCCTCCAGTTACCTGTGTATCCATTTTATCAGCCCAAATGGAATGGCAATGAAGTAATTTTTTTGCATCGCTGTTCCGCGTCAATATTTTATATAAATTCATCCAAAATTGTTTCGTGGGGCAAATATTTCGACAATGTGGGGGAATTAGGTGGGCACAGGCTCCCTGAAGTGACGAATATCACTTGCCAAGTTAGGGCTTCCATTTTCCCCGAAAGAGAAAACTGGGTGATACTCGCTACTTTTGGCACTACTGAGCTCCCCCACCATCCTCTTTATCCGGTGATCGAGTTAGACGGTCCCATACTATTGCTACATATACTGATCTACGATCCCACACCTCAACGAAGTTATATTCTACCAAACAGTACCTCAAATACTCCCATACACACTGATCTATCTATTTCACCATGACGCGCTCGCCTTTCAAGGTACGTGGACCAGAGTTGGAGTTCACCCACGTTGACTTTGTCTCACGGTCTAACTGTCTCTGCGACTAGATCATCGTCGTCGGTGCGGGGCCCGCCGGACTACTACTTTCACTATTGTTGGCTCGGCATGGCATCTCTGTCACTATTCTGGATGCAGCTAAAGAACTGGACAATCGACCACGGGCGACCCACTACGGGACCCCGGCCGTCTATGAGCTGCGTCGCGCAGGAGTTATCGATGATGTTTTAGCCGAGGGCTTCCTTCCTGGAACGATGTGCTGGCGCAAGCTCGACGGAACTTACTTGGCTGGAATCGACAATACAGTCCTCGGTGACCATCCGGATCGACTGGTCTGTCTGCCACTGGACCGGCTTGGAAAGATCCTCTTGCGACACCTAGACCGCGAACGGACTGCGGAAGTCAAATGGAACCACCGCGTCAAGGACATAGGACAGGATGATGACAAGGCGTGGGTCAAAGTAACTACGCCCAACGGCGAAGTTACCATGGAGGCTGATTACATCGTCGGATGTGATGGAGCCAGCTCCCAAATCCGGCGATCTTTGCATGGTGACTTGGTATTCCCTGGAAATACATGGGACGAGCAGATTGTCGCAACCAACGTCTACTATGACTTTCATAAGTATGGATACGAGGATGCTAAATTCATAATTCATCCGGAACACTGGCATATGGCTTCTCGTATCAGCAAGGACGGCATGTGGCGTGTCTCGTACGGGGAGAAGGGTGGCCTCACGCATGACGAGCTTATCGCTCGCCAGGCTATGAAGTTCCGAGAGATGCTCCCCGGGAATCCATCTCCAAAGGAATACAAACTCACGAACATCAGTCCGTACCGTGTGCATCAGCGGCTAGCCCAGAGAATGAGGGAGGGGAGGTTTCTTCTGGCTGCAGATGCGGCCCACTTATGCAACCCTTTGTAAGACTATCCCATTTTCTGTCTCTAAAGTACACAATGTCTAATTCACTGACAGCGGAGGACTCGGATTGACTGGGGGAATTGTTGATGTCGGCGGGTTGAGCGACTGCTTGTTTGGTATCTGGACAAACCAGGCAAACCCGGATATTTTGGACGTCTACGATCAAGTGAGAAGACGCAAGTACAGCGACATGGTTGACCCTATGTCCAGCCAAAATCTGCGACGGTTGTTTGAGAGAGATCCTGAGACAGTTCTCGAGCCAGGTCAGGATGAACTTATGACACTGTTCAAGAAGGCTGAGAATGATGTTGATTTTGCCAAAGAGATGGCGTTGAGTATTAATGATTTGAAGTACGACTTCACTCAGCACTATATGAAACCGAAGGGCATTGTGGCAAACATGTGATTAGACTATAGTCTATGCATTCATGCGGGCAGTGCTTTCAGCCAGTTTTTGGCAGATCTTTCCCGGCTTTGTCCTCTTGTTTCCTTTGTCACATAAAGCTATATAAATAGGCTTGATGACACCCAATCGAGGTTCGCAATTATATTTGCTGATAACTTCCAGGAGGCAACCTTCAGATCAATAGACATACATGTGAGTAAACAGTCGAATCAGCTTTCTATCTATGATATCACTCTGCCTTGGCTGAATAAATGTACTATACTTGCTCTAGGGAAAATTACGAGTAATAGGCTAGTCATTTGGCGCGTAAGTAGTTGCTACTATATATATTTACATTGCCGAGACCGATGCTCCTAGGATGATAGGAAGACATGGAAAATGTCTGGTCATATTAACATCAAATCAATCCTTCCATGTTGGTATATCCATGTGTGAAGGACTCGTTCTAAATTCCCGGAAAGGTTAAATTGATTTACATGCAAACCAAGATATGTCGCATTACCTCAACCGTCCATATGCTTCTGCCTCTTGAACAACACAACCAGGTACGATTTTGGAACATCCTCGTACGGACGAATTCGTTAAGCTGCTGCTTTTACAAAGTGGTAGTATGAGAAAACATAATAGGACATCATAGGTGTCAACCTTGACTCATTACCGTCGCAATTCAGATACACAAACCCCACCAGTTGGTAGCTAATAACCCCACATCTCCCACATTCCCTGCCCCCTCTTTCCCCACATTCCCTTATCCCCCGCTCTACAGCACTTCTCCCCACATCTACCTAGTTACTTAGGTACCTGGCATGTAGAGGACAAGAGTCACTTACGGTGACCTCACAGATTGTAAGAGACACGCAAAGGTTCACCTCTCTAGCAAGAAGTACGCTAATATGTCCGCGGAAGCTATTCCGCAGGAGAATAAGGTCGACGTCTTGATCATTGAAGCCCGGCCAGCCGAGTAAGTGAACCTATACGGGAAATTCTCTCCACATGGGAGTATCCAAATATATGGCAGCACAAGACAATGATATTTGGTGAAAGACCTAGTGGGAAATTATGGAAAAAAATGGGCGCCTTTAGGCCTAGCTTCCGTACGACTATCTTTCGTATAATGAGTCAAGTTGTCAATCTTCGCTGTCCCTCTGCAATATCACTGCTCAACTGCCCCCCCATCCACAATGGCTGCGTCTCAATAAGCTTGTCCTCTAACTCTATGATCCTATGACCTGCGACGAAGAAGGCCTTGCCGTTAATCTCAGGTTGCATCAGTGGTAGGAGAATAGCATGAGCAACTCCCGATGGCTGGTTGGCGGGGAGATCACCCCACAACGTAACCACCGAGGGAGGGACCATATTCGTAACTAGAGTGGAGTGGAAATTAGAACTGCACTTCACCTGCGTCTCTTCTACCATCCGAGATTGGAAATCCTTACTAGTCATCCATGGCGCCACGACATTGATGGTGATGTTCTGTTTGACAAGTTGAGACCTCAATCCCCGCATAAGGCCCAGAACCCCCATCTTCGTCGCACAGTATAGGTACAGTGGGGGGGTGTCGAGGTAACTAGCTGCGCTTGCTGTCAAGACAATTTGGCACTTTGTCTCCGGCCACTTGCTGAAGAAGTGTACAGCACTCTTGACTGTATAGGCCGTGCCAACTAGATTCACATCGATACTCCCTAGATTGGGCGGAAGAAGCCTGCCATTTGCGTCAAGGTCTTCTGCAAGTAGGTCTTCTTTATTCATTCCCGCGTTTGCAAGAACAGAGTGGATGATACCGAACTCCTTGACCCCTGCTTCGAAAAGTGATAAAACATCATCCCATTTGGATATATCGGTTTTGCGAAATAGAACCGGACTATTGGGGAGGGAGTTAGATAGGTCGCAGAATAGTGGATCGGCGGTGGTACCCTTGCAGTTCGTTCACAAGCTTGTTCCCTTCATCTACGTCCAAGTCTCCTAATACAAGGTTTGCCCCATGCCCTATGTGCTTGTGTTAGCAGGGGTAATAATCCGGATTTTGAATTTGCCTACCATGCGCAATCTGAGCAGCCGCTCGTCCAATTCCGCTGGCTGCGCCGGTGATCAGGATAGTCCTACCCCGCAGGTTCCGGAGCTGCTCTTTGTCAAATGGATAAACAGACATGCCGTGTTGATTGATTTGAAAGTGCTTCATCTACGAATCTTTCTTTGGCAGTTTATATACTTGAGGGGATGAATCTCACACTGACCTACACTAGATCAAAGTAGCTCAGTAACCCCCACATTGGACCCCACGACTGATTTCCAATGATATGGGTTGAAGAAGGTGGGGATGGTATGCAACAGTTTGAGATTTTCGCTATATTCACAATATACGATAGGGATTGGAATACTGCGTCTGGGTTCTGGATATGCGACACTAACGCTCCAAGAAATGTAGAACGTTCCCGCCGGCCCATTGGCCGCAACGCAGTTATTAATGAAGTAGCTGTACACAAAACACAGAAAGTTCTGAATATGAAATTAGCCATGCAGATCTCGTTTCGCATGCCGTGGAAGAGGGGCTATTGGCGAAGCAAATGCCGACACACCCCACCCAGAGAAGGGTTACATAAAACCAGCTCCAACTCTGAGCGACGCAGTGGCTTTGCATTCACATATTTGTGCGAATATTGCCCTTGATATGGAGACCATTACTGATTTCCACCACCCTTCCTTGGGTGTCGTGCGAGCTTGGACTTCGCCTTCCACCCGCCAATTTCTCGGTCTTCGGTATGCTACACTGACTGGGAAATGGGCCACCCCTGTTATTTTAGAAGGTGACCCTAATAATGTCGTGGATGCCACAACGCTGGGGTAAGGTCACCTCTGCCTAAGTGATGATGAGCAAGTTCTGATGACCACAGCCCCTCTGTCCCATCGCCATCAAACGGCATCGACATTGAGTTCAGTCACATTCAAAGAAGACTCCCAGTTCCCGAGCTCCGGCAGTCCGACACTGAATGTCTCAATCTAAACATCACCACCCCGAAGGATGCCTCAGCCGGAGTCAACCTGCCGGTTATTGTCTTCATTCACGGAGGAGGATTTGCGATTGGCGCCAATTCTTGGCCCCAGTATGATTTCCGTCGTCTCGTTGAACTTTCAATAAGGGACGGACTGCCTGTAATTGGGATGAACATTAAGTACGGTCGACCTTCGGTATAGTAGTTCTCACTGACGGGCGTTTGCAGCTATCGCCTCGGGGCACTCGGGTTCTTAACATCAAACGAGCTGGTTTCCCACGGATACAAACCAAACAATGGTCTCCATGACCAACGAGCTGCCTTGTTATGGATCAAAAAGCATATTTCCGGATTCGGAGGCAATCCAGATGATGTCACGCTGGTTGGCGAGAGTGCTGGTGGAGGTGTGTTATATACCCGTCTTCTATACCCGTCTTCTATACCAGCCGTGAGTTGACATTGGTGCCGTTGTTTTAGTTTCCGCAACGCATCATCTTCAGTCGGAAGTGCCCTTGTTCAAACGGATGGTCAGCATGAGTGGCACGAACCTGCTCATGCAACCGCTTCCTGAACAGGTAACCGAATATACATACAAAGCCATTGTTGATCGGTTAGGCCTAGCCTCGTGGCCAGTTACCGAGCGAGTCAACGAGCTGGTAAAAATGGATACTGAAAAGCTGCTTCAGGCCAGTTCACCGAATCTTCCTTTACTTCCAGCAGCTGGAGGGGATCTCGGTCTCAAACCGCATACATATGCTGAAATTTATCAAGGGTCCCGCGGCTCCCTTGATATTCCGGGCCGCAAGTGGTGTGAGGAAATCATGATTGGCGACTGCCAGATGGATGTGAGATCCCTAGATAACTAAAAGCGAGAATGCACTAACCAGTAATAAGGCGAGCATTCTTTCTATGATGCTAAATTACGAAAGAGACGAGATTGGGTCTACTTTCCGAGAATCCTTGACGCTGTCATTGGGCTCGGCAGATAAGGCAAAAGAGGTCCTCACAGCATACACCATTACTGAGGATATACCCGGTGAAGATGCACTTAAAAGGATTCTCCAGTTCGCAAGCGATATCTCCTTTTTCATACCCGTCCTCAATTACGGGCACTGCTGGTCTGGGAATGCCTTTATTTACTGTTTCAACGAGCCCAACTCCTGGGACGGTCCATGGAAGGGCTATGCAACTCATATCCTGGACGTTTCCTATCTGTTCCAGAACTATAATGAACAGCTTTCAGAGCCTCAGCGTGCAGTTGCATCTCAGTTTGGGCGTGACTTGGTTGCTTTCTCTAGTGGACGTGCTCCATGGCCCGCATTCAAATACGAGACAATGGACTTGTATGCTCGAGTGTATGGGGGGCAAGGCCCAGGCGCCTCAGGAAAGGTTGCAACTGTTCTTGCACCACATCCCCGCACGGAACGCACTGGAATAATCTCCAGTCTAATGCAGAGTATCCCAGCGGATGATTTGTCGAGGGCTTGGGGAAGCTTTATGGCCGGCCATTGAGAGACTTCCATGGTGATAGGGAACTCCTACATATATAGAAAGATCGAAAATGTTCCCGCCATTATAAAGAGCCTATTCAATATATTTCCCAGGCATTGCTTCGCAGTTAATTTCTCGTTTTCGGTTGGAACAGCACATCCTAATCCACCCCCCCTGGGGTTAATATCCAGTCCACCTCCTATAGCCTCTATGTAGATAAGTCAGCGTGTCACAATATGTTATCTTATGATAATCCGGTATGACGATGTATGGATACTGTCAGTTATAATTATGCAGCTCTCTAACTAAAATGTCAAATATGAATTTCAACGGACACAACGATAAACCCTAATATGCACTTGTATGGTATACCTTATACGGTAGTCCCATAATTCTATCGGCATAGCAGGCTGTAAACCACTGTATACAGCCTTCGTATTTAATTTTATCATTTACCTATATTTTGTCTCTGTGTTCACCCCCACATGATGGTGGGGTAGCTCGTGGGCAGTGAAGCTTTCGCCTCTTTCTTGTGTCTATATTCATTGTGACATTCATATTTATGTTCAGTTCTGTTAGCTGCTGTACGTTACTGGCATCTCATAAAGAATACTTCCTCCTGTCCATCCAGAGACGTCCTCTTCATAACCGTACATGCATTGCCTCATGAAAAATCCTCCCAGTCAATTTCGTGAACAACCAGAGATGCGCAAGCGACACGTTTGTCCTATTTGCAGCAAAGTATTCAAACGGAGTGCACATTGTGCTCGCCATGAACGCAGTCGCCGTTAGTGCCTCTCCCGTCCCTGTCCGGTCGAAACAACAAAAAGGGAACTGACCTCACCCCGACATCCAGATACACAAGATACGCCCTTTCGCTGTAGGTATTGTCAAAAGCCCTACCGTAGATCGTATGTATATTCGTATCGTCATCGATCCCTCATATTAGCTCCCCGAGCCTCGTCCATATCTAACCGCCCATTCACAGAGACACAGTCGTCCGGCACGAGAAAGCCGCCTATGAAAAAGAATACTCTCGGAGGATTACACCTGACAAAGCTATAAATTCGTTACCAACACCAGAAGACACACCGAGACACCCATATGGTTCCCACGCAGATTCACGAGAACCCAGCCCGGTAGAATCAGAGGATAAAACCACGCCCCCAATAATCGAGCGACCGGTGCCAATCTGCAGGCTTCATACATGTCCATCTAGTCCGAACGAGAGAATCAGCGAAGCTCTCACAGCTCTGGATTTTACAACTCTTCATTCAGAGGCTCTTTCTGCCAACCATGTGACAGTACAGGACCCGAAACCACCTTCAGAAACCGAGTTGACCCAGAGAGGAACGGTATCCGGTAGTTCGACACCATATTGCACATACAAAACACCAAGTACCGTCGGAAACGACTTTAACTTCGCAATTCCTACGCCCCCTCTCCAATCACCCACCCCAAGACAGCCCCGACATCGCGATTTATCTTCTCAGTATCACGTTCCTCTCCCCTTGGGAGTGATGTTTGATCCGCTGTGGAATCCGGCTATGACCAGGAAGGCTGCTGTCACTTCGTATGCAATTGATTTGCATCGGAAAATCCTGCGCAATCATGGATTTCTTTGACGTGTGACTGGCTTCCTCGGCGTTTGGCGAGCAAAATGGAGTGACGACCCTGGTGGTACAAAATGATTAGTTGTTTAATGGAGCTGAATCAATCGATACACCCCAGTGAGGAGTCACTAGGAAATATACAGAAATTTAGCTGAAGTGGGATGCCCCATATATAGCAACTGCCATTTCGCCTACACACATCGCAATCCCTGGCTTCTGGGACAACAATCCCCGTACGACATTGAAGGCCTGAATGTCAAGAATAGGCCCATGTAGTTATATTGCTAGACTATACCAATGCAAGTCCGCAATCACCTATGACTGAAGAAATCTACGCACCATCGGTAGAGCCGTCCAGACCAGACAGGAACTCCATAAAAGCAGTAATACAATCCTCGGCCTTATCTGCATAAACCTCATGCCCAGCCCCATGGATAATAACCAGCTTCGCCCCTTTGACCTGTCTCGCAATCTCCAGCTGCTCCTCCAAGCCAGTAGCGGCGCTCTTCGCCGGCGCAAGGATTAGTGTCGGCACTGAAATCTGCGACAGAAAGGGCCGTGCATCTAATGACGAGAGAAACACGGCATATCCTGCAAGACCCTCACTTGAACTTGTTGCAATGCTCGACATCCACCACGCTTCGTACTTAGTGTCTGTCGTTGAGAGTGTACCGGGGATCCGGGCAAGATGCTCTCCCCATCCTCTGGAGCCGAGTTTGCGACATGCCTCGGGCCAGCTAGAGTAGCCGAAGGAAAATAGTTCCAGGGCGGCAGGTGGCAGGTGGGTTGGACTCGAACAGATGGTCAAACTGTGCAATCGATTCGGGAATTTCGCGGCGAATGCTTCCCCTAGCATGCCGGAGGTGCTCTCCCCAATGAAGTGGACTTTCTGAAGACCCAGTTGGTCAAGGGTGTCGACTATTTCAGATAGGATTGTATCAAGGGTATAAGCGTAATTGTCGCTTGGCTTCGGAGTGGATGACTTTCCATGGCCTCTGGTGTCTCGTCGAATCACCCGATAGGAGCGAGCAAGGGAAGGAATCCAATGGTACCAGAACGCAGAATGTCGTGCAAAGCCACCTTGGATGAGGACTGTCTCTGGCTCTACCCACTGGTCAGTGTAGTCATCCACGATTAGATGCGTGGTCTGCCCGTTTGGGTGCTTCAGGAGGCGCGAGATGGAGTTAGGAGAGGTTTGCATCTTTGGTTCTTTTTCTTGTTCTTTTTTTTCAAATGTCCGTCGTGGACAGAAAGAAGAGAGAGGATAAGATTGAGTGATGCCTGTTAAATGAGTATAGCTGGCACCAGCTATAGAACCCCAGAGCTAGCAGATCCGGGGTTTACCCCACACAACTTCTGTAGTACTGAAGTCCCCAACAACCACCCAGTTAAGTTTTATTAAATCGAATTGCTAATGTTTAGCTAAATACAATGAGACTTAGGTATTCATAACGAAACGATTGCAACTAATGAAGGTTAACCCTAGATTTGCGTAGATTCCATTTCCCTATACATGGGGATATATATGTGTAACTATCCCGTTCGAACAAGTTTATACGGCAAAAACACCATACCTTAGCAATGGCCATCAGAATTCCAACAGTAATCAAAGCCATGATTCAGAACTAGACATCGCATTATTCGAACGATCGAGATAGCGTCGTGTGGAGGAGGCCACCGTGCTTTGAGTCTCCGTAAAACGGTTTCTTTCACCCCACATTGTCCACCCCCACCCAAACAGACCTATGGTTCGTGAAGTTGCGAAGCAAATAAAGCATAAGCGCTTTTCAGCAAAGACATATATATCAATTTCCATAGATAGCTAAGCAAAAATGATGACCCATACACTCCCACCCCCTTCTACCGGACAGAACTATGTCGTGGTGACCCCGATCAATGGAGGCGAAATCACACTCCCTGAACGGTCATTCGTTTCTCCAAGTGATCCAGAGGCGATAGTTACTGTTCCATCACTGTGTTTTCTGATATCCCACCTGGGTGTTGAGGGTCAACGCAGACCCAGGTACCTACTCTTCGACCTAGGCCTCCGTGCCCACCCAGATAACTATACGGACGAGCAGAAATCCCATTTGGAATCGCGTGTCCCTTACCAACTTGGGCCAGGAGTTGCCCAATCTCTACGGGATGGTGGTCTGACTCCAACTGATATTGACACCGTCATCCTCAGTCACCTCCACTACGACCATCACGGCGACCCAGCAGACTTCCCCAGCGCACAGTTTCTTGTCGGATCAGGCTCCCTCGGCCTCCTTCAGAATGGGCTTGGGATTAGTGCCTCTCATCAATTCTTTGATGCAAACCTATTCAATGGCGTTTCACGCGTCGCCGAGCTCCCAAGCAACGGCACACCTCTTTGGAAACCGCTTGGCCCGTTCGAGGCAACGCTTGATTTGCTGAATGATGGATCTATCTACGTTGTCGATGCACCGGGCCATCTCCCTGGTCATATCAATCTTCTCTGTCGCCTTGGAGACCGCCAGTGGATCTATCTAGGAGGGGATAGTTGTCATGATCTACGACTGCTTAGTGGGGGGCGAGAGATTGCTACGTGGGTGGATGTGCATGGAAACACGAATTGCATACACGTGGACAGAGCGCGAGCAAAAGAGACTTTGTCGACTATTAGGAGGCTGCAACAGATGGATGAGGCGGACGTAGAGGTTGTCATGGCGCATGATGTGCAGTGGTGGAAGAAAAATCAACATCGAGCCTTCTCAGTGTCGCGTCGTTAGGCAAATTTGGGCAAATTGTATGCTACGGCGACCTCAGAGGATAATACATGTATCATCAAAGGTCCAATTTATATTATTGTAACAGGATTGTCAGGTTCATAATCAGGCTAGCCTACTCTGATAATCCTAGTTTCTCCTTCCAATCCTCGACGCCACCAATATAACGAAATACGACTCGTGAATCTCGATCTCGACAAGCCACATCCTCGCTCGCCTCATTATACACAGCCAGTCCGGACTCCCCAAGACGCAGCTGAGCTCCAACTCTTTTGGCCGTCTCAACCGCAAGGTTGAAATCCTTTTTCATCAACTGCACCTTGAATCCACCCTGATAGTCCTTGCTAGCCGGGGCGTTTGGGCAAACTCCTGGTACAGGGTTCCACTTGTCGTTGATCGTGCTCTGTGCCGTGCTTGTCGTGAAGGCCCTGGCCAGCATCGATGGGTCCATCCCCGACTTGATGCCGATATTTAATGCTTCCGCTGTAGCAATGGCGATAAGACCGGAGCAATAATTATTGCAGAGTTTTGCGGTCAAACCAAGGGAGAATCCGCCACAAGGGAAGATAGACGACCCCATGGCGCCTAGCAGCTCTTCCAATAGTGGAAGCTTGGGGTCATCCTCACTGCAACCTAGCATGAATGTCAAGGTCCCGGCAGCTGCCCCGAGAGAGAGCCTCCAGATACAGGAGCATCGTAGAAGGATGTTGTTGTAGATTTCCTCTGTAGGGCGTCGTTGACGTCAATTGAAGTTGTTGTGTCAATGGTGGAACAGTCAATCAATATCTTATTGTCCACTGCCGCAGATAACACTCCGTTGTCTTCGTCAAGGTAAACTGCCCGTACGTGCTTTCCTTCCGGAACAATTGTGAAAAGGACATCCTATAACTATTGTCAGTCACGAATCTTGATCGCCGTGGAAGGTAGACTTTACCGATCTTTCCGCAACGTCACGCGCGCTCGAACAAATGGAGACCAGGTTGGGAGCTTCTTGTTTGAACTCGTCCAGAACTTGGCTAGACACATCGTACACATGCAGACTTGATCCCGTTTCAAGTCTATTTAACAGGTTGAGGGCCATGGGATATCCCATAACACCCAGACCAATGAACCCAAGTTCACGTGGTGACATTCTTTTGATGGACCTTCTTATCTTAACGGAGTTGCGATAATACCGTGTGTGCTTTGGAGTTGGCGGTATATAAACGCTCTGGTGCGCCCGGTAGGTGGGGGGATTTGCATGTGGGGGAACGAACGTACTGAATGTGCTAACATGCTTCCCACCCCATGACATGGAGATATAATAGGCGGGCACCCTTGTAGTCAGAAACTTCAGAAGATTGAAGGCAGAAACCACATCTCCCGCCCCCACCACATCCACCGAGCAACTCAAAGCAATGGCCGACAAACCCCCTTCTCTCGACGACGCCCATAAACGGCTTTTCGACGAGGGCCTCAAGATCCGGTACGAAGTCGCAGGCAAGCCCTACGTGGACCGATCGTTACAGTCCGCTTCTTCCTTCACCCAGCCTATGCAAGAGCTAGTCACCGAGGCATGCTGGGGCTCCGTATGGTCTCGGCCTGGTCTTGAACGCAAACAGAGATCGTTGCTGAATATCGGGATGCTGTGCGCACTCAACCGAGGTGCTGAATTGGCAGTCCATGTACGTGGCGGTGTTAATAATGGGTTGACTGAGATTGAGATCCGGGAAGCACTACTCCAAGTGTCTATTTATGTCGGTATGCCTGCTGGACTGGAGGGATTCCGCATTTCCGAGAAGGTGCTACGGGAGATACAAGAGGAAAAGGCTCAACCTCGCCAGTGAATGTAAGAATTCATTTACTCCTCTCGGTTGTCTTTCTTATCTTTCTGACTAAGTATTTAAGTCGAGTAGGTAGTGGCTACAGACTTGGTTTACTCTGGATCACGGCGGGAATGTTACCTATGTCTATACCACAGCCCATCAATGGGTGCCCATAAGACCTCCATAAAAGCCCATTATTACGCATAACTACGGTCTTGGTATACATAAATAGCTGATTGATGACTGGTTTTTACGTATGTTCCCGCCTATACTCCGTATATACTACCAGCCTGTGTACAATGCTAGGGATCTCGAAAGTAGACAAACGTAGCTAATAATTACTGAGTAATTATCCTCAGCACCGTACATCAGGGTGGAAGAGGAAGCATTGGGCCCTATTGAACCCCCATTATGGGCCTAGTGGGCTTTCACCCCGGGCCCATAACCCACCGGTGGGCCCTACCTTCGGGCCCAAAGCCCACCCCATTTGCGGGTTGGGTTGGGCTTTGGGCTTTGGGGGTTTGCGGAGGTCTAGTTCAGACTGTCAAATCTAGAATGACCCACTCCGACGGATTCAGTCGAGTGTGGGGGAATCGAAATTGCCTGGAGGCCGGCATTTGTTACTAAGTAGCATTACCGTACCATGTGGGGTAACATAACGGGGAAATAACCAGAAAGCCACGGTCTAAGGTATCTGGGGATTGTGGAGATAATAACCGTCGCAGAAGCAGACAAGTACCCCCCGGTTATGTGATGGATTTCCCCGCAAGTCCATCCCCGATATGTTTGCGGGGGATATACAAGTCAAGGCTCGCCGGATATAATCCCCTCAAGTAGGTCCCTGCAGTGGTTCCCAACTTTAGGAACTTGAGTCAAAATGACAATTCGAATCTATACCGATGTCTCCTCGCGCTTAATGATAGCTGCAGGGATAGTCGTTGTTGTTTGGATCCTCGCATACATTATAAATGCATTACTGGATCCCCTTCGAGATATCCCAGGTCCTCTAGGGGCTAGACTTTCTCGAATTTGGTACTTGCGTGCAATCAGCAAGGGAGATTTTGAGAAAACAAATATCGACCTCCATCGACTCTACGGTATGGACCTATCTTCCCCGTGGAGGCGGAGTCGGCGCTTATACCATGTGTTGGTTTATAGGACCAATCGTTCGGATAGCTCCCCGGCAATATAGCCTTGACGATCCTAAGGCACTTCGCACAATCTACTCACATTCCTCAACGTTCATCAAGGTATGTATCTTGCTGGAAGTCAATGCCCTTGTGCAGACTGTATGATAACCATGTACCCTCAGGCAGCATGGTACGATGCCAGTGGGAATCCGAATCCCGAATCCCATGACCTGTTCACGGATAGGGATCCGCGACGTCATAGTGCCAATCGACGAAAGGTCGCATCGCTGTACAGCATGACCAGTCTAGTACAGATGGAGTCCTGCGTAGTAGAGTGTTCTACCCTGTTGATACAGAAGCTCACAGAGTTTGCGGAATCTGGTCGCCCATTGAACCTGCAACAGTGGATGCAGTACTATGCCTTCGATGTGATTGGGCTTATTACTGTATGATGAACCACAAATTGTATATCCGAGAAACAGAAATGCTAATAGCGAGCCCAGGTCAATAAGAGATTCGGATTCCTCGACAGCGGTACAGACCAGAACTCGTTGATTGCTGCCCTTCACGCTTACCTTACCTATGCTGCCAATGTCGGCGTTTACGCGGAGTGGCATCCGCTCCTGGCCAAGATTGTCGGTCTTCTTCCATCCCAAGGGATGGGACACCTGCAAGGCTTCACAGCGCATCATATTGCAGAAGGCCAGACCAATTCCTCCGCGAAGGAGAGTAACCTGTCCTCCTCTGACAGTTTCCTGGAGAAGCTTTTAAAGATGCATGCAGAAAATCCAGGGAAAATTAGCTTGGCGGACATCTTCACTACCTGTATCACCAATATCGGGGCAGGCTCCGACACAACCTCCATCTCACTCACAGCGCTCCTATACAACTTATTCAAACATCAAAGCATCCACCAAACGGTATTTAATTTCGTCTTTGTCTAATGTAGCAGGCTAATGACCCTCACTCTAGCTCCGCGAGGAAATCACACTAGCCGATAAGCAGGGCAAGTTGTCTTCACCTGCTATAACTTTCCAAGAGTCTCGGGATCTACCATATCTCCAAGCCTGCATAAAAGAGGCTCTGCGTTTACATCCTGCGACTGGACTCCCTCTTGCTCGGATCGTTCCGAAGGGTGGTGCGACTCTATCTGGCAGATTCTTTCCTGAAGGTGTAGGTTAATTGAAACTCACGGCGCCATTTATATCATCCCATGCGCATACTAAGATCGAACCTGTTTAGGAAACCGTCGGTGTGAACGCATGGGTTATCCATCAGAACGAGTCGGTGTTTGGTCCCGACACGGCATCGTATCGCCCAGAGAGATGGTTAGAGAACCCAGCCCAGTCCTCGGAAATGGAGCGTAATTTCCTTGCTGTGAGTGTTCTTCATCTTCCTACTCCCACATACATCCTATACCTGGAGTTTATTAACCACCGTTCGTGTCAGTTCGGCGCCGGGGCACGAACCTGTATCGGCAAGAATATCAGCTTGATGGAAATTGGCAAATTGGTTCCCGAGCTCGTGAGACGGTTTGACTTTGAGTTGGTCGATTCTAAGGCATCGTTAGAAACGCAAAATGTGTGGTTCGTTAAGCAGACTAATGTTGAGTGTCGCGTTAGACTGCGGAAGGAAGATTAGGGTCTAGGAGTTTGCTGTCGGTATTCACTGCCACAATGTACTTGTGATGGAGATGGAGATTGCACTTCGGCGGGTTCCTTGCTTGACACGCCCTGTGGCGTTTGTTTAGCCTATAAGAGGCCTGGCCTCAGTTTAAAATATGCCGTACTTCCCTAGAGATATATAACTATCTAGGTCTATCGAGACTTGTCTTTTTATGTTCTGTGACTGGTTCCTATGAGTAGGCGTAGACTGCCTGGTACTTGACCTGTTTGGCACGTCAATTTCTACTTTAATCGGGGATCCGCAAATTGGGAGTATCAAGACACCCATAGGCTTCCGTAGCGTAGATGATTCCTCGGATGTGGGGGTTTTCTTGGGGTCCAAGTGTACTCGAACTAGGCAGTGAGGTATGTTCAAGGTATGTGGGATGGGACATGTGGGGAGCCAAAAGCACCTGCACCTTATTCGAATGTCTTATTACCCCAAACTTCATACGAGCAAGCGAATGGCACGAGTTAAAACATAACGGGATACACTGGCTATTCATATACCGAGCCCCCGACTGTTCGTTGAAAAACATACAGGTTAAAATAAAGATATATTCACCCTCTTCTATTCCCTACCATTTTTATTAAGACACTCCCATGTACCTGTTATTGCAGTATATGCTCCAAAATGTCTACCGTCGAGACCTTCAGCGAATTAAACAAATCTGGCCTGTTCATTCAGAACTCGGCCTTTATTGACGGAGAATGGGTGAAAAGCGACAATACCTTCGATGTCTATGGTATCGCCTTGTCGTTCGCGCTTGTTGCATTGCAAAGTGTATCTAATTCTCTTCAACTCCTTAGAACCCTCTACAGCGACAGTCCTTGGCACCGCGGCAAACTGCGATATGACCGCCATGCAAATCGCTATTCAAAGCGCACACGACGCCCAGCCAAAATACTTCACCGAGACAACAGCTGCAACCCGCAGTTTAATCCTCACCAAATGGCACGGTCTGGTCATGGACAATATAAATGACTGTAATATCCCCAGCCTGCGATGCTCATTGCTGAGAGCTAACCAGTTGGGCTAGTATCAACACTACTCTGCCTCGAAAACGGCAAAACTCTCGCCGAAGCACGCACCGAAATCACGTACGCCGCCAGCTTCATATCCTGGTTCGCGGCTGAAGCCCCCCGCGCCTACGGCGACGTGATCCCCTCTTCGACACCAAATACTGTGGTCATGACGCTCAAGGAGCCAGTCGGTGTGTGCGGGATAATAACGCCCTGGAACTTTCCCGCGGCCATGATAACTAGGAAGATTGCCCCTGCGTTGGCGGCGGGATGTGCTGTTGTTGTTAAGCCTCCTTCTGAGACACCCTTTACGGCACTTTCATTGACCAAGCTGGCCATTGAGGCTGGGTTCCCTAGGAAGGTGATCCAGGTTGTCCCGACGAAGGACCGAGGCGTTGCTTCTGAGTTGGCAGTTAATCCGCTGATCAAGAAGATCAGTTTCACGGGGTCGACAGGGGTCGGGAAGACGTTGGCGAAGATGGCTGCAGGAACAGCCAAAAAGGTTAGTCTTGAACTCGGAGGGAATGCGCCATTTATTGTGTTTGAGGACGCAGAGCTGGAACTTGCTGTTGAGGGGGCTATGCTTTCCAAGTTCCGCTGTTCGGGACAGACTTGCGTCTGCGCCAATCGGCTTTACGTGCAGAGGGGTGTTGTTGAGGAGTTCACGAGGAGGCTTGTTAAGAAGGTTGAAGAGCTCAAGTGTGGACCTGGCCTTGACGGAACGTCTACACAGGGCCCATTGATCAACAGAGCTGCTGTGCAGAAGGTGGAGGAGCATATTCGTGACGCTGTTAGCAAGGGTGCTGAGGTGCGAAGCGGAGGGACTGTTCCAAGGGATCTCGGTAATGGGTTCTTTATCCAGCCTACTGTGCTGAGCGGGGCAACGGTAGACATGGCGGTAGCCAAAGACGAGACTTTCGGGCCCCTGGCGCCGATTTTTGCCTTTGAGGGTGAAGAGGAAGTCTTGAGGTTGGCGAATGACACGGAGTTTGGCCTAGCTGGATATTTCTACTCGAAAGACATCGGCCGGGTGATGCGCGTTGCGCAGAAGATGCAGGTTGGCATGTGCGGTGTGAATACGGGCAAGGTCGCTGCGGCGGAGTCGCCATTTGGGGGCATCAAGGAGAGTGGCTATGGGCTTGAAGGGAGCAAGTACGGCATTGCTGAGTACCAAACCATCAAAACTGTGACCATTGGGAACATAAATCACTCCTAGGAGATATCGGCACCAGGGTATTGAATACCTTCCATTCTAGATATAGTCATGTGTAGGCATGTTGCCAAACTGTAAGGCACTAAGAAACAAGAAACATCATCTCACACAGCCAAGAATACATATACTTCTTTCTACCTTATTTAATGTCACCTCCCTGTTGTCTCAATTGACATAAATATGAAACTTAGTCTCCGTTCTCACATCCCCTCCCCTGACAGTCCCAAACTTGCTCTGCTAAGAATTGCAGATCCCCGTCGTCGATCTGAATATCTCGTTCTCTCGGTTCCATGCGGTTCCATGGGGGTCTCAGGAAGAGCTTTTCGAACTCGATAACCAGAGGAGACCCCATGGTTATGATTTTACTGCCCTTCCTTGAGATCTGAACTGTTTGATGAAGGTGGTTGATAGATTTGTTGCCCCGGGTTCCCCATTTCTCGATGACGATGTTGAGGGAGCGTTGATTGATTTGGAGGGTGATTACCACCTTCACATCACCCCCTTACGACCGACTAAGTATGCCATTGACACATAACTCTGTCATTGGTTATTACCTACAACAGTCTACTCTATGTTGCAGTTATTAATTGAAGCTTACCAATGCTTAAAAATATCTGAATACCTATAACATAAAATTAATGCCTTCTAAAATGGGCATAGGGACTTTTAAAGTAAAGTGAATCTGAACTGAATTTGAACTGAATTTGAAGTGAATCTGAATTGAATCTGAAGAAAAGAAAATTAGCAGATCTCTTGGCCGCTAGTTTAAGGGTAGGTGAATCTTTATAGGGCAGAGCCAGTGGCATACTTAGTCGCCCGTAGCCCCTATTGCAGCATGGTGGGTAGCACTTCCGGTTAGGCGAAGGGTGCGATCCATCCCAATAGGCTTGGTTGCATCGTGGAGTAGGACTTCGAAGATTTCCGAAGCGACTTCATGGGGTTTGGACTTCGTCATCCTCAATAGCACACGGTCTGACTGGGCGTCACACGAGGACCAGGAAGCAAAGGGGCCCTCTTTTGCCGGAAAGCAAGCTCCATACACGCGACATGGGAAAGCTTATTGAGGAAATTTACCCTGGCCTAAATTCAAATTCACATGAATGGACGGCAGCCATCCAAGATATCCAAGATTGGTCCAAAAATTGGAAGTCCCCCTGGATAAGCTCAAGGTAAGTGGCAAATAGAATGCCGAGAGAATATTATTGGTAGTAAGATATAGACACAGGTACATTACATGATGGCAATGGACAACCCAAGACTTGTGAATATTGAATTGTTAACGCGTTCGATAAGATACCATTCACTTGTAGTGGTAGTATCCTTGCTTGCTGTCGCGACTGCTTGATGGTATTGAGCAACTGCTCCCGGTCCCGATATTGGTAAACTGGGAGAGGAAGGTGCAAGGTCGCCTAGGAAGCCACGACCGGGTCTACATTATCCATGGCCATCTTGTCTCCGAGATAGATTTGCAGAGTTGAATTCACTGAGGCTAAGGGGATAGAGCTGGTCTACGTGGTTAGATAGTTGACAGTCAGTGACATCAGTCCCTGTCAGCGTCTAGACGGCTAGGCCTAGCGAAATGACTGTGCTTAGTCAGTTTGTACAGAACTGTACAGAACTACTTAATCCACAGCATTATCGTTGGTCCTAGCACTGACCATTTGCAATGTATACCAAGGTCAGAACTACCTGAATCAATTCCTCCATACCCAGAGCTCAACCAACTAGGTTCCCGCAAATGTGGGGAGTGATACACACATCGCCATCCTATCACATTTAGAAAGCGCAATTCACTTCCAAGGTTACCTTTTGCACTCAGAACTTGTTGGATGGTGGGGGTACTGGGGGTACTGAGGGTACTGGGGGTATTGGGGTGTGCTATAACCGAGAGTTGAGTCTTGACTGTATCCGACTTTTAGGCCATTACCCCACATGATTTCACTTACCATTGTGACCAGGCGTGCATAGGTAATATTAGCTTACTGATTTGAACGTTGAGATGGTTGGCAATTTGCGACTAAGGGAATATAACGACGGTACATTAAGTCTTGTGAAGCCCTATTTACCTACAGGCCCCGACCCTCTTAGATATCATCTGGTCCATCTATACCTCATTCTTTCTATCGTTCAGCATGGAATTTTGTACAGTGCCGCAGATCTTCGCGTGCGAAAACTAGTCCTCGCCCCGAGGTTACTCTTTAAACAAAACATGGAGCAGTGATGTGGGGTCACATCCTATCAGAGACCACTGTCTTGAATAGCGTACTCGCAAATTATGGGGAAGCCCCATAATAATTCAGCCTCTATCTCTGAGAGGCCCCCTTGAAGGCTCAAACAAGGCTTAGCGAACCGCAGAGCTCAGAATCTGTGCCTGTACCCCGGATTATTTGACTAGTCACCCCAGTATAACTTCGTAAGTTGAGCTTATTACCCCACAGATGTGTCAATACCTAGGTATTCACCATCGTACTTGGGACAATCTAATCCTCTGCCTGGCTGAAACCTTACATCTGTATATGACCAATGAAACCTTGAGTCCTTGAGCCCTTGAGTCCTTGGAGTTAGATGTATTGGTAATCGAAGAGAACACCGGCCTTAGGTATCTCGCTACCCTTGACCGGTTGAATTCCAATATATATATATATATATATATATATATATATAGGTTCAATAATCCCCCTCAAGTGTATCCCAGTCTACAGTATCTACATTTTCTGATCTTCAAATCACCCACACCTTCCTGATCTGTCATAATGGCTTGGGGAATATTTGAAACTCGGTCGCAACAGCATGTGCCGGGAACTGTCTTGTTAAGCGAGTCCAATGGTGACCACGTTGTCTTCCATAGCGTTAAGACAACCAAACATCGCGGCAAAACAATCATCCTCGTCCCACAGCCTTCGGACGACCAAAACGATCCCTTGAATTGGCCGCTTTGGGTGCGAGACCTGGTCACGCTTCTTTACGGCTACTGCACGCTGCTTATTGTCGGAGGGTACGTCTTTAGCTGAGGGAGCAAATAATCGTCAGAACTTGTCTGAATGTTGACTTTCTATCATATAGTATAGGACCGATCCTGTCGTCTCTGACACTAGAGCTATCGCTTCTCTTCGACGTCTCGTTCACCAAAATCTCTCTTCTGACGGGCTATAGTCTTTGCGCCACTGGGGCTTCTGGTATCTTCATCTCAGCCGCCGCCAACAAGTATGGCAAACGCTTGATCCTTCTGTTTTCGTTGGCTTGCGCCCTTAGTGGCACTATCTGGGGAGGATATGCCACCTCTTACGACTCGCTCCTTGGCGCTCGTATCCTCCAAGGTCTATCGGTCGCCGTGTTCGAGTCCGTCATATTCTCAATCATAGGGGATCTCTACTACGTTCATGAGCGCGGCCTCCGTATCGCTGTTATGACAACATGCATCGTCGGTATTTCCAATCTTCCGCCCGTTCTTGCCGGGAAGATTTCAATGAGTCTTGGATGGCGGTGGGTATTTTGGTTACTGGCTGTCTTTCTCGGGATAGCTCTTTTGTTGGCTCTTCTCTTTGGATGGGAGACAGCTTACCTCCGCAACACAGTCTATAATACAGATCTGGCCGCAGAAGGTGTAGGTTGCTACAGATATTGATCCTCCATTCAGTGACCTTTCTGACCGATCTTAGGATTTGGATAACAAAGATGCGAAGGGAACCCCAGCAGATGCAAACCAGGTCGAGGACGCCAGCGAGTCTTTCTACACTATTACTCGTCAGACCGACGCTTTACTTCCCCGAAAATCGATTACGCGACTATTAAGTCCGTGGTCTGGCGAGTACACATCGAAACCCCTCTGGCGGCTCCTTATTGAACCTTTCCTTATTCTTGCCAACCCGGCCGTCATTTGGGCCGTCCTCTTGATATCCTTCCCCACGCTCTGGCTTGTCGCTGTCAACCTCCTGATTGCTCAGATTTTTTCTGCTCCCCCTTATCTGCTCAACACTGCGGAGCTTGGCTACATGTCTGCTGGGCCCGCAATTGGCGGCTTACTTGGGTCAATCGCTGCCGGTGCCATGTCAGACCCTATTATCGAGTGGGCATCACGCAGGAATAAAGGCGTTTACGAGCCAGAATTTCGTCTGATGCTCATTATTCCTGCACTCATCACATCCGCCATTGGATATTTCCCTTTTGGATATCTCGCCGAGGTAAACAAGGGCCCCGTTATAATGTCAACCTTATGGGGAATCAGTGCGGCAGGTCTTCAGTTCATCATGACCGCTGTCGGGGCTTACATGGTTGACTCCTACCACGACATAAACATTGAAATCTTCATCATTACCATGGTCGTCAAGAACTTTCTATTCTTTGGGTTCTCATGTAGGTCATCCAATTCGTCAGTCCTTCGAGTTCAATCCTAACTATCACAGTCTTCCTTAATACATGGATTGTCGAATGGGGTCCCGCAAGGATGTTCTACTGCATAGGTGGTATACAGGCTGCATTATGTCTCACAACCGTTCCTATGTGGAGTTTTGGAAAGCTCGTGCGGGCATGGTGGTACAGTTCGAAGGATGGAATTTAGCCTATACACGAGCACCACATTGTTGCTAGATACCTAGCGTCAAAAGGAATATGTACTTTACAATGCCCAGGGCCAAAATATACAAATCCGAGACCAAATGATTTAGTCACAGTGAAATCATTTCACCAGCTGCTAATTGCGCATGTCTGCGTGGCCAGAGCTCATGCCAGTCTACTTATCTAAATTATCTCAATGTTCTGAATAGGCCCATAGTTGGTGATTCTCTAACAAGGCAGGCGGCGTGATGATGTCGGGCTGTCTTCAATATTCACTGACGTCAAGAGCCAGTCCAAAGCCGCGCGTAATGTGGATGCGAGTCTCGCTGGGCAACGGACAGAGGGTGCATCTCGCCGGGCTTAGCTGGGGCCTGGTGATATTGGCGTATTTGATGGAGATGTTAAATCACAGAGAATATATTAGGAATGGCCTGTATGGCTATAGAAATACGGTGGATTTACTGGCCGATTAGAGCAACGGAATAAAAAGTGAAAGCAAATGAAGAAAAAGACAGTGTATATTCCGGCTCTGAGCTGCTGGGTGGCGGGGGGTTAGAATACCCTCGAGAATACCTGTGACCCGGAGGTTACATATCCGAGATGGTTTCGAAGCAGATGATTCACGTTGTATTGTCCAGCTAGCTACTATATACGAAATTCAGGTTTGTTCTGACGAAAGATGAAGATTCGCTGTGGCCTTCTTCTCCTTGGTCGCATCTCTAATAATCAAGACCTCACAACGCAGGTGTCTTATAAGCTTCTTCCCAGAAGCTAGCTGACTCTTCTCCCAACCAGCGTTGACTTTCATTCGGATAGTCGGGCTTGGTACGGAAATACAGCTGATCCAAACTAAGCTCCACAATCTGCCCATAGGTGGTGTTGTCTCCGAGAAAGGTATCATATGCTTTGATAACAGTCGACATTGGAGTGATATGCTCCTTTGGAAAGCGATCTAGCATCTCCTTTGGACATAGAGCAGTCGGTACAAATGCTGGACAAATGGCATTTACCTGGATATTCTGCTTATGGAGGGCCGGCCCCAGAGCCCTAGCAAGGCCAACCAGAGCATGCTTGGAGGCCGTGTATATGGGATTTGATCCCATAGGATATAGCCCTGCGCTTGACGAGGTAATGACGACTTTCCCACCGACAATTTTGTTTTGCAGGGCGTAGTGTTTGAAGAGCCAAATCCCCTGTATGACGGCGTTGAGGTTCACATCCATAGCTTTGAGATTCAGGGGCAGCGGGAAGCCATTTTCGTCATGAGAGTATTCATTTTGTTGGAGAAATTGGGTGTCAGCAATCCCGGCATTCGCGGCGAAAAGATCTAGCCTCTTCCCTCCCCACGAGAAGGCCATTCTGAATAAGTTTGCTTGTTGCGAGTACGAAGTGACATCCGTGTGGCAAAAGATCACTTGGTCTCCAAGCTCGGTTGCAAGCTTTTGTCCGGTTGCTTCATCAATATCGGCCATGGCGACTCGCCATCCTTTCGTAACCAGGTGTTTCGTCACGGCAAGTCCCATGCCCGACGAGGCGCCGGTGATGACGGCAACTGGTCCAGACATTTTGAGAGATGTGAAGTCTTTAAAAGATGAGATCTTCCCAGTAGCAGATACCTTAATAATGAGGTTTGGTCTACAACATATGACGGTGATACAGGTAAGTGGTGGAGAATGTGGGGTGAAGGTAGCCATCTGGCCAAGACGAGACACCCCACCTCTGAGTCCGGGAATTGCGTGCATTCTTGAGACGTGGGGTATGGGGTAATAAATTTCAAGGGCAATGAACGTAGAATCTGTAAGCGAGCTAGGTCAGAAAGAATGGGATTAAGTATAGAAAACCTTTGTCCTCCCTTTCGGAAGCCTGGAATATATATAAGGGCCATCAATTCGAATTTGTTCTAGGCACCGTCAATCTCACGAGCTGAAACGATTTACATTATGCCATCCGATAACCCAAATTCCATTCCCACGCTCGAAGAGAAGCACAATGGTGTACCAGCGCGCCTGTTACATAAAGCGCATCGCGCAAAAGGGCTCATCCAAGATATTGCGACCAAGCAGATCCGGCCGAGACAATGTTTGCCCGTGATACCACAAGGAATCGAGCGATCGCGGTTTTTCTCGGCTATTGATGAACTATCAAGCCAGCTGGGCAATGAAAACGTCGAAATCAATGATAAACCGCTTGATGATGGATGGTAAGATACCTATACTCTAAACAAGACAATCTATAAACATAATACTAAGACATTAGACAGGTACATGGAGCGTAAGTGACGGTTCCTGTAAAGGCATCGATCATATTTTAACTGACGCCGTTTGAATTAGCTCCCAATACACATGACGGAATGGCTATCACAGACGAGGAAGAACTAGTCGCTTCTGCGGTGGTCTATCCGGGTAGTACGGAAGAGGTACAGAAGATCGTACAATGGGCGAACAAGTATCTCATTCCTTTACATCCCATTTCAATGGGCCGAAACTGTTTGTCGACTTTGAATCCTCTCCGTGATACCACCCCCTAACCAGAAATCATGTATAGTTGGTTATGGCGGAGCGGCGCCACGCGTGCGTGGGGCTGTCGTGATCGACCTCGGGAAGCGCATGAACAAGATTCTCGATATCAACCCCGACGACAGTACCTGCCTGGTGGAACCAGGTGTATCCTATTATGGACTATACGAAGAAGTGCAGAGGCGTGGCTACAAGCACCTCTGGATTGACGTTCCTGACCTAGGAGGTGGCTCCGTGCTAGGGAATGCCCTTGACCATGGAGTTGGGTACACACCGTATGGAGACCATTGGGCAATGCATTCCGGCCTCGAGGTTGTCACACCCACCGGCGAGGTGGTCCGGACAGGGATGGGCGCCCTACCAGGGAATAACACTTGGCAGGTGTTTCCTTACGGCTTTGGTCCTTTCGTCGAGTACGTTCAACCCTGAAGGTTTTGCCGACCGGATTTTCCTAATATACGTTTCCAGTGGCATATTCTCGCAATCGAACTACGGTATTGTCACCAAGATGGGATTCGGTTTGATGCCAAATCCAGGTGGCCACGAAAGCTTCGTGAGTTGGCCAGTAATTTGCGTCACAGGTCTTGTGTTAACATTTCTACTACAGCTGTATACCTTTGAGAAAGAGGAGGATTTGGAGCAACTCGTGGAAATAGTACGCCCTCTGCGGATTGCTATGATCCTTGAAAATACGGCAAACATCCGTCATGCGTTGCAGGTTCTCGCCCTATCGGGAAAGCCTCGATCGGCATTTTATGAAGGAGAAGGCGCTTTCCCTCGTGAAAAAATGAACGAGTACCTGAAAGACCACCCTTATGGAGCATGCACCTGGTTATATTTCGGTACATGCTACGGGCCCAAGGAGGCACGCCAGCTGAAGCTTGATATCATCCACCGCGAATTCATGAAAGTTCCTGGTGCAAGACGGATTGACCCAGCGGTGTTACCGCCCAGCGATTATTTCTGGTCTCGCGACAAGATTGCAAGCGGGGAGCCAGACCTGGAAGAGCTTGCTTGGGTCAACTGGTGGCCTAATGGCGGACATGTTGCTTTTAGTCCCGTGGCGCCTACTCGTGGCGCCGATGCGCTGCGATTGTGGCAGATGGCCAAGAAACACTGGATGGCATCTGGGCTAGACTTCTTCCTTGACTTCGTCGTTGGATTACGCGAGCTCCATCTGATTGTGGAGTGTGTGTATGACCGGGATGACCCTAAGCAGCGCTCCACCGCACTGAAGGTAATGAGATCCCTCATTGACGAAGGTGCGAAGGAAGGGTATGGTGAGTATCGTACGCATTTACTCTTGAGTGATCAAGTTGCAGGAACTTACTCCTGGAACGATAACGCACTCATGAAATTCAACGAAAAGCTGAAGGACTGCCTCGATCCCAACGGAATCCTGGCACCAGGGCGGAGTGGCATCTGGCCCGCAAGATACAGAGGAAGGGGCTGGGAAATCACTGGAGGGAAGATATCGTCTGAGGGTGATGGAGTAACCCCGCCATCAGCGACCACGAAGCTGTAACTACTCCAGGCTCCAGCCATGTTCATATCAGTTCATTCGTCACTTTGTCTGCTGAGCCCGCGTGGTTCCTCTAATGCTCTTTGTCCACTACTCTGTCAATGTAATAGTTGAACGTCAGCCGAAATTCAGTTGTTGTTAGAGAATTGGAGGTAGGCTTCGGCACGACACCTTACTCAGTCCGCTTATCCCTACACCCAATGAGCGGTGAGCAATGGCAGATCACATTGATTATGTAAACAGTGGGCCTGTGAATTACTGCATCCGGTTAGTCTTTCCCTTTTAGGCATCGACTCGATCTTGGAGAAACTTTGAGAAACTTTAATTTCTCCGAGGGCTCTGTCATGGGAATTCAGATAACAACAATATAAAAGAAATGGAAATAGAAAACTACACCTATTTCAATTGAATTTCCAGTGTAATTAGTTGGCCATCTATAATTCCATACCAGCCCTCAGAACATCTACTACCTTAGTCTGAAAATCCACCGCTAAAGCCAATCCTTCTGTCTTCCTAAAATCACCCTTTAAGCAAGAAAGCACAGCTTGCATATAACCCACACCCATCTCTTTGGGCAGTCCCTGCATTGCCAATGCCATCAAATCATCAACCACTTTCTTCGGCCTCGGTAGCCGCCCACTATTCTCCGCCTCCCGAATCTTCGCCTCCATCAACCGCGACAGCGTAACCCACAGCCCGATTTCGAGAAGTACCACGCCCAGTGCATATATATCATGCAGGTGGCTAAACTGCTGTGTTGGACGACCCTGCCGGGTTGGATGACGGTAAAGATTAGGCTCAACTTCGAAATCGGAGCGCATGTCTGTGCCTTGCTGTACAGATCGTGCATAGCCCCAGTCGCCTAGGTAGGAGACGATCCTGTTTTTAGAGCTAGGCATGGAAAGGCGATGCTCGTAGAGACCCGAAGAGCTGATGTTTTCGGGGGTCTCGAGGAACAGAAGGATACCCCTGCTCCAGATGTTTTTGTGGACCCATGATGAGGCATGGACGTTTGAGAGCGTCAGAGCGAGACTGTGCGCCATACTAAAACGATCATTGAGGGTGGGCTTCTTAAGTGGTCGTTTGTTTGAGCTATCGATTGCATTGATAAAGGCGTGTAGGGTTGTTAGCGATGGCGCGGTTGTTATACCGGATGTGGGGAGCTTATAGAGGAAAACGCTTCGTTCCTGGATGGGTTGATCGACAAAGCCGAGGCATTCTAGCGCATAAATCTTGGGCTGATCAAGAGAGTTTGGCGATTCGCTGATGAAGGTGGTGCTTTGGAGGAGCCAGGCCAGGTTGCGAATGGGTGCTTTGAGCTCTTGTACTTCTTCCGGCTCTAAATCATCGCGCTTGAGCTCACTCTCGTACTCGTGATACTCAACAATCACTTGTGCTTCTTCGGTACCCGAAGACCACTTCCCCAGTTGGAATCCTCCCATTGGCTTTCCTTCCTCGGTGATGATACCAGTTAAACACGCGTAGTCCGCTGGTGCCACGGCCTCGGCCAGTAAACGTCGATTCATGACCGGTTCCAGACCAGTGGTTTTCAGCCCTTGATAATTGTTTTCGACTAGCTTGGCTAGCATATCCTGCGACATGTGCTGCATGAGGTTTCGCAGATCGTCGGACCACTTGGTATATGTCTCCAGGATTCGATTAAGCTTCTTTTTGTCAAACAGTGACCAGTCATACCCCTTGAGCTTGAGCATTTTGACCATACTCTTTGCGCGCTCCGCCAAAGAGGCCTGGGCTTTGGGCTTCTCCTCCTCGATGGTGTATCTTTCATCCACGAAACCGTACTTGGTTGCCACAACTTCATATTCAGCCAGAGTTTTCCTCATCTGCACCAGCAAACCTTCCACCGTGTCGGCGATGAAAGGCTCCGCCTTTCCTGGAATCATCAGCCCATTTTCTGCATCAAAGAATGTGCGTTTGAAACAGAGTAGGGTGAGTAGCTGGAGATTCAGCTTGAGTCGGATGTCGGCCCGGTCATCATCAAAGGCCTTAATGTCGGAGATGACGCCTTGAATAAAGACGGTGACCTGATAGATCTGGGTGATGGCCGTCACTGCTGTGCCATAGACGTCCATTTTACTTGGAAACTAACCAGAGAAGAAAATTGAAGTATTTAGTTCCGGGGGAAATTGAAATGAGGGGGCTGATGAGAGTCATCTGGGCAGTAGAGTCAGCAGAGTCAGCACTAAGCTGTTCCTAGGTAAGTGTGTCTTGGGCTTTTTATTAGAAAGACTCTTCCATCGTTTTAATTTCTTTTCCCGTATTCACCTCTTTTCTCCATTTCCAACAAAATGGCAGAGTATGATGATGTTCTCAACGACCTGGATGATAATTACTATCTAATAGACGGAGACAATCTATCTCCTTCCCTTCAACCCTGGGCCAATTCTAGCGACATTGAAGAATTCGACTCGAGCAGTCTCAACCATTCCTCTGATTCCTCATGGACTAACCTTGACCCTTTAGAGGCGGCCATAACGGCCACTCGAAATGGTTCTTCTCCAGTTCTCAGCACCCTTTCTCAATTCACAACCATCCTATCCCAAACTGGTATCCACGGCCCTCGCCTCATCAGACCGGCCAATCTCACCACCCGAGCCATTAAGATCGGCTCCGGTACCCAATTTACTGTATTCAAGGACCCTATCTTTGAAAGAGAGGTCATCAAACGTGTTAAAGTTCCACTCCCAAATAAGGTGGAACAGCGCTTCTCGACGAGCAATGACTATCGCTTATGGCTAAGGACATTGCTACTAGAGGTACTATCGCTCTGTAACCCCGTTCTCCGTGCGCATCCAAACATCACCACTCTCGTGGCATGGGGGTTCGATTTCCCCTTTGCGGATATGGCCGTGCCCGTATTGTTTATGGAAGAGGCAATGATGACTTTGGGGGACTTTCTGGGTGCGGAGAAGAGGGGGGTGGAGGTAATGTATCAGCTTGCGCTAGGTGTAGCGAATGGGCTGGAAGCGCTACATAACCTCAAAATTGTACATGGAGATGTTAAGCCGGATAATGTGCTTGTGTTTGACGGCCCGAATGAGAACACCCCCTTCCAAGCCAAGTTGAGTGATTTCGGGGTTTGCATTGATTTGGAGACACCCGAGCGGCGACTTGCGTTGAGTGATTACCTGGGAACCCTGGCTTGGATACCACCTGAGTTGGTGAATAAGGACGTCTCGAGGTTTGGGGGGTTCTCGCCGGAACTAATGTTCAAGTTTGATGCGTATAGCTTCGGCATGGTTCTCGTGTCTATCTTTACCGGTGGTCAGGTTCTCATTCTGGATACAAAACCTGACAGGGTCTCAGATCAGATTTCCAAGTTGTTTAACCAAGAAGATATACCTTCTTCTATGCGCATCGAACTACGGAAAGCAGCCTTGAAACTACTGTCCGAAGATCCCAGAGACCGACCACTCCCAAGTGCAGCTTTGCTGAAAATCGACTCCCCGGCATACGCTTTCTGGTATCTCAACCATCCATCCCTTCATTAACATCAATCACTAGCTGACAACTAACCTTAGGTTTTCCTCCATCCAATCCCACTCCACAAACACTCATGTAGGAATCATTGATCCAATATACAACAAAGGTCCGCTCTTCTGGTACCGCCTCGATCAGAGTATTCGAAAAGAACTGGAGGAGCAACACGCGCTGAGTAAGGGAGCAGATGCGCCTCCATTTGCGGGGGATGTGCTTTTTGGGATAGCGCAGACAATTACTGGCGAGAAGCCGATGTACCTGGATCGAATGTTAACGTATTTGGGCGATGCAGCGAGGGTGGGATACTCCCCGGCTAGGGCTGTATATGCGCAGATTATGGAGGCACATGGTCAAACGCCGGAGTTCAGCAACGAAATATTGGAAGAGTGGATGCTGCAGGCTGTCTCTGAAGGGTACCTTTTTGCGAAGTCTGCTAGACTGGAGAAGAGAGTGGAAGAGGCGAAGGGCCGGTTTAGAAGTCAGGGGGGCTTTTGTTCCGACCCCTTCGTGGGGAAAAGTGACGTTAAGATGGCAATTGACAGGGGAAAAGGGTTGGAGTGGAAGATGAAGAACGGGGATGTTGTTGATCGTAAACGGAATACGATATTGCATGCTGCTGCTGCATTTGGGGCTGTTGATGCGTTGCAGAGTCTAATAGATGATGCAAAGATAGCAGTGGACGTGGAGAATGAGAATGCCGAGACGCCATTGTATAAGGCGTTTCAAGCGGGACATACGAAAGTGATCGAGGTCCTGCTTGACCATGGTGCAAAAGCGTCCTGCAGAAATCGGCAGAAGATCACTCCTCTGCATTGGCTGTTTATGCTCCCCGAGGGTTCGATCCGTGAAATCGCAAAACGGATGATTGAAAGAGGAGCAGATGTCAATGCAGTAATGGAGCCCATCAAGGAACACAACAGTGGATTTTCAGAAAAGATCCAGATACTTCACTAGTATGTTTCTTTTTCTTCTCCGTGTCAACAATCAAGCTAATAGGTCAGTCCATTTGAACTTCCACATGGGTCACCTCTTCATTGGGCATGTTTTTTCCGCAAAATGACAGCCATCGACACTCTCATTTCGCTTGGGGCCAATGTCAACGTAGTCTATCATGGCTCAGATCCGTCAACCACCCCGCTTTCATTGGCAGCGTACTTCGGGGAACCTATGATAGCCAAATATCTGATATCTCATGGTGCGGACGGCGCTTTATTGGACTCGATGGGACGAAATAACTTGCACGGAATCACCAAGTATTTTCCTGACCGACATGGATACCTGCGTCATCACTGGCATTATTGGATCCGACATGGGACATGGGAGCATCATTTGGCGCAGATCGCGGATTTAGTTAATATATTGGTCGAGGCTGGCGCAGACATCAACGCTAAGGATAAGGGAAAACCTTGTTTGACTCCCATTGCAGCGGCAGCCGATCGAGGATGCTGGGATGGGGGTATGATATGTGCATTGCTGGATGCTGGAGCTGATTTGGGGGGATCAGTCCTGACCACGGGAGATACCGTGCTGCATTCATGGGCATCTATCGTTGGACCGCGTCTGGATTATCCCGATTCATACCTACCGACATTAAAAAAGATAGTGAAGGCTATGCCAAATCTTGACATCTGCAACCGGTTCGAAGAGGCTACTCCACTCCATGAGTTGACAACCATATACCACCCAGAGGATGAATTCGAGGCTGCATGCAAGATTTTCCTCGGTCACCCCCGTCCAGCAGACATCAATGCAAAGACCCGTCGCGGTGATTCCCCACTATCTATAGCTCTGGAAACAAACCTCGATCCTACACGACGCGGCCGCTTCTTGCTCGGGAATGGGGCCGATCCCCTCGTTCTCAACTACCGAGGGCGAGATATTTTCTATTCAATTGTCAACAACCTTGTTCTGACTGACCAAGACAGTCACGACCTCATCCAGCACTTTCTCCACCATCTCAGCCCTGATATCCAAAGCGCGTACACGAAGTACTACCTCCACAACCCTAACAGCAATGAACCCCTCTTCGCCGCCGCACAGAGCGGAAAACCGCGCACGTTAAACCTCCTCCTCTCTCTCGGTCTCACCAGATACATCAATAAGCCCAACACATCAAAGTCACCACCATGGACCCCACTAGATCGAGCTCTCCACTCCGCCGAGCTCGGTCGCCGTGCACATATGCGGAGATTGGCATCATACAAACATGGTGGCGCACGCACCAAAGCGCTGGAGCAGAACCTTGTCTACGATGAAACCCAAGGTCCGCCAGCCCGTGCGGCTGAATCTTACAGGTCATTTCCAGAGGTCATCCGGATCCTTCGAGTTGCGGGGGCTAAACGGACATGTGAGTTGGATGGTACGAAGGGGGATTATATTGAGCAACCGAGGGAGTGGGATCAAGAAGAGATTCAAAAGTATGGATTTACAGTGGAAACACAACCGAATGTGGAGGCATGGGGGAATTGTATAAATTGGCGAGATATCAGAGGAGTTGGCTGGGCATATTGACGGGAAAGTGACAGGTCGTGTTATCTCTAGGGCTGGACTGATCTATCACATTCATGATTAGTCATTCTTTTACAAATCATGCATCACCACCTGGGCATACGGAGTACTCCGTAGTTGTTCGGTATTACATTGCATATTAACTGGACATAGATCATAGATGTATGTATACATGGGAAAAGTCGCCTGTTTTAGTTACTTATATTCTATATTCTATGGCTCATTATTCTTATCCTCCTAGTTACAACACCAAGAGGGAAATATGTATAAAAAGAAGTATCTAAAAAGATATACAAAGATATATAAAGACCTTGAAAACGACCAAAAAAAAGAACTATGACCAAGGTCACATAAGCGGCTATCATAGTACTACCTAGATATATACCCTTTAAATAAAATAATACATATGCTGTATATACCCTTTCACCTGAATATTTCGATCTAATCTCTCTCCATCGGGACGGATATCCCGGCAGACTTGGAGTGGCAAGATGCGGGATGTGAAAGGCTTAGTCAACCAATCAGAGTGGCTGATATTCACCTTATTCAACTTATCCTCGGCCTCCCCCAATTCACTTAAATTCCACCTTTGGATCTTCCCAAGGTTGTTCCTTGTACTTATCACTTATCTCCATTTCTCCTTCTCCCTTTCCCTATCCCAAACATGTCCTTCTCAAATTTGGTCTCCGACATTGCATTTCGTGATGCTCGTGTGGATGATGGCAGCTCGCAAATCTCTCACGCCCGATCTCACCGGTCTCATGCGACCGCTCGGTCGTATACCAGCACCGCAGCCACAAGCGTCAGCATTGCTGGCGAAGTTTCCAGCCAGTTACATTCTGGATACAGCCATCCTTTAACTAGAGCATGGCAGGCCGATAGGCAATTGACAAAGGTCCGCCCTTAAAACTTTATGAGACGTATAATGGCACTGGCAACTCAATCGCTAATACGCTGTGTCTATAGGATATGCTCATCTATCCGTTGTTCATCACAGACGATCCTGACGAGGAGACATCAATTCCTTCGTTGCCCAATCAACACCGCCGTGGAATCAATCGTCTGGTTCCCTTTCTCGCCCCCCTTGTTCGGAAGGGTCTACGCTCGGTAATGCTATTTGGTGTTCCGCTTCAACCATCCGCCAAAGATGCATTGGGAACTGCCGCAGATGACCCCGATGGGCCGGTGATTCAAGCTATTCGTCTGCTCCGATCTCGTTTCCCTCAACTTTATATCACAACCGATGTATGTCTGTGCGAGTATACGTCGCACGGTCACTGTGGTATCTTACGAGAAGATGGAAGCCTCGACAACGCGCAATCAGTTGATCGAATCTCCGACGTAGCCATTGCCTACGCGGCAGCTGGAGCCCACTGCGTGGCGCCATCAGACATGAACGATGGACGAATCCGGGCTATCAAGCTCAAGTTGATTGAAGCCGGTGTGGCACACCGCGTACTTTTAATGTCTTACAGTGCCAAATTCAGCGGCTGCTTATACGGACCGTTCCGCGATGCGGCAGGCTCTTGTCCTTCATTCGGGGATCGTCGGTGCTACCAGCTTCCCCCAGGCGGCCGCGGTCTTGCCCGCCGTGCGATACAGAGAGACATGGCCGAAGGCGCAGATATTATCATGGTGAAGCCTGCCAGCAGCTACCTTGATATCATTCGGGATGCGAAAGATTTGGCACCGGATCTCCCAGTAGCCGCGTACCAGGTCAGCGGTGAATTTGCAATGATCCACGCCGCTGCTAAGGCCGGTGTCTTCAATCTCAAGGATATGGCCTTCGAAAGCACCGAAGGTATATTGAGAGCAGGCGCTGGCATTGTGATCAGCTATTTCGTCCCTGAATTCCTCGATTGGCTTTAATCGCTTGCTCAACTTGCCATTTATCTCTTTTACTTACTCTTTCTCCACTCCAAAAGTGCGATTTTCGGACTTCTTATTTTCCGTGTGTTTACCATGACTGCATTTCTACATCTGACTTCTATCATGGATTTGATGTATTGAACATAAAATGCTACTCGAAGCTGGATAGATTCCCCTTTATGTGACATGATGTTTTCATTTTCTTGGTTGTTAACGATTACCCCTTATTACAATGCTATTAATTTCTTCATGCTTTTCTTTTTGTCTCTGCTCAACGGATAGTGTATCAGACATTTGCTTTCTGCAATCAACAGGTATAAAAGTATAAAACTTTGTAGCAGAATCGAGTTTGAATTGAGGTAGATGATGCAGAGGCATTGTGTATATAGACTGCAAGATGACGTCCAGTTCGCCGCATAAAACGCTAATAACAAACAAATGTAAAGAAAAACCATTCGTCAACGACAGTGGATATCAAAAGAAGAAAAAAAAAAAAATTCATGCGGGAGGTCATAATTTTGCTTCTCCCGATATATAAGCGTTGATAGATCCAACACCGTAGGAGAAAGTCATTCGGCATTTCCACGTCTAAAATCAGTACACGCCTTTTGGTTCACATGGCAAAGCTAGGTTTTGACCCCTGGAACATGTAACCTGCAATGTTCGAGTTGACAATTTCTCCTGGGGCCACATAAACGCCACGGGCAAGACGAACCCCTGGGTAGATGATGCACCCCGCGCCCACATAACAATCTTCTTCAATGATGACTTGGCGACCTTGATACCGACTTTGCGAGCCTTTGCGCTCTTGCATGTTGGGATGAGCAGTTGAACTAATTATTTTGACGTTGGGGCCTATCCAGGTATGAGCACCGATACGGATGACACAGTCATCCACAAACAGGCAATTCTCCGAGATCATGACGTCTTCCCCGATGTGGAGATTATAACCGTAATGGCAACTAAAGGGAGCCTCGACGACCGCCCCTTGACCGATGGATCCGGCAGAGCGAGCCACGCCGGTTCCAGCTGGTGAGTTGACAATGGAGGATGCCGGGGGCACGATGATCTCCTTCAGGAGGCGGTTTTGCTCTTTCGAACTGATGCCATTGAGCGGATTGCAGGCGTTGTTAAATTTCCATAGTGCGCCTCGGCAACGATCTCTTTCTTCCACGAGGTGGACGTCAAATGGTCGGTAGAGTTTGCCTCTAAGCATTTTTTTCCTTCTCGGTCTCGTCACTCGATACAGTACGGCCAGAGAGCTGATGCTCGATACTAAGTGCCATCCGAGCCTGCGCCTGAGGACTATGGGTATCCACAGCCGCCGCGGGCAATGTTCGTTGCTCGGGCCCATTTTGGAACAAGGGCATGTTGGATTTAGGATGAGATGGATGACTGAGGTCTCGGAGTGAAGAGATAACCGGATAGTCAGGTTTGGGACGTCCTTCCCGTGAGAGCTCATGGATGGGTGGAACTTCCCGATAATCGACGACTTTCGCCATGGGTTCAGACGGATACGGGGGATGGCTGGTACTGGGCCCGGGTCCAGGGCCGGCACTTGGCCAACCTTGTTTTGACCACGCATGGTTGGATGGTGTAACTGTTGGGCTGGTGTTATATTGTTGCACAGGTCGGTCATTCTCCTCCACCACCAGGGGCCTGATTTTTGTCGTGTCGACATGCTCCACTATGTTAGGCCGGTCTTGGTGTCGGGGTGTTTCTTGCATATACGAGCCATTGATGTCTGAATAGCCTTCTTTGGATTGCAAAGGGATCGGGGCTTTTGTATTAGATGGTTTTTGCCAGGTGCTTCGGGATGAATACCCTTCACATAGGAAGCCCCCACGAATACAGTTGTTGCCTACAATGCATCATTAATGTCGTTTCTCCACTTGAATTTGGACAGGGAATGGTTTATAAAGGCAAAAGAAAGACCAGGGGGGCTAGATCGATTAGGAGTAGACTTACACGCCGGATGTTGCTCATCGCATTTCTTTTTTTCTGCGACGACAGGTCATACAGCCTGTCTTCGTTCGGTTACTAAATACCCGCTTTCTCTTTGGTGCCACCTGCATTGCTCCATGCCGATCTGGCACATAACTAGGAGAGGACGGTTGTTGAGCACCGGGGGTCGAGCGATTTGTCATGGATCTTTCTTGGCCTGTCTCGCGTTGAAGAGCGTCTGCTAGGTGGGCATCGGATGCATCAATTTGCTGGGCCCGTTGTGCCTGGGTGATCAGCTGAGAATCATATTCTGACCAAGGACTATTGGCGGAGGTCTGGCCTGCATCATTGCCTTCGGAACGATGAGACGGTGTTGCAGAATGATTGCCACGCTCCATCTCCGAGACCGATCCTGGCATGCTGCCATTCAGATTGGGTTGGTTACTCTCGGTAGGTCGGTTTACCGGGCTCCGGGAGGCGTTCGCGGAATCTCGTTCTCGGGACTCTGATCTCTTTCTCTTGTTCTTATTTTGAGAGCTGGGCGAGGATCTTTGTGACCACTTCTCTTGATCATTGGCAGGCTCATCCCGATCATCTCGATGACTGTGATCTAAATTGGTCTTTTCCTGGGTCGGTGCACGTTCTCCGTTAGAGATAGCATTGGGCGTTGGCCCATGGCTATTCCCATTCCCGTTCCCGGAGTTCACGGATTCCCTGCCATTAACTGCAGTGAATCGGGATGGGCTGTGCTCCGTCCCCGTTTCGGCCCCCGAGTCATGACTACCATTCATGACTGTTGGAGCAGCAAGAGCCGTCATGATAGGAAGCCCAGAAACAAAAGGAACCAGAGAACACAAAGAATAGAGCTGAGGTTACACCGAGAGGTGCAGGAGACTATTCAAGTATATGGGTCTAGGCAAACTTGCAACTCAATTGCCAAGAGATAGCCCCCAAATATGAATTTCAATGAGAAATTGAAGAGAAGCTTTCAAATTCCCGGGAATACCAGAGTACTTCCAATATCTTAGTCAACCCTGTGTTGGGGGGAGAGAGAGATGTTTGGAATTGCAAGTTAAGTCAGGTGGGGCGAGAAGATCGGGAGATTATCAAGATAGTATACAAAAGATATGTGTTGAAAAAGAGCAATCAACGAGGTGGTGTTTTTTTTTTTAATAGAGAAAAAATGTAGAAAAAAATGGAGAATATGAATGAAGAAGAAATAGGTAAAAGGCTCAAATATAAAGAAGAGAGGGAGAGAGAGAGAGAGAAAGCCAAAGGAGAAGGGAAGAGACGGAAAATGGGGGAGAAGAGGGAGGGGGGAACAGAGACTAATAAAAGAGAAGGAAGGACACCGAGCTAGGACCCTCTCTCTCTGCCTCTCTCTCTCTCTCTGTCTTTTTCATGAAAAGTACAAAATAATAAAATAATAATAAATAATAAAAAAAGAGTTGTAATCGCCAACTTAAGAAAGAAAAAAAAAAAAGAGGGAAAGGGGAAGTTGACGCGCGATCGGCAATGACGGCGTCACGGGCAACATCCAATCGGAGAAGCGATCAGTCCTGTTTTCGTGAGGCGCGGGTCTGAGACATGGCCCATCCGCTTTGGACTTGTCTGCGCGCGTTCCCTTCCCTTTTTCTTTTTCCCTCCAATTTTCTTTTTGCCCACATTCGCCATTGGCGCCCGTGTACGCGGTGTTTCCGCGCATAAGGGCGGTTATGCGCTTAAGTATTTTACAACTTTTATTATGACTTTGGGGGTATATTTTATAATATATTTCACTTTTAAATTCTCCTTTTTGAATCTTATTTCGGATCCTCTTTGTCCAAAATTCCTCTCAAGCCTGAGGTTTTCATGGATCTGGCGCCCATCTCGGGAATTATTTGATGACTGCAGCGTGCCGCGGCGCTAGGACCAAGGAACTAAAATCACAGGAGTCGGCTGAGCACGGATGTCTTTCTGGGCGCTTTCCCTGAGTTTAGACGACTTTTTCTTTGTTTTAATCAAGTACAACATACAACATACATACAACTAGTAGTGTTATGGAGGATATAGTGACCTCGTACTTTTAGATTATCTATCTTCTTATATATACTAAAATGTAAATATCATATTAGATATGTGTATGAACTGTGGGCACCTAATTCGGCCCAACGCTCAGAATTCTATCACTATCACTATCACTTTTTTCTCTCAATAATAGCACCTCTCATAAATAATGTAAAATGTATAATGTACAATGTACAATAATAATAAACTAACTAACTAGTTATGGATCCAATAGGATATTACCTACAACATAGGTACATATGTAATACAGCCCACCTGGACACCTGGGCAGTGAGAGCTTGTGCTGACTAAGACCTCGACGAGACCCCCAAGAGATCCAAGTTCAAACAATCCAACGCGCTCTCACCGCCAGAGTCTGCGATAGCTTCCTTTTTTTGACCCCCAATCTCGTGCTTTTTTTTTACTGCCTTCAGAGTCTGGTAAGCCTTGACCTGGACTCACCTCCTCCTCATTCCCCCCATCCAATCATTTCTCATCCTGACATCGTGCTGACCCCCCAACCCCTCTAAAGGATCTCTACCCCACCGATCACACTTGCTTCTTATTCCCCCTCTATTATTTGATACTGCCCTGCAGCCGCCCTGGCACCCCCATATCCTATCAAGGCGGTTCCCATCAACCTTCACTCTTGACTCTCGTGTCTCAACCCCCCATTCCGTCATCAGAGGCGACATCGCCAGCCTGCGCCGGGATGTCGATTTCGGTACAAGAGCTGGACAACACGGTCCGAGCTTTGTTTGAAGGCAAAGGTGCCGTGGTAAGTTTGGAAACATCTATGGCACACTAGGATTGCAGAATTCATGGATTCTCTCTATCTCCTCTCCGGGAAGCTCTGGGAACAGTAACACTGACTTTCATAACCCGTGTCTAGCAACACCAAGCACAGCAGACTTTGACCGAAGTAAGCGCGCAGTCCCTCTTGCAACCCCATGAATTAGAAGCTAACCATCCATGTGCTCTTCAGTTCAAACAAAATCCCGATGCCTGGGTTACTGTGGGCAATATCCTCCAAGAGGCCTCATACCTTCAAACCAAATGTGTGTTTTGAGTCTTTGGCAATATCCCCCCACTCACCCAAATGCCTTCAAATGCCTGAAAAAAAAAATCTTGCTAACCTTCATAGACATTGCTCTCCAAGTCTTGGACAATGTGATCATGACACGGTGGAAGGTTCTACCAAGAGACCAATGTCAGGGTAAGAACTAGAATAACCTCGTGGTTTTGTCTCCCTATACTAAAGTTATTCTTCATAGGTATCCGCAATTTTATTGTCAGATTCATTCTCGAGAATTCCGAATCCGAAGAGAAGATCCAAGCGGAGCGCCCTCTATTGAACAAGCTCAATCTCGTTCTCGTCTCCATTCTAAAGCAAGAATGGCCGCACAACTGGCCCACCTTCATCAACGAGATCATTTCTTCTTGCCATGCCAGCCTGTCGATCTGTGAAAATAACATGACCATTCTCCGTCTATTGTCAGAGGAAGTCTTCGATTTCTCGCAAGATCAAATGACCTCGGCTAAAGCACGGAACTTGAAGACCTCTATGACCTCGGAATTTGCGTCGATCTTCCAATTGTGCTCCGAGGTTCTCAACACTGCAAACCAGCCCAGTTTGGTGAAAGCGACCCTTGAAACTCTCCTTCGATTTTTGAACTGGATCCCGTTGGGCTACATTTTCGAAACCCCGATTATCAACACTCTCCTCACCCGATTCCTCGGAGAGCCCGAGTTCCGCAATGTGACTTTGAAGTGTCTGACCGAGATTGGTGGCTTGCAAATTGGCACTCCCTACAACTATGACGAACGATTGGTGCACATGTTCACCGAGACCCTCACCACTGTTTCCAATGTCATTCCTCTGTCTCTGGACCTGAAGCAGACATATGCCATGAGTAATGGAAGAGACCAAGAGTTTGTATCAAACCTGGCCTTGTTCCTCTCGAGCTTTTTCAGTGCTCACCTGGATGTATGCTCCCTTCTTTTCTCCAACACTTGTTTTGTTTTGTTTTTTGGGCTGACTCTCTACTTTCTTTTATAGCTCATCGAAAAGTTGCCTAACCAAGATTACCTCACACACGCACATTTCTATCTGATTCGGGTCAGTCAGATCGAAGATCGGGAGGTGTTCAAGATTTGCTTGGACTACTGGACAAGGCTCGTGCAGGAACTTTACGAAGAGATGCAGCAACTCCCAATTACCGACATCAACCCGCTGGTATCCATGAGCGTTAGTGGATTGGCCAACGGTGGCGCCCCCAATCCCACTACCCTAGCAAACTACCCCTTGCGCAAGCACAAGTACGAGACTGTGTTAACAAACCTTCGCACCGTCATGATCGAGAAGATGGTCCGCCCAGAAGAGGTCTTGGTTGTTGAAAACGACGAGGGTGAAATTGTGCGCGAGTTCGTCAAGGAAAGCGATACTATCCAACTTTACAAGACGATACGCGAGTGCTTGGTCTACCTGACCCATCTGGATGTGGTCGATACGGAGACCATCATGATTGAAAAACTGTCTAAGCAGGTTGATGGAACCGAATGGTCGTGGGTGAACTGCAACACGCTGTGCTGGGCTATCGGTTCCATCTCTGGAGCCATGAACGAGGAAACCGAGAAACGCTTCCTGGTAACCGTAATCAAGGATCTTCTTGGCCTCACAGAGCAGAAACGTGGAAAGGACAACAAAGCCGTGGTGGCGAGTAACATCATGTACATCGTGGGACAATATCCCCGGTTCTTGAAGGCTCACTGGAAGTTCCTGAAGACGGTAGTCAACAAGCTTTTCGAGTTTATGCACGAAACACACGAAGGTGTTCAAGACATGGCTTGCGATACGTTCATCAAGATCGCCAACAAGTGCAGACGGCACTTCGTGGCGCTCCAACCTGGTGAAAGTGAACCTTTCATTGAGGAAATTGTCCGAAACATGAGGAAGATTACCATGGACCTTTCCCCACAACAGATTCATACTTTCTACGAAGCCTGTGGTTACATGATCTCTGCTCAAGGCCAAAAGGGTCTCCAAGACCGCTTGACCGAGAACCTCATGGCGCTCCCCAACACTGCCTGGGATCAGATTATCGCCGAGGCAAACCAAAACCCGGCCATTCTTCAAGATGCTAACACCATCAAGATTGTCGGAAACATCATGAAGACTAATGTTTCAGCTTGCTCCTCGATTGGTACCTACTTTTATTCTCAGATTGGCCGGATCTATCACGACATGTTGAATATGTACCGTGCTGCCAGTCAGCTGATTAATGATGCTGTTGCAAGTGATGGTAAGTAATCCAGTTCATCGTTGATGAACACCCCAATTGTTTTTCATTCCATTTTTGTCTCTAACACCCAAGTAGGAGCCATCGCCCCGAAAACCCCCAAGGTCCGGGGACTTCGAACGATCAAGAAAGAAATCTTAAAGCTCATCGACACCTACGTGGACAAGTCAGATGACCTTGAGATGGTCAATGCCAGCATGGTACCGCCGCTCATGGAAGCCGTGCTGATTGACTATGCCCGGAACGTCCCCGATGCACGAGAGGCCGAGGTCTTGAACGCCATGACTACGATCATCCACAAGCTTCACGTATGTTCCTTCTCCCTAATTGTTCAGCTTGATGACTAGGAATCCCTTTATTTTGATGACCCGGCACATCGTACCTTGCTAACGAGTTAATTAGAATCTGATGGAGGATAAGATCCCAGCCATCATGGACAGTGTTTTCAACTGCACTCTCGAAATGATCAACAAGGACTTCCACGAATACCCTGAGCACCGTGTCGAGTTCTTCAAACTGCTTCAAGCTGTCAACCTGTACTGTTTCCAAGCACTTCTGAAGCTCGATGCTGCGCAGTTCAAGTTTGTTATCGATTCATGCATGTGGGCATCGAAGCATGACAACCGCGAGGTGGAGAACACTGGTCTTACAATGTGCCTGGAGCTGATGAACAACATGGCCGAAACTGACCCGCAAACCTCGAGCATTTTCTTCCGGGAGTTCTATATTGCAATTCTTCAGGACGTCTTCTTTGTCCTCACGGATAGTGACCATAAGGCTGGTAAGTAACGTCCTTTGTCCTGGTTACGAAGCAAGAAACTTACCTACATGATCTTTTTAGGCTTCAAATCGCAGGCCCTGCTTTTGTCACGTATGTTTTACTTTGTGGAATCTGGCAAAATCCAGGAGCCTATTTACTCCCCCGATCAAGCCCCGGCTGGAACTTCAAACAAGGAATTCTTGCAGGAGCACATCGCAAGTCTGCTCAAGAATGCATTCAGTAATCTTCAAGAGTAAGTTCCCTCGGTGTCAATTTTGAAACCATGCAGGCCCGTACTAACTTTTTTTTCCCCAGAGCACAAATCAAGCAGTTTGTTCTTGGATTGTTTGCTTACACCGATGATCTAAACAAATTCAAGACTCACCTTCGTGATTTCTTGATTTCCCTGAAAGAGTTCTCCGATGATAACGCGGAGCTGTATGCGGAAGAACGGGAACAAGCCGTGCGCGATGCCCAGGTCGCCGAGCGCGACCGAGCCATGAAGGTCGGAGGTCTGTTGAAGCCATCGGAGATGGATCAGGAGGATGAGCTATGACTGGACCAAGAACTACGCACCGAATTTGTTGCTGCCGCTACTGGTTCCCCTGGACATGAGCCAGAATCAAGGTTGACCTCCCAGAATGATGGCCTTGATGGCTGGTCCTTCTACGAGCTCTAGACCATGGGGGGCCATGTGTTGCTGCAACATAGGAGGCTTTGCTCTGGAAAATGTGTGTGAATTTATCCTTTTATCTTTTCTTTTTTTTATCCACCCCCCTTGGTTGGCTATCGGGCATGCGAGATAGACCCATTCCCTAGGCGGCGCGGGTTCGAGGTTGGTGCATCACGGCTCTCTACATCGAACGGATTTACAAATTTTATCCTATGTGTAATTTGCCTATTCAAGGCACGAGCTTGTTTGATAGCTTTTTAACGTCAAATGATCAAAAAATACCTTCAATTCAAAGATGTGAAGGGGACAATCCGTAGGTTTAGAGTAATCTGACCGTACTTTCAAGCCTTGGGTCATTTTTCACCTATCATCTAACTACACCATGATTAAAGACATCTTAAAGAGACATCTAAAAGGCCAAGAAAGATAATAGAACTACCAAAAAGACGTCTCAAGGGCATCAGCCAACTAATCTTTATGTAGACTGTTGTACATCTAGATCGGAAGGCGGTGAATCCTTATCAGTTGCATCATCAGAAAAAAAACGGGACTTTGGAGAGTCAGTTGCCTTCAGACTGATTTTATGATTCTTTTCTTTGCTTCTTGGACTTCACCTCACTCTATCCCCTGTCTATTCCCCATCACAATGTCTCGAACACGCCAGCCAACGGGCTCAAATCCACTCCGAACCACAACAGAGTCCTCCCAAGACTCAACAACCCACATTCCAACCCTCAGATTACGCGCAGAGGAAACACCAACCGACACCAGCGAAACAACCTCGTCTTCTCGACGAATCAGATGGAGTGAAGATGTCGTAGATAACGAGGGAATGGGCAAAAAGAGCTCAAAAGGTATGTATCCATTCCATTTTATCTATTATATCTTCTATGTAACCCCAATTCCTCCCCGCAGCCAGTAAACAATCTAACAAAACCATCACCAGTATGCTGCATCTACCACAAAGCCCGACCAGTGGGAGAAAGTAGCTCAGAAGAATCCTCATCAAGTTCATCGGAGAGCGACAGCGAGAGCGAAGACGACCGACGCACCGCGAGAGTCAATCGGACTCGCCACACACACTCACATAACGGAGCGCGGGACGAGCGCGAACACGAACACAAGCACACAGGGAGTTGCGGCGAAGATCACAAATCTAAATCCAAAGCGAAACCGAAGCGCCAGCGCCGGAAGCCGAGTCCGAATGCATATGAGAAGATGCCGAAGTCGTCGAGGAATCAAAATCAAAATCAACTTCATGCGCGGGGTACTTGATCTTGATTTCCCTTTTGGGTGTGGTTTCTGGGTGGCAGGGAAGGCTAGAGAGGGAAGATGGAATTGAGAAATGCAAAATTTGGGGATTTGGTTTAGCGCCTGATGCATCATGCATGGCAATAGGAGTCATCCTGGCTAGGATTGACGGGTCTATGTCTATGCAAGGTGTGTATGACATTTGCACGACGCTGGACACACTCCATTCGGTGGGTGGCATGCAGGAAATCTTTACAGCGACATGGTTAAGGTGTCAGGGGGAAGCATACCAGATCCTGTTACGGCGCGCTAGATGCGTTGTGGTGATTGAATGGTCATTGAGAGCTACTGGTCTACTCGAAACATGTAGATGGACAAGATAATGAAATTTGGATTGAAAAGATCGGGATCGCAGTGAGGGGTATCTGAAACATAACTGCAGCCCGGCCCGGTCTATAATGATTGTACATATGTGAAGCAAAAGCGGATTTCATACCATCATGCTTTTTCTCCTTGCAGCAACGCGCTGACCACGCCTGACATCACCGGCGTCCGTTGTAGAACCGTTTGATCCCGGTCCAAATGAATCTTCATCTTCCGGAGAGTCGACTGGCGATTGAGGTTCAATCTGGTCGATGTCGTATTGTGCCATGTTTGCAGCTGTACTGTGGGGGTTTGACGAATGACGTCGCGTCTGACGCTTCGAATTCAATGGTTTTTGTGAGACATGGGCGGAGATATCTGCGAGACTGTCCTCGATCTCTTTCTTAAGGCCAGAACTTGGGTTTCCCACATCACTGCCGTCCTTCGGGGCCGACGAAACCTTGCGTTTCCTCCGGGAGACCATTGCTAGCAGCTGTTCTGAGCTATCCACGGACGGCAGATCTGAACTCTGCGCCGCAAGAGTGAAATCAGCAGGAAGATGAGGATGGGTGTCACGGGGTTGGGCGCCCTCCCCTGCACCGTCCAAACTATCCCGACCTGCCTGGAAACTGGAGGATCTTCGCGATCCAAGTGCAACGGCGTCGATCATTTCCTTGGTAGGGCGGCGCATCTTGTCCCGTAGGTTAGGCTCTGCATAGCTAACCACAGCACCACGACGTCGGGAAGGCCGAATCGCAGACTCTTCCGTGTTCACTGCATTCGGATGCGGTGACAGTGATGGCTGGTGTAGGGATGGCTCTTCCGGCTGGGGAGGGGCAGGACGACTGGCGCGCTTTTCTTTGTTTGAAGGGGCGACTCTGGACACTCGCGGCTTTTGATTGGCAGTCTTGCCACTGAGTTTCTCGACATCCTTCACTTTCTGTGGCGAGTTGTTATTCTCGTCACCCTTAGTGGACCTCTGCATAAGCTTAGAGTCCTGGTGCGAAGACATGCGGGCCTTCTTGGGAGAGCCTAGATTGGAGTTTGCACTCTCTGTTCCGGTTGTTAGCTACACTCATTGTAGGGGGCAGGATTAAAAGACAGCACCACATACTTGGTTCTAGGACCTTCCGCATAGACAGGACAGGGGTTTTTGATCCTCTTGTCACTTCAACATTTTTGGTGGGGGACTGGTCTCGCTGTGTATCTGCAAATAGGTTCGTTTTCTTTTTCGGGCTATGACTGGGCCGGGTGAATTGGAATTCATCATCGTCGACATCAAGATTGGACGTGAATTGGTCATCGTCTTCGGGTATGTATTTGCGCTTCGTTGAAACCGATGTTGTATTCTGTGTTGTATCGATGGGTGGACTTTGTTGCCGATCTGTTGGCGCGGGGCTAATTTCAGGCGCAATGATCGAACTCGACTTCTTTTTCTTCTTGCGGGTCTCGAGAGTTGCAGGCAGAAATGGCTCGGGTTCTTCGGGTATATCATCGTTGATTTGGCCCCTGAATGTTGATTCTGGCGATGGGCTTGAATGCTCAATGGGTGCATCTCCTTCATCTGGCATAAAGCTGAACTGTGGCGGAGAATCTAGAATGCTGTGGTCGTCGTGGACCAAGCTGTCGAGCTCCTGGGGGCTAGATAAGGTGTTAGCAACTCGAAGTGGCTCAAAACCCTCCAAGATACTTACTCTAAAGTCTGTCGAGGGTAATATTTGTCCTCAATAATAGCAGGAAGCCTTCCATCCTCGCCTTCCATCATGTCTTCTGTCCTAGGTCTCGACTCTGCCGCCTGTTTTGGCCTATCGATCTGGTCGTCGCAAAGCCTGCCCACCTTGCGGGGTAATGAGCCCAAATCTGCCGCCAGGTTGCTCAACTCGGCTAGTTTGGCGTCTAGCTTGGATTTGATGTCATATATTCCATTATGCAGCATTTTCCCTGCTTCCAGTCTTTCGGTTTCCTGTGTAAGGTTGATGACCTGTTTTCGAAGCGACACATTTTCCGAAAGTAGATGTGATACTTCTGACTCTAGGCTGCGAATACGAAGAGATTGCAAGGAATTCACCCTCGCGATCTCACGGTTTTGTCGCACAAATCGTCGCTTCACTAAATAGAAACAAAGAGACCCCCGCGTCAACTACTAGCTCGAACATTTTAATACAGTGGTAGATTGCGCAAACTTACAGGCCTCGATGGACTCGGCAGGAGCCGCATAGTCGTTCAACCGAGCCATGATGTAGGCTCGGAGGAGGGGGGCAGCGACCACTGCGTAATCAGATAGATTGAAAAGCAATCCTGGTGTGCAGGTGGAATAATCTCGAAGTTGATATCTATCGAGTCGATTCCACGGATCACACACCAGGAAATGACTGGGTGTGTGCTGGGGAGGGTGTTGGGTCTTGAGTATGTTGACACAAAAAGAGAGACAGAAGGTAAACAGCGTCAAATGCCAAGCCCTTGTTGATATTTGTCCGCTTTTGGTTTAGCCCGGTTGTTTGGATGACTCAGCTTCCCTCCCCACTGGAGCCCACACCTGAGTTGTCCAACAGGTACAAAACAAGACTTTGAAAGATCGCGTTCTTTGTATCTGCTTCTTCATTTCGCTACAAACTTGCCATGGCATACTCATCCCGACCAACCTCGATGCTTCCAGGGGCTCCTGCCTCATCTATGCGCCAGCCCAGTGGTTCGCAATCGCAGCAATCTTCTGCGCTATCGGCCCGCATTGCAGCCAAAAAGGCGGAGCTAGAGAACCTGCGACAACTACGCGATCTGAGTGGAACATTGGCGATTCAGATGCAAGCTTTGGATAGTAAGATCTCCACGCTGAAAAATGGCACCGAAGGTTTGACCTACCTGTCCCTTGATTTTGATTCGACCTCGCCGGTCGCTAACTGTACCCTCTGTTAATTAGCTGTTGCATACGTGCTTTCCAACTGGGATAATGTCATTAGGGCCATCACCCTCGCGTCGAGTAAGCGCTACTTTTTTCTAACCTGGGAATTCTATAACTGATCTTTATCCTGTAATAGGCAAGGCAGGCGGACTCTGCGAACCCAAATCGGATAGTAAGAATGTGGAGAAACTGCGCAACGACCTGCCATCAACGCTGGTTCGCATTCCAGCGGAGCCACGTGATAAGGCTGGGGAGTGAACCAGTGACATGTCTCTCCCTTCGACTCCGGCTGAAACACCCTGAATGGTCTCGTCTTTTGCGGCCTGAATCATTGGAATTTTTGTAGGCACCCCAGACACCCCATGCATCCCACACGATATTTCTCTCTGGGTTATCTCGCCCATGTGTGTATCGGCCTACCAGAATTGACGAATGCATTTTGAGAATGCACTCGGACCTATCTCCAAGGTTGGCTCCAGTATGGCCAATGAGCGAGAGCGACCCATATCGGAAAGACTATCAAAAGAAGAGTGGAATTCTTTCGAGGATCCAATCATGGGACTTCTAGTCATCTTTCGCAGAAAAGAGCGTGATTCTGAGAATGAACGAGAATGAATTTCTTGCGTGGCCAGCTGATTCCTATGCAGAGTTTGGCCCATGCAATATGGATGGTTATCTCGAAATGGCAGACAAATCAAAAGACGGGGATTAAGGAGATCATTTCTTTTCTTATGTCCCCCTCCGTTCTAGTTTCTTTTGAAACTTCTGCACTACTGCAAAGACAATCATTGGTACAGGAATAGCTGCATTGCAATAATATGACTGGATGTCTAAATGATGATGTGATTGGTGTATGAGATATAGTGTGTAGGTCAGTGTATACACACTATATATATACTCCGTACACTAACTATATATGCAGTATATTACATGGGTCATAGTTCCAAGTTAATAGAATCTAAGTTTGTTTTTTTTCATCATGAGACCAGGGGAAGAGCTGAATTGGCGCTATGATGCCCTGAGGAAAACTCTCTTATTACCAGTTTGAGGTTCCTGCAGATTAGGTGGCGAACAGACTCTTAGGCCTATTTAGGTACATACGTATTGTGGTTAGAAGTTAGTTAAGTATATATATGTACCTGGGTACTTGATTCATAAGTATACTATTAGTTGATTTGCATATATAATATATAGAGTGATAATAATTTCGGTACCTATATATCCAGTATCTCAATACCTCATCTATACCTCGTATATTCTCTCTCTCATTTCTTCTTTTTTTTTTTTTTTTTTAAGCGCCCCAACCACAACAAATGCCAACCTCCCCTCTTTTCTTCTACAAACGTGGACTTCGATTCGACATGCGCGATATTTCCCCGCAATAGCCTTTGGGAGACTTTGTACCTACATATTGATTTTATTGATTTTATTCTTTTTATTCTTTTTATTATTTTATTCCTCTTCTCTTTTTTTTTCTTAAAAGAAACGGAGTACCCTGTTGCCCATTCCATTGCGTGTGGTATGGCATGATCGCTGTGTGACACTTCAACAATGTCAGTATTATGAGGTGATCTTTTATTTTATTTTTTTACTTAACTTCAACTTCACTCCTTGTCTTCTCTTCTATATACAATTATCCTCATATCTCGAAAATCTCTCTCAACTTTATCTTACCTTTCAACCATTACTGTCCAACCTCAATCTCCTTATTACTATCATTACCCTACCTAACCCCAACACTCTTCACTCTTACTCTTTACCATGTCGACTGGATGGTCTTTGGATTTCTGCCTGGTCTGTGACCGTCAGACCCAGGGCGCTCCCTACTGCTCCCAAACATGCCGTCTAGCAGAGCTGGATGACATATCGGATGGAATGTCACGAAGATCGAGTGCATCATCAACACATTGGTCCGAGATCAACCAGGCCCAAGCTCAAGCCGAAACCAATACCCCAGACGCCCGCAATCCCTCACGAATCCTATCCGTCTCCTCATCTCAAACCTCCCTCTCTTCACTGAAGAGCAACACATCCAATTCCAATGTGGCCGATCGGCTCCAGGATGAATTGCGTGATTATGCGTCTTCTTTCGACCAAGTCCGCGACCTGAAACGGCGCATGACTGCCACATAATTTCAATTCGAACTCGAAACTCGAAAAACTGGTTCTCGAACCCCCTCCCCTCCATCCCCACATCTGGATGAGGCCCAGGGTACCCAAATGCATGCAGCCCCTCATGCTGCTTTCTGATCATTTTGCATATACTGGGAAATAAGGCGTCATTGTTGGAAAAGATAAACCATTTTCTATTTTCTGTTTTTTTTTTTTTTTTTTTTTTTTTTTCCCTTTCTGTTTTTCCCCTGCCCTGCTTGGTCTTTCTCACGAACCTATACCCCCACGACTGTTATGTTTTTATATCATGTGATCATCGGAGTTGAATCCAGGCCCAAGTGCCTCGTCTAATTATGTATCTAACCAACCAGACTGCCTATAACCAATATTGGAAATTTGGATGATATATATATAGCCTATATTATATATACTATATATTTTAAAAACATGAAATACCTCAATATTCTCAGTAGAATCAAGCCCAAGCCTCGATTTGGGTACTATTAAGTGTGTCATGTCAATTTCCCACGTCAGTCCAAGGTGGGTACCCTGGGGAATGTGTCCGATGTTAACCATCCAACCGGGGAATGCTAGAATGTATTAACTAGAACTCCCGACCCATCGACAGCAAAGCCGTATGGAACCAGCAATCCAAGATGCAAGCGCAAGCAGAAGCAGCCCTAGCCCAAGTCCACAAGATACCCCTCGAACATGGCACGACCGGATTTGGCTCTATGCAGAAGCAAGTCTCCTCCCGCCCAACTTGATACCAAAGACCAAGTGTGGACGTCATTCACTGGGCAAGAACCTTCGCCAGAGCCTTTTCATTCTTCGGCACGAATCGGACCTTATATTTTTGAGGAATGGCCACCAAACTCGTCGGATCCGAGTTACCCCGGATAGGGTGACAGTCTGTTTTGTCATGGGGTTCAAGGCGGAAGCTGTTGAGAGTGCGGAGGAAGACGAGATAGAGCTCACGATTGGCTAGCAGCGAGCCGGCGCACATTCGGTAGCCCATGCCGTACGTAAAGAGAGGTGCATCGGGCTGCTCGAGCCAGCGCTCCGGACGGAACTCATCCGGGTCAGTCCACACCTCGGGGTCTATGAAGCGGGTTAGATAGATGTGTTTGGGTGGATTCGATTGGCATGGTAGATATCAGATTTTGTTTTGACTTACCCATGTTGCATGCCCAGGCATTCAAAAAGAACACTGTACCCTTGGGAATGGTGATTCCCTTATAGGTGATATCCTTGATCGAGGTGCGAGGAAGCGCTAATCGCAGCACAGTGAAGAATCTAGGGTATTGGGGTTAGTTCGAAAGTCGTTTCATGGCTCCTTGACATGAAACCAAAACATACCGGAGACATTCTTTGACCAGAGCTGCAATATACGCACACTTCTGATCATCATCAGAAGAGCACATGGGCTCATCCTGGCCGTACATCTCCTGGATTGCCTTGGCGGCCCGATTCTGGATATCAGGACGCTGGGCCAGCAAGCCCAGACTCCACGCAACCAAAGTGGTGACAGTATCAAGACCACCCGAAAGCATAGTCAGACTAATGGAAGTCAACTCCTCCTTATTCAGCTTAGCCTCCTTATCCATGATAACATTAGCCTGGATACAAGGCTTATGAGTCCCCTTCGACATGCGATCATCCAAGTCACTATTAAGCGCACCGAGATACTTATCGCGACGGATTCTCATCTCAGCAGCTTTCTTCGAGTTAGAGCTAAACGGGTTCAGCCGCAGAAGAGGGATATAATCCTGCAGGTTTCCGGTGGTGCTTCGGAACCGACTGATCTCTTCTTCCACCTCGGTGATCTCATCGAACAAGTCCTCTTCCTGTGAGGCAATACGCACGCCCCAGTTCAGAGTCAACGCCAAGCTCAGGCTCAGACGTTGAATCATGGGCATGGGGTCGACGGGTGTCTTTCCATGGTTTCCATATCTGTGCAGCTCTTCCACAAAGGCCTTCGACTCGGTGTCCAGGTGTGACACGTATGTGTCGACAGAGGGGCGGTTGAGAGCCGATGCCGCGCCCTTTCTGCGTCTCTTCAGGGAATCACTATAGGGTGAGGTACCGATTGTTGTTCCAGCCGTGTTGGAAACAATCTAAGCGAGTTGATCATCAGTTTCAATGCGAAAAAGAAAAAAAGCCAAAAGCCAGTACATGGCACACCGACAACGAACCTTATGGAAAGTATAAGTCTCAGGCCTGGAACTCAAAGCCTGGGCATTCTGACTGAAAAGCACCTTTGCCGAAGCAGCAGAGTTGACAACGACGACGGGGATATTCCCGAGCTGGATCTGATAAACGGCTCCATACTGTTTGGACCACAGGCGATACTTTTCCGCAGCATCTGTGCGAATCTGCGCCAAGTTTCCAATCAAGGGCAAACCACACGGACCCTTCATACCCTTGACACGGGCGGAATCACGAACGAACTCATTCAGAATGACATAGAGAATAGGGACGAGGAGGGCTGCGGCGGCTAGCGAGTGGTAGGGATACTCGATCACACTGTTTTGTAGCGAAGCCAGGACAGCGGCGATGGCCATGGTGCTGGATAGTTATGTGATAGACTGTGTGTCTTTGGAAGAACTATACAAACATAGTCATGAATATATCATGAAAAATGTAAACCTATCAGGACTGGGGGATATATAAGTAGATTAGAAGTATCGTAACCTAAGGTATCAGTGTTTTTCCACTGAATGGAACATTTCCGTGTTCTCTTCTTCCGATGTCCTTTTTTTTTACCCCACACTACCCCAGGTCTTGCCAGGTCTTGTCCAGCTCTCTGCAGACATACGGTGCTCAACCGAGGGTGTTCCGCATTGCGGAATTCTTCCGCTTGGCAGGTCCGAGGGGGGTATGATTTGTAGTTGCATTGGTCTTATATACCCTGTGTATATATATATATATATATATATATATATTTAATTAGTTATATAAAACTATATCATAGTCAGTATTAGTTAAGTTGTTTTCATGTTGTTTGGATGAATTTGAACATCATTTCTGTGGTGTTATATTGTGTTTTTACAAGAGGTTCACTTTGCCCTCCTGTGATATTTTGGTTTTGGACATATTTTAGATATCACTCTCGAATTCTTCTTTCACATTAGTATTTAAGGCGTGAGTTTGGGTTGGACTTGATGTAAATGTCTTCAGGGATATATATATATACCCCTATTCATTGAGTGGACTTTGGATACTCAGACCAACCACAGGGCATATTTATGCTAGCGTTTTCTTTCTTTCTTTCTTTTTTTTTTCAAGGGGTATTTCTCTCTGAAGTATTCACCAGAAGACCTTTTAGTTTTTGAATAGTACTTGTATAGTTGGTTATAGTATGATATGATCGAGAACCTTGGAACACGCTATTGCCGAATAAGGGGCTAGTGAAGATCATATCCACTCGCGCAAGGACTTCTTTTTTTAAGACCTTCTAGAAAGAAGAGCCTCATTCGACTAAATTTCCCATCCAACATATGTATTTCATAACCGGATGAAGATTTCATGGTCTGGGCTAACGTCAGATAAGAGATGATGACATTCTTGAGCAAAACCGGAATCCAAAGGGATTGACATAGTGGGGCCAAAAGGATAAAGGTATTAAGGATAAGAGATATTGTGCACAGGGGGAGAATTGAACAATTCCAGCAAGTGGAGTAAATCCAAACAAGGTGTTCATAACGGGGGGGCCCCTGGGCTCCGTGGGCCGGGACGGGGCGATATGGTAGTCCGTGAGTGGTCAATGATCATGGAGCTGGCAGTCAGGTGGCCACGAAGAGATTGATCGAGTCCAGACCCTTTGAGGTAGATCTGCACTGCCGGAGATAAAAACGCGTCGGACATGGACTAGCTAAACGGACGCAGATTCGGCTTCCCGACAATTGTTTGACATTGTTTATATCTGAATACATTGGTAATCTTTGGATACCCAATGATTTACCCCCCTTGGGTCTTGGGTCTTGGGAGAGGAAGTTGGAAGCTGGGAGCTGGAAGTTGGAAGTTGGAAGTTGGAAGTCTAGATGGAATTCCAAGGAAATTTCTTCGCGTCATGTGTCGGAGTAGAAAGCCGGCTGGAGTTCCCACTATATTGTATAGTGAGCCAATGTGAGAAATAAGAAAAAACAAGAGGCGCACACATTATGGGACGTAGACCATCTCCACTGCGGTTGCTCCAATGGTGAGCTGCCGTGTTCCCATGACGCAGAGCTCTGATTGTACTCGTGACACCCCTGTATTCATAGTGGAAGGTGTAGCGATCAAGTATCTGATACTGTGTACCTGGAAGATTATCGCAAATCTTGCCTTTCATAGATTTTGGTGTTGCCAAGTTGATTGGAAAAATAAAAATAAAAAAGAGGAAAAGGGAAAAGGGTAAATTCCCATAGCTATCTTTTGGTCTTCCCGCCTCCTCTCGCCTCCAAGTATCCTTCTCTTCTCAACTTCTCTCTCTCTCTCTCTCTCTCTCTCTCCAAACTCCCTCTCCTCTCCTCTCTTCTTATTCTTTTCTCCTCCAATCGTCCTATCCTCATTCTAGGCACATATTCTTATTAAGAATCCCGGCATATTCGAACATTTAAACCACATTACATCACCGTACATTCGGAACACCGCAGATAATGGCCGCTCGGCACTCGCGCAAGCTCTTGAGACCTCTCCTTTACACATCCGCGGCTGCCGCCGCAGGAGCAGGTGTTCTCTACATTTCTTACCGTCCGCGAAATATTCCGGGCCTCGAAGCCCCCGCCGTTCCCCCGCCAGGTTACCGTGAAGGTAAACTGGTCCCGCCCAGTTCCCCCTCAATCAAGTCTCGCCTCGAGCAGATTCAGGACCTCAAGCGCAGTAACGACGAGGAGGAATATGATCTGCTCATCATCGGTGGTGGAGCCACTGGAGCTGGTATCGCACTAGATGCCGCCACTCGAGGCCTGAAGGTCGCGGTGGTCGAGAGAGACGATTTCAGTTCCGGTACCAGTAGTAAGAGTACCAAGCTGGTACACGGTGGTGTCCGTTACCTGGAAAAGGCCGTTTGGGAGTTGGACTACAACCAGTGAGTTTTTCCGGCAGACTTTTATTTTTTGGGAGGTCAAAATGACCGCATACCAGCGCATCCTGGCTAACAAATCGCATCGCAGATATGCGCTAGTCAAGGAGGCTCTCAGAGAGCGCAAGTACTTCCTGAACACAGCCCCCCACCTGTCATCATGGCTGCCAATTATGGTGCCTGTTCAGAAATGGTGGCAGGCTCCCTATTTCTGGGCCGGTACCAAGGCCTATGACTTCTTGGCTGGTTCCGAGGGCATTGAGACCTCGTACTTCCTAACCAAGAGTAAGGCCATTGACGCTTTCCCTATGTTGAAGCGTGACAACATCATCGGAGCAATGGTGTACTATGGTGAGTTATGAAACCGCACTCTGAGATATTATTTTGGCTAATTCCCGACAAAGATGGTGCACACAACGACTCCCGCATGAACGTCTCCCTCGCCATGACCGCTGCGCTCTACGGTACCACCGTAGTGAACCACTTGGAGGTCACCGGTCTGAACAAGGATGCATCCGGCAAGCTGTGCGGTGCGCGCGCCAAGGACATCGTCACAGAGAAGGATGGCCAAGTCGCCAAGGAGTTCAACATTCGCGCCAAGGGTATCATCAACGCCACTGGTCCCTTCTCGGATTCTATCCGCAAGATGGATGAGCCTAATGTCAAGGAGATTGTGGCCCCTAGTGCTGGTGTTCACATCATCCTGCCTGGTTACTTCAGTCCCTCAAACATGGGTCTGATTGACCCTTCTACCTCGGATGGACGTGTGATCTTCTTCCTACCGTGGCAGGGTAACACCATCGCTGGTACCACCGATCAGCCCTGTGAGATTGAGGCCCAGCCTCAGCCCACTGAGAAGGACATCAACTGGATTCTTTCGGAGATTCGTGGCTACATCGCCCCCGATATCACCGTGGACCGAAGCGATGTCCTTGCTGCCTGGTCTGGTATCCGTCCCTTGGTGCGCGATCCCAAGGTGAAGAACTCCGAGGCTCTCGTCCGCAACCACTTGGTGACTGTCTCTCAGTCTGGACTGTTGACTTGCGCTGGTGGTAAGTGGACTACTTACCGCCAGATGGCCGAAGAGGCTGTGGATGAGGCGGTTGACGTGTTCAAGCTCAAGCCCCGCCAGCTCACCAGTCTTCCCGACATCAGTGGTGTCGGCGGCAGTGGTCTGGTTGCTGACGGTGCCGTTCTCGACGGTACCTGCCAGACCCACCAGGTGCGCCTCATCGGTGCCCATGGTTTCTCCAAGACCCTCTTCATCAACCTTATCCAGCATTTCGGTCTCGAGACTGATGTGGCCAAGCACCTCACTGAGTCGTACGGTGACCGCTCGTGGCAGGTCGCTGCCTTGTCTTCCCCTACTAGCGAACGTTTCCCCGTGCGCGGCCGCCGCATCTCCCCCATGTACCCCTTCATCGATGGTGAAGTTCGCTACGCCGTCCGTCACGAGTATGCCCAGACTGCTGTCGATGTGATTGCCCGTCGCACCCGTCTTGCTTTCCTGAACGCCGAGGCCGCTCTCGAGTCCCTCCCCACCGTGATTGACATGATGGGCGAGGAGTTGAAGTGGACCACTGCCCGCAAGGATCTCGAGTGGAAGGATTCCTTGACTTATCTTTCGTCCATGGGTCTGCCTAAGAGCTTCATGGGCCTTTCGCGTCATGATGTCCGCAATGGCAGTGTTAAGCAAGTCGATGATGTCGAGCGTGCGACTTTCTCCCGTAATGGTATGTTTTTGAAACTTCTAAACAATTCGAACCCCAGTGCTGACCATCCTAGAACCTCCTGCGGACATGATTGAGAGCGACGTGCGTGCTGCGATTCCACCTCCTCCGGCAACACCCTCGCTCAATTAGATGACGTGTGGTATATGTAGATCGGGCTTGTATAAATAGAAGCGTTCCTTTTTTCTCTCTCTTTTTTTGTTTTGTTCCAATATTGAATTCCTGTCATTAATACTTAAAACAGGGACTGGAGGGAACAAAAGACCCTTAAGATCCTCTGAAATGACTTCTTTCCAAAAAAAAAAGAAAAGACACCCATTCACATTTGGAAAGTGCCACCCTGAACTTCCTAGTAGTCCCAATCCCTTCAATCTCTCTAATTCCTTCATTTCAATTCCTTTGCATTTTGTCAACCCTCACACATCATGAAGCCCAATCAGTCTGATGTTGATCTTCAATCGCTGAGATCTGTGAAGCACAAGTCGGATTCGGATAAAGAGTCCGTTTTACCAAAACCAGAGTCGCAGGAACAGGATCCCTTTGGAGATGAAAGCCAAGCTGGCGTAAAGTACAAGACCATGGCGTGGTGGTGAGTGTCTCTTTCTTTCCACGACTAAGGCAAAGCTGATCCTTTTTAACAGGCAAGCCGGCATGAGTAAGTCTATGTCTTGCATATTGCCCAGTCTTCTCTAACAGATCCGGTCAGTCATGATCGCAGAAACCATCTCGCTTGGTATTCTCGCGCTGCCCAAAGCGCTAGCGGTACTAGGTCTTGTTCCGTACAATCTCCTCCCCGTTGACTGCAAAGGCTGAGCTAACCTGTTTATTCAGCGGCCTCCTAGCCATCTTTGGGGTTGGGACAATCTCGACGTATACTGCATATACCATTGGGCAATTCAAATGCCGCCATGTCCAAGTACACAGTATGGCTGATGCCGGTGATATTCTGATAGGAAGGATCGGACGGACTACACTGGACGTGGCCCAGCTCATCTTTTTGTAATGGTGATGGGGAGCCATATTCTCACCTTTTCGATCATGATGAACGTCCTTACTGAACATTCCTCTTGCACCATCATCTTTTCGGTTGTCGGTTTACTCGCCTCGTTCCTGTTGACTCTCCCACGGCGACTGGAGAGACTTTCTCATATCTCCTCCGTGAGTTTTGTGAGTATTGTCGGAGCGGTTCTCACTGGTATGATCGGGGTCACCCTTGTCAAACAGGGACCTGTGCATGTTCCGGCCTTTTCTCCTTCGCCCAAAGTGCATGATGCGTGTCTTGCTATTGCAAATATCATCTTTGCGTACGCTGGACATGTTGCATTCTTTACCCTTTTCTCCGAGCTCAAGGAGCTCCAGGATTTCCCGAAGGCCCTGGCACTTTTGCAGATGAGTGAAATGGTCTTATATACCGTGGCTGCTATTGTGATATACGCCTATGTTGGGCCGACTGTCAACTCACCTGCTCTCAATTCTGCAGGGCAATTATTTCGCAAGATTTCCTATGCAATCGCGATCCCCACGGTATGTACCTGTTCCCCTGTGGACTTCCCTGGATATGAGCTAATGACTGGATAGATTGTGATCGGGGGTGTGGTGAACGCGCATGTTGCCGTCAAGTTCATTTACGTCCGTGTCTTCCGGGGAACCAATTCGATGCATAGCCAGTCACTCATGGCGCGGTTGGTGTGGGCTGCGATATGTGCGGTGCTTTGGATCTTGTCGTGGATCATTGCCCAGGGAATACCGATTTTCAACGATGTACTAGGGCTTGCGGTGTGTATTGCGGATCCCGACCCTGACCTTGACCCTGACCCTGATCCCAACCTGAAACGAGTACTGATCATTCATACTAGAGTTCGTTATTTGCTAGTTGGTTTTCATTTGGTCTACCTGGGCTATTTTGGCTCTATTTGAACCGGAGTTGTTGGTTCCTGACCAGGCGACAGAGGGTGTTGTTTTGCTTCAATATCTTTCTGGTGTTTCTTGGATTTCTCATTGTGAGTTACGTTCCACTGTGATTCGCTGGTGCAAATTTAACTTACATCACCAGTGCATTGTCGGGTTATATTCGTCCATTCGGTCGATCTTTCACAACCTTCGCGAGAGTGTTGGGGGAGGCAGCTTCTCATGTGCTGACAACTCTCTCTACTGAGGCAGTCTCAGATAAACAAAAGTATTGATTCGGGGAGGGGAAATGGGCAGTTAAAATTGGGTAACAGTATTAGCGTGGTTGCAAGTACGAGGATACGAGGAACATAAGACGCAGAGAACCATCCAGCTGCATTTTATATGAATAAATTGAGTTCTCCTGCACCATTTCACCAATGTAGGCGACATGCAAGTAGCGGAGACTCTGCGGCTGCTACTCTTTGGCCGAGTGGATGATATCACAAGGGATTATCACTGTGACGATCTGCAGAGTTTTCTGCTGACTGACTCCGCCTTTGGACGAGTCAGTTGGTTCTGCCGTGTGTTTCCGCCTTGCAGAGATTTCTGCTGATTGTTTCCGCCTTCGACCCAGGACCCACCCTATAATGTCTTTTGGTCCTGTTGATAGATTCTTTTCTTCTCTTTTCTTTTTCCTCCCTGTACTTAATGTTCTAGTTAAATGCACTCTTTTTATTAAAGAACTGGCTGGTAACATAACATTAAGTACTATTTCAATTTTCAATAAGCAGAAGACCGTACAGATCCCTATTGTGGTGGATCTCGGTCAAAGCTTACCCACTCTCCGTTCCTTGGTATCGTATAGCTAAGACCGATCCTCCGAACCGAACCGAATCCTATCTAACTAGTTATAATGGTCGAGACCCGCCGGAACCCGACGAACCGTAGTAAGTAGCCGCTCGCTACTATACCGGAAGAAGAAGAGATCGACCGGGTAGTCGATATATCCGAACCCCGAACCCTATATACCGAAATGCCGAGACTAGTTGATACTAGTAAGACGAATGATAATAATAACGCTAGAGAGGGATCGTCCTCTATACGCGAATAACTTCAGAAGACTCCTTTAAAGGAGAGATTCTAGGAACTTACTCGCTAGTACCGACGACTAGAGTAAGAGAATCAGGATTTAAGAGAGGAGGTCGTAATACTCCTTAGTAAGATTAACGATCTAATAACTAAGTGTGATAAGACAATTACTTATCGTGATATTGCGATCCGTAAGCGGGGAGACTTAGCGTTCCGTCTCCTTACTACTTAGAATCCTAATATAGCTAATACTAGCGTACCGATTGTAGAGGCTAACGTTACCCGAAAGACGACTAAGATACCTAATATACTAATACTTAATAACGGGAAAGAAGTAAGATTCGAAATATAAGAGATAGTAATCCGATAGAAACTTAAAGCTAACGTAGACTATTACCCTCTCCCTATCTATCGGAGACTCTATATATAAAGCCGATATAAAGGCAAAGCCTAGCTATATATTGCTCCCTAAATAAGCGCTAACGCTAGTATTCCTTACGAAGATATAGAGGATATTATTACTTACTTAAAGACTATCTTTATAAACCCGAATCGACGTGCCGAAGCGTATACTATATACTACCGACTAAAGATAAAGCCTAGGGATAACTTTACCGATTTCCTTACGGAGTTTATATAGCTTATAGAAGAAGCTACCGTCGTAATTAAGAATCGGAAACGAGATCTATATTCTAAACTCCTATACCTACTTTAAACCTAGGTTATATAGGCTATTAACTAAGAAATAATCTCGTTCGATACGTTCGTATAGAGTTGCTAGAGTATATTATATAAAATCAGTTTATAATAGGAAGCTAAGTCGACTAATCCCCGTTCCTATATAAACCTATCCTTAGGAAGCGGTATAGATACCGCTATAACTAGTTCGAATTCTACTCCCTATATAAAGCGAGAAGGTAGTACTAACTTTATTAGTCTCTCCGTGTCTAAGCGGGAGACCTTAATAAAAGAAGGTCGTTATTTTAATTATAAGGAACGAGGATATATAACCCGTGATTATCTAAAGAAGAAGTTAAACTAGCCTACTACTATAGTTACTATGACTATTACTAACCCTCGGATTTAGGAGATTATAGAGCTCGAAGTAAGCGATAAAGAGAATCCGGGAAAAGCCTTTACCTAGGATAAGTCTCCCTCCTAAGTAGAAAGAAAGTTTTACTATTTACGCTAGACTTATAGAAGTTAGTTAGTAGTCTAAGAGATAGCTTAGTTTTTAATATATAACTAATATATAATAGCTATTCTTTTTCTATTTTAGTACTAGGTGATATTAGAGTAGACGGATATATCTTTATTAATACGATAATGATTATACTACTCGGTAAGCGATTTAGGATTAAGGTAGAGAGGCTTAGTTATGAATGTCTAGTACGCGGATTTAACGGTAAGCTAGCTAAACTAATACGATATACCGCTATTCTTACGGTTTACGTAGATAGCCAAGTATAGCGATAGGTCCTAATGTTAATTACGGATCTTAGACGATATAATATAATCCTCGGACGGATATAGTTTACCGAGTATAATATTCTCCTAGATTACCGGCGGTACCGAATGATTTAGCCGGATTAAAGAAGTCTCTCTAACGAGGTTATAAGTAAGATTGCTATTCTCTTTTTAACCGAAATCTTAAAGAAGCTATCGAAGATAGACCCTACCTATTAAGCTAATATAGAACGACGCGATCGCCTTTTCGGATAATAAGATTAGTAAGATTAGTAACTCTGACGTACCTAAGAGCGTTAATACGGATACTAGTAGGTTAAAGAGAAACGAAAGATAATTCGAAATTTAGAGGATGAAATAAAAGTTCTAAAGCCCCGGATATTAACGAAGGAAGAGTAGTCCCCGATTAGTATTAATATCTACGCGATCGGAGGCGCTAGATTTAATCGACTTTACGTAAGAAGTAAGGTTAATAAAGAAACCGAAACCTTTATTACTTCCCTCTATAAAATCGACTATATTATCGATATTAAAAGTGCCTAAATATAGGATCCTAAAATTAATAAGATACTCCGGACTCTACTAAAGGAGTACTACGACCTCGTAGAAGTTTTCTTAAAGAAGAGATCGGATAAATTGCTACCTTATAGACCTAGAGTTGATTACGATATTATACTTAAAGCCGAAGTATAACCTAGGTATTATCCTCTCTATAAGCTATCTCTTTATAAACTAAAGGAAGTAAGAGAGTATATTATAAAGAATCTTAAGAAAGGGTTTATCGTTCCGAGCTTAGTACTATATACTTCTCTAATCTTAATAGCGAAGAAACCTAGAGGTAGTCTTCGTTTCTATATCGACTTCCGAAGATTGAATACTATTACGAAAAAGGATTGTTACCTATTACTATTAATCGACGAAGTCTTATAACGAACTAGTAAAGCGAAGTTCTTTATAAAGCTTAATATCTAATAAGGTTTCTACCGAATTCGTTTGATACCGAGAGCAGAAGAGCTTACGACTTTCCGTACGCGGTATAGATTATTTAAATATAAAGTCATACTATTCGGATTAATAAACGGACCTACTATATTCTAACGGTATATAAACAACGTATTATAGGAGTATCTAGATAAGTATACTATAGTCTTTATAGATAATATCTTAATCTATAGTAAGACCCTTAAAGAGTACTAGCAATAAGTAAGGGAGGTACTTTAACGTCTATAGAAAGTAGGTCTCTAGGTAGTATTACCGAAGTACGAATTCTCTATATAAAAGACAAAGTTCCTTAGTTTTATTATAAGTACGGACGGTATTATAGTTAACCTAGGAAAGATTAGTATTATTTAGTTATAGTAAGCCCTAACGACCGTAAAAGGGGTTTAGTTATTTTTAGGATTTTATAATTTCTACTAATGTTTTATTTAAGGATATAGTACTATCTTAAAACCTTTATATCGACTTACTCGATAAGACGTTTCTTATAAATAGACCGAACAATATAAGGCCGCCTTCTTATTATTAAAGAAGAAGTTAATAACTACGCCGGTTCTCTATTATTACGACCTAGTTCGACGGATAAGAGTCGAGACCGATGCTTCCGACGGGGTACTCGGAGTAGTTCTCTCTTAGTATTACGAGAACGATAACTTCTAGTATCTAGTGGCTTTCTTCTTAAAGAGTATATAATCCGCGGAGTTGAATTACGAGATATAGGATAAAGAACTCTTAGTAATTATTCGTATACTATAGGAATAGCGACCTAAACTTAAAGGTTTAGTACGAAAGGATCGCTTCGAGATCTTAATAGACTATTAGTCTCTTAAATACTTTATAATAATAAGATAGATAAACTAACGATAAGCGAGATAGAGCGAGTTCCTATCTTAGTTCTATTTTGTGATTAAGTATCGCCCGGGAAAGAAGAATATCGTAGCTAACGTTTTATCGCGAAAAGACTTACCCTATACCGATAATAGTAGACAGATAATACTTCTACTAAGGAGTTATTTAAAAGAAGGTATCTATCTAGTCGGTTTGAACCTAATCGACGTAGAGTATATAATAGATATTATCGGGCGAGTAAAGTAAGCTAACCGAGAAAGTACTAAGCTAGCGGATTTCTAACGGATAGCTAGGGAAGGTAGTAACTAGAAGTAGACTATCGAAGAAGGTTTGCTCTTATTCGAAGGACGACTTAAGGTTCTAGACGAAGGAGATTTACGTATAAGACTTCTTAATAATATATATCGATAACTATTGACCGTATATCCTAGAATCGAAAAACTAAAGAAGCTTATCTCGTTAAGATATTATTAGCTAGGATAGGCTAACGACGTAAAGCGATACGTAGAAAACTACTTAGTTTGTAAACGAATAAAAGCTTAGCGAGATTGTATACCTAGATTGCTATATCCTTTACCTATTCCTAAGAGACTCTAGTAGTATATTTCGATAGATTTCCGCTTATTCCTAAAGGATCGTTATAGTTACGACGCTGTCTTTGTGGTTGTTAACCGACTAAGTAAGAGACTAATTTCTATTTTTTATTATAAGGATACTAATACTAAGTAGATAGCTAGATTATTTATTAATAACGTGATTCGGACTATAGGTATTCCGGAGACTATTATATCTAACCGAGGCGGATAGTTTGTTTTAGAATTCTAGACCGAGTTCTACTGGATACTTAGAATTAAAAGGAAGTTATTAACTACCTACTACCCTTAGACCGACGGATAGAGCGAGATCGTAAATTAGTATATAGCCTAGAGGTTACGACTATATATTAAATAGAATTAAGACAACTAGTTAGAGATTCTACTAATAGTAGATTTCGTAGTATCAATCCTTCCGTAAGATACTACGAAGTAGTTACTATTCTTTATCGAAAGGGGTTACGAACCGGCTATATCCTTTAACTAGAAGGACCGAAGTAATCTAACGGATAACGAACGGGACGTAGTTAATATATTATCGTAACTTTAAGATATCTAGACGAAGACGAGAGATTAGATTACAAAGTCCTAGTAGCAGATGATTTAATAGGCGAATAAGCACCGGAGAGAAGAGGATTTCGACGTCGGTAATTAGGTTTTCGTTATAACGAAGGATTAGTAGCTAGACCGCCCGAATCGGAAGCTTTCTTACCTAGCTAGTAGACCCTATAGGATTATCGAGAAGATCGGAAACGCCTATAAGCTCGATCTTCCGGAATCTATTAAAGTTTATCTAGTATTTAATCCTAATAAGCTTCGAAGAGCGTTATTATTAGAACTATTACGCGGATAGCATCTAGACCTACTACCGCTAATTAGGATCTCTAAGGAAGATGAATAGGAAGTAGATAAGGTCATCGATTCACGCCTTTATTACCGGAAGTTGTAGTATCGAGTTTAATAGCTCGGCTATAATCTCGACCTACAGTAGTATCCTATAGGAAATTTCAAGTATATACCTCAGAAGATTTAGCACTTCCATAACGATTACCCTCTAAAGCCCGGACCCCCGATACGCCTACAAGCCTGGTTGGATGCGGCTAAGGACGAAGTCTTCCTTGAAGATTATAGGGATGACGACAAGCCGGCATTTAGGGGCTAAATGCATTCTTAGTCGGGGGTTATATGACGATCTATAGAGTTTTCTGCTGACTGACTCCGCCTTTGGACGAGTCAGTTGGTTCTGCCGTGTGTTTCCGCCTTGTAGAGATTTCTACTGATTGTTTCCGCCTTCGACCCAGGACCCACCCCACAATGTCTTTTGGTCCTATTGATAGATTCTTTTCTTCTCTTTTCTTTTTCCTCCCTATACTTAATGTTCTAGTTAAATGCACTCTTTTTGTTAAAGAACTGGCTGGTAACAATCACAAGGGATCCTTGTCCTCCCGGAGCAAAAGTGCAGTTTCAGGGATATCAGGTAAGACAAATGACACACCTTTTTGGACAGAGGTGATTGGTGCGGAGAAAGAATAAGATTAGACTTCACTCATCCAATTGTCCTTTTAGGAGGATCTAGTCATACTATATCCTGACGTTAGGTAAGATAGAACAACCGTACCTATGTAGGTATGTCGGTAGTAGTGAGGTTCGTTCTTATATTACCTCGGGAGATGGTATCACGTGACCACCCAGAAATGCCGTTAATATACCACTGTTATATCTACATCTAATCAATATACTCGATTTAGACCTTTTGAGGCTAATTCAATCGAATCCGGAGATTAAAAAATGAAAAAGAAAGTGAAAAGTTGACTAAAATAGGGGAAATTGACCAACATAATGTATGTGGATGCTACATAGTTAATAACATTTGAAGACACTAACCAGTACGTGGCTTATACAATGTACGCACTAAGGAATGACTCGCAGGATAACGGGTGGTAGTGGTCTCGGGGAATTGGCTGCAGCTAGTAAGGTCACATACCCGTTGGTAACACTATCTCGGACTAAATTAATATACGAATATATAGTTTCTAAGGTTTGTAGGAATATAAAGAAAAGAAATAAAAAAAAAGAAAGCAAAACAAAATCAAACCACATAATTAAATCAAAAGTCTAAGAAGCGGGGATATATAGCAAACCCCGTAGTCAACAGAAATATACAACATACAACATACAACACACAACATAGTTAACATAGTTAGTCCTCCGTACTCCGTACAACGAAAATTATACTGATGTAGAATATCTACCTTCTGATAAATGATTCATATTAAATTATATTCCAGTTCTCCCATATATTGGGTTCCCCTCTTTTTTTATTTTTGCGTAGAAGCCCGACGCATGTATTGTGTCCCAATCAAGACAGGGATCAAGACCAACAACCCACACATATTCCCTGTCCACCAAAAAGGCAAAAAAAGGGCGAGGAAAAAAAAAAAAAAAAAAAAAGGCGGGAACGGACAAACAGCAAGGCATTCATGCATGCTATCCTATCACCACACCATTTCATTTCCTCTACAACCGGGGGAGAAAGGGTGTGTGACCAGCGTAACCCGGACCCGGACTGTATATTCCAAGTCACTTGGGACTCGGCTCGCTCCAATCTCCGTGATGCCGATGCCCCTCCAAAGCAAATGCAAATCCCGAGTCGTTCTTTTGCCTTTGCAAGGAAGGACGTAGAACAACCGTGTTGATCTTCGTGCAGATTTCACATGGGAAATGAAGCGGTGTATCCCGGGATCTGATTCTGATTCTGATTCTGATTCTGATTCTGGTTTTGGTTTTGGTTCTAGTCTCTGTTCCAAAGCTGGAACGGTGCCATGTGCCATGTGCCATGGGATACCAGTACCAAGTATCATGCAAGTAGCATGGGATAGATGATATCAATTGGCGCCCGCGATTTGCAGGAAATTGGACAAGTTCCTTCATTCTCACCCAGACTGGGGAGTATATGACCAAAGTTCCATAGACACGTGGAACCGGGGGAGGGAAAAAAAAAAAAAAAAATGGCCCCTCTCTCGGCTCGAGCAAACGTGCACCGTGTACCGTGTACCGATGAAACGGGGAAATCCAAAAAAAAAAACGTAGCTAGTTTGTGACGCCGCCGCAATTCGTGGCACCTTGATAATTGTTCCAGAAACGGGCCACTGCTCTCTGGGCGACGGGTGAGCCACGGTAGCGTGTTGTGAGGAAGTAATTAAAGAGGGCGAACTCGTCTGGGGTGAGCACGTAGGTATCTGGTTGGGCCTGAATGCGATTCCAGAGTTCGGTAATGGCTGACTCTAGGACGGCGGCGGATTGGGAATTCACTGGTCCATCTTCGCATTCCCGGGCGTGTTCTAGGGCCTGTCGGATCTCTGGCCAGGTTCTAGATAGAGGTAGGTTGGACATATCGTTGGAGAGGGTGTTTGGGTGATTAGGTGGTCAGATAGGGAGGGGTGCTGTGTTTGGAAGGTGTTGAGGGAAGTTTTTTTTTTTCAAGATGGGGGTTTTTGGAGAGGGGGAAACTTGGGAAGAAATGGGAAGATGTGCGTCGTGAAGGGCTTGACCGAAGCGAAAAGGGTTTCAGGCCAAGTAGAATGCGGAAGAGATGAGACTGTGCATAAGTCCAAAACAAGAAAATCCGAATCTATTTTTTTTTCTTCTGTTTTTCCTTATTTTTTTCTCTTTTTTTTCTTTTCAATAATTAAATAGGAACCAGATGTGGAGCAACGGGAGAGGGAGAGGGGAAAAAACCGGGCCAGTCCCGAGATACTATGTTTATAAGTGTGACATGCGATGGGAAAATGCAAGATATTAGTTCGACCCTATACGGAGGTAGGAGGCTGTGGGACGTTCAGGAACTAGGTCGACCAGGTCGGACTTCATTCCGAAATTGGAGGTAAAACAGATAGTCCAAAGTATTCTGTCTATATGAATCTCCGTCCCAGAGATAGAAAGTTGAAATGGGACCATATTTCCAATAGACATTCCTAGAAAAAGCTAGAAAGACACATAATCCATAAGGCCACAAGGATGTATAGTTTGCATGGGGGATTGCGCCCTTGGCATAACCGTTTTTTTTTTTTTTCGGGTAATTTTAATGACATGCAACGGCTAGCATCGAACTAAGCCATCTTGGACCCAGATGAGACGGTGGATCCGGTGGAAAACGGCGGAAACCCGTTATGAACGTTGATGATGATTCGTCAATGAGGTATAGGGTTCAAGGGTCAAGGATCGCTTAGAGGGACTGTGAGGGACCAATTGGGGAGGAAAAAGGGGGACATTAACGGCGTCAGAGAAATATCCGGTTTAAGTGGAACCCGGTCTGGTCCTTGCGGTCCTTGCGGTTTGAGGCTCGTGGGACTTGAGATTCCCCGAGGCATCGAAATCATTGGTGAATTCAATATAAACACTGCGTTAGCGTGTTCCTTTTCTCTGATCTTTCCCACTTACACACTTTTTATTCTTTTTATTCTTTTTATTCTTTTTATTCTTTTTATTCTTTTTATTCTTTTTATTCTTTTTGAATTTATCCAATTGGTGAAATGGTCTCGGCCGGTGATCTCTCTTTCGGTCATTTTGGGATGCTTGCCGACATGGGACATGGATATATACTGATCTCCGAGACATCACACATATCACACATGTCCTTTCAGGTGAATTTGACTGATCTCAGGGGTTCGTCCGAAACCAAAACGCTGTGGAAGATCAACATGTCCTTTCCGATGCAGTCCAGTCCCATAATCACATTCTGATTCTGGATGAATCCCGAGGTCACATTCGGTTCAATTTCTTTTTTATTATTTCTTTCTTTTTTTCTTCTCTTTCAAACACACATTCTTCTTGTCTTTACCCCTTTCGATAAAAGGCAACGTGTCGACAACAAATGACGCATCTGATGCGTTCTGGCAAGGATACATGCCATGGTTTTGGGTGCAGTTGTGTGAATTAGGCCCTTCAATATGATCTCGTTTCCCTGAATATGTGGAGCTTGACGGATATCATAGATATCACGCATATTGTGGGATACAATATCCCAAACAAGCCTTCAGAAGGACATCGCATCGAGATTGGTAGGCGATTGACCAAAACACAGCCAATTTTTTTTTTTTTCGGAGTATTTCAACTCCAGCTCAGATATGCTCTTCTAAAGAGTACTTCAAGGGTATTCTTCCAGAGAGCCCAGAGAGTCCAGAGAGAGAAGTGCAGAGACAAAAGAAAGGAAAAGAGCGGGATGTGCCTGGGATGTGCCTGGAACGCCCATCCCCCAACTCTAAAAGGGAACTTCCGGTTTCACCCCTCTCAAGCATCTTCTTAACACACATCTTATATTGTCTCCTATCTACTCTCCAGGTCAGCACTGTCAAACAACTTTACAACACGGTGGGTTCTGGAGCAGAACGGTAATTCACGAGGCCTTTGCGAGAAGGAGCAAGACTGTTTTCCGATAGAAAGTACCTACTATGGTAGAGGGTCTTAGCCGCATAGTATTATGAAGTCACAGAGTTTGAAGTCCTTTGACATTGTTCACTAATACCAAACATAGGATCCCAAGGTCTACGGCCCTAATAACGGGAAGCGAGCTTGGATTACAGTCGAACTTCTCTTTGAAATGCAATAATAGTGCCACATACTGCATCAAATGCAGGTTGGAAGTCGCTACGAAGTTTCAAACTGACAGCTGCGATGGAAGAAGCCTCCCAAATTGTGAAAACACATCGTCCGAACTAAAACAACCTGCACAATGCGGTATTCGGCGAAGATGTGGCACAGCTTCTGTCAGCTGTCATTTTGGAATAGGGTCCGAGTAGCATCCCAATCACTAACCCGCCTAGGATGGTGAAAGAGATCTTATGGCTGTGAACCCCGAGCCAATCTCATCTGATCCGTTAGACAGCATTGGCAACGTGATTCTTCTAAGTCAATGATGGTGGTATACATTGCCTTACAGGCCTGACTATTCGTTTGCCCGTTTGGGTCTCTTCCCGAACCAGTGTGTTAGCATGGAACAACCTTTGTTGACCGAGAGAATGATACCGACATGGTACAGAATGGAATTGGTGATCAATTGGGCCAATAGACTTTTTCAATATTGTGTACTCTCCTACTCCTGCTTTTTATACACATAGTAACTACAGCTGTAATGCCCGGATGCAGATGTCTCTACATAATATCAGCATAAATCCCAAGATCAATTGATTTGACCAGAATCTAGCCATATGAATTTCGCAAGTTGATTTTTGGACCTCGCCCAGGCCAAATCGGGCTTCGAGATCTATACCGCTGACTAAGCCATAAGATAGTCCCGAGATAAAGATTCCCCCCACCAGCGCCATTTCGATTTTGACCTGCGCCGATCATTGTTCGAACCCGATTTGCCCGAAGGTCCTTTGAAAGAAAAAGAGGAAGGATTGAATACTGTCGTCATGGTTTTCTATTTCACGTCGAATGTCGTCGAACCGTCCGCCTTTATTTATGTCGGCAAGGACAAATTCGAGAGTATGCCTCCGACGTGGTCAAACCTAGGGAATAAACTTGTTAACAATGGTGTGTTAGACGAGGATCTCATAAAATATGGATTGGACAATGATGTCTGGTATGTTCCCCGGTATACATTTGCAGAATTTTGGGACTGATGTTCTTGCGCAACAGGGTCAGTCTTTCCCCCTCCGACTTGCGATGGTGCCAATTGCCCTAATACCTCTATACACTTGCAGTTCCACGTCGACAATTTGTCAAGTGCACACGTCTATGTGCGCCTTCGAGAGGGCGAAACATGGGACAACATCGCCCAGCCGCTCCTAGAGGATTGCGCCCAACTCACCAAGGCGAACTCCATTGAAGGTCAGTCCTCAACATGAACCCAAGAATCTCATACTGGCGGATACTGACTTCTGGAAAGGAAACAAGAAGGACAACATCACCATTATCTACACACCATGGTCAAACCTGAAGAAAGACGGGTCAATGGCGGCCGGTCAAGTCACATTCCATAATCACAAGCTGGTCCGCAAGGTCTATGTGAAGCAGCGTGAAAACCCCATTGTCAACCGGCTGAACAAGACCCGAGTCGAGAAATACCCCGATCTCCGAGCCGAGAAGGAAGAGGACGCGAAGAAGAAGCAGCGCGGTGACCGCAAGACCCGGGATGAACAGCGTGCGAAGGAAAAAAAGAAGCAGCAAGAGTATGAACAGCTCAAGTGGCAGAAAGATCATGCATATGATGATATGTTCACGGAAGATAATCTGGAGGCCAGCAACAACCAGGACCGTGATGAGGATTTCCTCGACGATTTCATGTGATGGCCATTGCTGTCTTTTTCAATGGAAGATAACCTTTTCCTGTGTGTTACCTTTGAGCCGCCAGCGAAGTGAAAATTATACCCTCTACATACTACATACTACATAGCATATACCACGGAGGGACAATTGATATGAGTGTGACAAAACAGTCCTGCTCTTCTCCCTCTTGATACCTCTTTTGATCTGTTTAGGTCATATACAATGAGATATAGTGGGATATATAAAGGGCTTCACTAACCCCCAGAAGTCCTACATCATGTTAGACGAATCCTACGATTCTTTCCCAATCGACATACACCATAGGGGAATCCCCTTGGCATACTATGGGGGAACTACAGGCTTGTAGTGAATCATATACGTACGTAAGTACAGAACGACAAAAGATTTTCAAACATGGCAGGGTATATACAAGCCAAAAAAACACATCAAATTAGAAGTGAAAAAAGAAGGGGAAAAAAGACAAGCCTGTGGGATGGAGGTTGATAGATTAATCATCTAGACATAGCCCAGGAGGGCGGAAAGGGCGCTAGCCCCCGGCCGCGTGTTGACAGCTTACCCTGTAACCTTAGGAATTCATCATCTTCCTCCCCCAAGGTCTTTTCAAACACCACACAGCATGAGCGAAGGAATCCCGCCGTCTGCTACCCCAAGTAAGGGCATCCCCTTTGTGAATTGGAACCCACTGACCCCGCAAAGGCGCAAAGTCCAAGAAGAACAAGAAGAAGGCCGCCAAAGCCAAAGCCGACTCCAAGGCTGACGAGCATCCAGAGGATGCGCCGGCCGATCACAATGACACTGATGTATATGATAAACCTCCCCCCTGATTGTTATTGCACCTTTACTGACTGACACCTCACAAGAACGAACCCCATGATGCCAACGTGGACCCCATACAAGTGCCAGAATCCAATGGCGCCAAGCCCGACACAATAGATGGTAGTCTACCAGATCGGTCTGCCAATAAACAGGAGCCCGTAACTACTGGCGATGCCCCCCCAGGAACCGATATCCAGCGCGACCCCGCTTCCGATGGCACCGAGCCAAAGGACCGATTCGATGCACTTGTTCGAGATCGTGACTCGTTGCGCGCCGAAGTAGCCGATATGCGAAAATCATTGGAAGAGATTCAGTCCAAGCACACCGCAGACATGGAGGCCCTGCAGCAGAAATTGGACGACGCGGAGAGCAAGAAGGAGCAGGCGGAAACGCAGTTCCAGATGCTCCTGGAACGAGTTAATACCATCAAATCGCAACTAGGGGAGCGGCTCAAGGAGGATGCGGTGCGTGGACCGGAATTCACTACTTGGGGATATTTGGCTAATCTTGCTTGTCCTATAGGAGGAATTGTCTCTAGCGCGATCACAGATCGAAGACCTTGAAGACGAGAACAACAACTTGAAGGATGAGCTTGATTCAAAGTCCGCCCAGCTGGTAGAACTATCGGGCGATTCGGCGGAGAAAGAGAAGGAGCTGTCCACACTTCGGGACCGGACAAACTTATCCCAACAGAATTGGTTGAAGGAGAAGGAGGAACTGCTCGAGCAAGAGTCGTACCTCCAGTCGGAGTTTGAACAAGCGAAGGAGGCTATGCATAATTGGGAAATTCTTGCCATGGAGGAGCGATCTATCCGGGAGAACCTGAACGAGAAGGTCGGGGATCTGGAGGAGCAGCTCAGCAGCTTAAGAGAGGGATATGAACGAGCCACCCTTGAACGCGACACCCAACAGTCAACAGTTGATGGCCTCCAGCGGGCGTTGCAAGAAATCCAATTGGCGCGGAAGCAAGAGCTGCGGGAGCTTGTCGAGAGTTCTGATTCTCAACTCGAGGACCTCCGACGTTCTCTGCGGGAAGCGCAGAAGCAGGCCACCGACGCCGACAAGGGCCTCCAAAATGCGCAGGAAGAGATTGAGCGAGTCCGGCCATTCGAGAAAGAGGTCAAGGAGAAGAACCTTCTCATTGGCAAGCTACGGCATGAGGCAGTCACGTTGAATGACCATCTGACGAAAGCCCTCCGATTCCTCAAGAAAGGCAAGCCGGAGGATAATGTTGACAGGTATGTTCCTATGACATCCACCTACCTCAATTCCATACTGACACCATACAGACATATTGTCACCAACCATTTTCTGCACTTCCTTGCTCTAGACCGATCTGATCCTAAGAAATTCCAAATATTGCAACTGATCGCTGCACTCTTAGGCTGGAACGATGGTGAGTGCTGCAAAACCAAATACAAAGAATTTTCCGAGCCCGTCTAATTATTGAAAAATAGAGCAACGTGAACAGGCAGGTCTTGCCCGTCCAGGGACATCGAGTATGTCTGGGAAGCTCCGAGTCCCCGGTACTCCCCTCCGCACCCCGAGCACGCCAAACCTGGCAACGGAGTTCATGGATAATGGTGCCTCCAGTAAAGAGACGTTAGCCGAACTATGGTCTAATTTCCTGGAGCAAGAGGCGGAGGTAGGTAATATGAATCCATCGCGACGAGGAAGTCACCAGGGGCCACTTAAATGATATGGAGAAATGTATAAAGTAGGAAAGTCATAGAACTTGGGATATTGATACTTTGATACTTGGTGCTTTTCTGGTAAATTGCATGTAAGTAGTTATGTACTCCGTATACATATGGTTTACATTCATGGATGTATATGTACTCCCTCCATACAAAGCCAGAACTAGAACTGCCAAGAGATAATTAGATGGATTTCTTCCGCCTTCCTAATAAATAAACAAGCTAAGCTGAATTAGGACGGAACAAAGCCGTCTTCAGCTAAATAATCGCCTTGTTCATTTTAATTTCAATCCTTATATGCCTCTCTCGTCTTTCCGTGTCTTCTCAGCGTTCTACAGACCGTTCGTCCGCGCCACCCACTCGACATCTACAATGGCCACCACTGGTAAGCAAAAAGCTGCTCTGCTTCATGGCAGAACATACACATACATACCCCCCACCATTCGAGCCACAGCCATACTGACAAGATCCCACTTTTGTACTTAGCCTACCGCCCAATTGTGATATCCGGCCCGTCGGGGACAGGAAAGTCGACACTACTGAAGCGATTGTTCGCAGAGTATCCCGATACGTTCGGATTTTCCATCTCGGGTCAGTTCAGCGCGGGAGTGGAATGAATGCGCGCACATATTTGCTCACACGGACGGACCTTGAATAGAAACCACTCGATCCCCGAGACCCGGCGAGCAAGATGGACGTGAATATAACTTTGTCACGAAAGAGGGATTCCTCGATCTAGTTGCCAAAAACGGGTTTATTGAACATGGTGGGTTTACACTGCACTGCACACTGCACACTGCTACTATAAGAAGAACGAAGAAAAGAAGATTGGACATCAATTAACCGGTAGAACAGCTCAATTCGGTGGGAACTACTACGGCACATCTGTGCAGGCTGTCAAGAACATCGCTGAGAAGAAGCGGATCTGCATATTGGATATTGAGATGGAAGGAGTCAAGCAGGTGAAGCGGACGGATCTCAATGCGGTAAAGTGTTCTAGGGAATCCTGATGATGGGGACTTTACTGATTATTTATAGCGTTTCTTGTTCCTTGCGCCGCCTTCTCTCGAGGTGCTGGAGCAGCGCCTCCGTGGTCGTGGCACCGAAACCGAAGAATCGCTCCAGAAAAGGCTCGACCAAGCTCAGAACGAACTTGAATATGCAAAGCTGCCTGCGGCTCACGATAAGATCGTTGTGAATGATGATCTGGAGAAAGCATATGTTGAGCTGCGGGATTGGGTTGTTGACGGCGGTAAGTTCGGTGCGCAATAGTACACCGCTGCATTACATATGGGGAAATATGATTTAGTCAATGTCATGACCAGCAAGGCGACCGCCCCGTTTGATACCTCTCAATCCAAGAATAGAAATTGGTCTCGTCAAGTTAATTAAGAAAAAACTAAGTACATGGAAAGCACCAGAGACGGCACGAGCACTGGAGTGCCGATTCTCTTTTTCCCCGGCAATACAAGCTCGATGGGTCTCTCAAGAAGACACAAGATGGGATGTAGGATACAAATGAAAACAAACGCAAAAGAAAAAGGAAAAATGGGATATCTGCAAGGGCCTGCTGGCGTCAAAAAGAGGACAGTAAGTTTTCGGAGAGGGCCGTCGCGCAACGGTCACAGCGCTCGCATCAGACATGAAAGATCACCGAGTTTAGTATCCGTTCATGGCTGCGCGCTGCGAGTTGCGGCTCAGCTCCCGGTCCGCGGAGGGGCTGATGGGCCGACTGCCACCGGTGTGGCCCCCGGCAGCGCTGCTTTCCTTCAGGGCAAGCAACTGCTTGGCACGGAAGGTCTCGTAGTGGATTTGGCTGGTAGTCTCGACCAGATCCTGAAGGTGGGTGCGGGTCAGGAAGTTGCGCAGGTAGACGAATTCACAGTGGTTCTCGTCCTCGACGTTGATGACACCCCAGCGGTTCTGGCGGCCGCGAACCTGCTTGCCATTGACAACAATGGTCTTCTCACTGCCGACAACCGAGAAAGGAATGATGTCCTGTACCTAGAGGTTAATGTCGAGTTACAACAGCTCTGCCAGGGTCAAGCATACCTTGATCTGGGCGTTGATAGCACGCTCCTCATCATCGAGCTCGCCATTATCGTAAGGGTACATCTTCAGGTTGTGGAAGGAGAACTCCTCCTTGATGCGCTCCTTGAACGCCTGACGCTCTTCAACGGTGAGAGAGTCGGACTTGGCAATAACGGGAACAACATTGACGACATCGGACAGCTTCTTCAGAACAACGATATCGATAGGCTTGAGGCTATGCGGGGTCAGATGGGTCAGTCAAAAGGAGCTCAAGGGAAGCCAAGGCATGGGCCGGGCAAACTCACGCATGGCCGGAGGGCTGGATGAAGAACAAGCAGCAGTGAACACGAGTATCTTGGATGTAACGCTCACGCTGAGCGGTGAGTTCCTTGCGGAGGTATGCCGAGTGCTGATCCTTGATGTACTTGACAATGGGGTCCCAGCTGTTTATGATTA